GTAGTATAATTTAATAAACTTCTCTTTTGTAAAATAGTTGGAAAAAGGGAAATTTAAAAAGGTGACGAATATTTAAAAAGGAACGCTAGGGACGGAGTCGCGAATGAACAATTCAACGAATTCCTCTATTTTTTACTTTAAATCGTTAATAACCTCCTTTCTAATTAGGCGGGTATCGAAGGTTTTATCGTCTTCGATTACCCGAATAATATATTAATCGAATAAATCGAAGGATAGTTCGGATTCCTCGTCGCTATTTTTATAATTAGCTACCGCTTCGGTTAATACTTTGTTAAGTAATTTTAATTAATAGTATATATAATATAAGGACTTTTTGCAAAGGATTATAAACTTGCTGTAAAAACGTTCTTCGTTTAAATAAAAGCTATTATAGCGCTCTTTATCGAAACGTACGGCCTTATATATATTATCTTTAATAATAGGGTCGATGGGCTTATATTTATCACCAATAGCAACCTTCTTCTTAGGTTTCGGTTTTATAACCGTATTCTTCTCTTATATTAAATTAAAATCCGGAGAATTAAAACTTCCTTCTCTGTCACTATTTCTACCCTCCTTATTAAAAAAAGGTATTATCGCAGTCGTTATTAAAAATATCCTCATTATAATAATCGTCGTAATTCTCAGTCTATTCGGTACCCTTACGGTTACTAGCGCTATTACGTATTAGGTATAGAGGTGCTATCGTACTACTATTGTAAATATTCGGTACTTTAAATTCTTATAACAAATCTTTCTAATTTCGATTTAGGATTTAACCTTCCTAGGTAGTTATTGGGTTAATTTAAAATAATATAAGGGCACAATATGGGTAAATTGAAGGTAAAGTTAGAATTTTATCTATAATAGAAGATTTTAAATAGGGAAAAGAAAAGAGGAAGGGAATTAGGTATAAGCGTATAAATTCAAAATAAATACCCTAATCGTATAAGCGATAGCGGGACCTATATACGGGTCGCTATTAACCAATCCCTTTATTCGTATCTCCTTTACTTATAAAATAAACCCCTATACGTACTAAGGTCTACCCTATAGCTAGTCTTAGTATAGCTAATTAAATAGCTTACATTCTCTAGACCGTACTATACCCAGAACCTCTATATACCCCATTCTATCGCGTATAGCACCCAAGCCCAAACCCAGTCTGCCAGCGCCGTTACAATAAATCGATAAAAGTAATTATATTAATAGGGGTTATTAATATTAAAATATAATAGTATAAAAAGAGTAAATAATTAAAGGAAGTAATATAGCGAGAAAATTGTACGATTAATTATTTCGTTGCTCGTACTAGCCTTATTAAAATTAATAATAGTCAATTTCGTATAGTTGTAAATGAGTACTATAGAATTAAGTTGCGTATTAGAGAGAAGTAACGATAGCGTAAGAAAGATTTCGATATTAAATGTATTATTCTACAGCGTTAATTTAATATATATAAGATTAAGTAATAGAATAAAATTTAGAATAAGAGGATTAAATTATAATTTACTAATAAAATGCGTATACAATAGAATATTGTAATTGACTTAATTTTAAATAAAATTAAAAATTAAAATTAATTATTTGAATAATATAAATTTATATAGCGAATACGCTAGGGGACATATCTAGAGGCGAGGAGGGATATTATACGAGAAGATGCTATATAGTTAGGTAAATTAAAAATAGATATAGTACTTCCTCTATATTGAGCGCCTCTTAGTAACTACCCTAAACCAATTATACTATAGATTTATAACGAACCTGTATAAGCTATCGTCGAAGAGGTTATTACTACTTTTATTTCTAGTAAAGAACGAGCTATTAAGGAGGAGGATATAGAAGAGGAAGAAGAGGAGGAGGAGGAAGAGTAGTCTTATAAACTAATATAGGTAGAATAGATATAGAGTTTATATAAGGAAAAAGAGCTTCCCAATTCTAATTTAGTTGAAGAGTAGGACTCTAGTATATAGTTAGATTCTATAGTAGAGTAAAATACTATGTTAGAAAGTGGCGATGTCGAAATTATTAAAATCTCTGACGATTTTATTAACCTTATTTTAAGGGATTACTAACTAGAATACAGAGATATTTACTAATTTAACGGATATTATATACAACAATGTAGGAATTTTTTAAAAAAAAATGGAGTGATATAGTTATACCGCTAGTTTATATGGGCGGGGAAGTCCCGAAATTTTTACGAATCAATGTGCATTTGCGAATCAATATGCCAGACCCATTGCGCAGCAATGGGTCTGAGAGGCGTTTCTAGCCCAGACAAGTAGGAGTGGATGTCGTGGTGGGTGCGAAGGTTCAGGTGTGAGATGCAGTGGTGCAATGGTGCAGTGGTGGGTTTTGGTCGTCGTAACAGTATGGTTCGAGACTGCAGGGAGACGGAAAGAAAAGAGAAAAGAAAAAAAAAAGCTTGGAGCCCGAAACCATTCAAGCAAGAGCCTCGCCCCACTGCGCCTTCCGTCGGCGCGACAGGGCATGTGCACTTGGCTTGACCGACCAATAATGGCGTGAGAAATCCCAGTCTTGGAAGGTGCGATCTGGAAGTGCACCCAATCGATCTCTCACTGTGTCGTAAATGGAAGTCGCTCACCACTGCGCTCGTGCACTGCAGTTGCAACGGAACTCACCAGCCTCAGCCAGGCACGCTCCAGCAGCAAGGGCATCGTAAACTCGACAGCAAATGATGGTTCGGAGTTCAAAGAGCTTGCATGTGTACCCCACAGAAGAGATACCAGGTACCTAACGGCAGTCTTTTCTCCCTCAACAAGGCATGGATCTGTGGCCCGTGCACCCGATAGATAGAGGTACCTAAAACATGTTGTAGATTGTACGGCACGCAGCGACTACCGCAGTATGCGCTCAGCTAATTTTCGCAACTTGCTATTTTCCTTGGATAGGTGAACAATGGTAGCAATGGTAGAGGAACCATCCGGAAATTCCCAACGGCCTGCGGATGGGTGGAAGTGCCTCTGATGAGTAAGGCAAGTACTGACTTTTATGGTGCGATAAATCAGAGCGGCTTTCAATCTTGCTCAAAGAGTACCTACCTGGAGCTGCCCGCATATCCATGTTTCATGCCGTTCTTTCTGGAAATTTCTCATTGTGACCAACCATGCATCCTGCTCGGCAGGTAACATCCTTCTTTTCGGTGGCATGCACGGGTGGTGTGTGCCCGCGGCCTGTTTCACTGCTAAAATGCCCCTGCCTGCTCTTCCTTCCCCTGTCCGAATTGACCCCGAGACGGATGCCGTTGTCTGGTTTGCAGTGGCTGTTCTCTCGGCGGTCTCCTTCGTCCACTTCCCTTGCCCGGCCCCGTCCTTGAAAACACAAAAACGGAGATGGCTGCACCATACATATGACCACACGCAAGTGGAAGCGAAGCGGGGAGTAAAGCACTGATGGCCATGAACAGGGCATACACAGTAGACATGCCTCGAGCACGCATACTCGTTGCCTGCAAAGAACACACCGACATGAATTCTATTTTCAACCGAAGCATTCAATCTCGCAGACATTTTCGTTGCCATCAAAAGGTTCAGATCAGGAATGGCAATGTTCAACTTCTCAGATTCCAGATGTCAGCATCGCTTTGTGCTTCCAAGCTCCGACTGCAGTCTCTCCTTGGGAAACACAGTGCCTGAGCCAGCGACAAGGGAGTGAGTGTTGGGGCCCGGCTGATTGGTGAGATCGGCTTGACAAGGAACAAGATTGGTTATACATCCGATTCTTATCGGTAACCGACATGGAGCCGGGCTACGTGACGGTACCTTTCAAGCCGTCAAGTCTCGGCTGGAATATTGGCTGACAAAAGTCGTCCCAGGTTCCGGCAGGATACACTGTTAGTTGCGAAAGAAGGGAAGCCCCACCTTCCTCTGGGGACCTAAATTCCATGAAACTGCAGTGAGGTCGGGTCCCGCTTCAATCCACACGTCCCCGCCAATGGTACGTACCTCCCCTCGCTTGGCTTTTCCTCGTGAAGCGCAAAAGCCTTTTGGTGATCCATCACAACCTCCTAAAGTTCCTCCCACTCTAACTACATTCGCGCTCGTACACAGTAGTTTGGGCCACCCAAGAGCATCGACCCCGACCGCAGACGAGACCGCCGATGCCCGAGTTGTCTCGCAGGCCTCGCTAAAAGGAACACGAACCAACTCTCCGCCAGACCGGAATCGCCCTTTGTTGGGGTTGATCGGGGCTGATGTGGACATGTGGTTGATGGCACCTTGGAGCTCGCAGGCCGTGGGGAGGCGAGTTACTACCTTAGCTGGGAGGAAGGGCTGCGCAGAGTCACCGCAAAATCAGCTCAGACCTTCTGTCAACCCTCCAACTGGGAAAGCATCATGCGTATGCGCAATCTTTCAAGCCACAACCGTCGAAACGAGAGCGAACAGCGAAAGCAAGCAGCACTAACAAACCGCCGCAAAGGGCCAGCTCCAAAGATGTTGCCAAACCAGGGTTGCGGGGGGCAACACCCAAATATCAAGGTACGTATCTATTCTTGTACCCCACCATCAAACAGCTCTCGGCCGAGGTCCCGTCCTTCCTAGAGCCATGGGTCTTTGCGGTGGCTCTATTATCGGAATGCCGTAATCTGTACAGCATATTGGACATCCACGACATCCACGACATCTCCGCGATAGGGCAAGTTTGGGCCACGGCCACGGCCCACGGAACAAGACAAATCAGGAATCTCCAAAGACATCCCTCTCGCCGTCGTCAGGAGGCATGTGGGCACTGGGCACTGGGCATGCTTTCAACACCACCATCCGCTGTCTTCGGTGCAACCCTTTCTGTGTTGACAAAAGAGGGCAAAGAACGACAATCTCTTAAAACGCAAGGCCCCAAAATCCTGCGCTACTGCTTTCCGTGCCAGCGCTAATTATGACCATTCCTCTTCCTTTCTGGCCGGCCCCGGCAGAAGTTCTGCTGGCTTACCACTGGTCACCACAATCAGGTAGTGGGGTGTCTCTAGTGGGCACACGACGCCGAACACTGGATTCCTAACAGGAAGTTGAATGCTTGGACGGATTTCAATACGTTACGGATACAAGCCCGGCTCACGGGGGAAAGGCTGCAGAAAGACCAAGATGCGCGTATTTGCACGGCATGGCTGCGGTAACCAGAACGTTGACCATTTGAGCCGCGCCGCAGAACCCACAGCCTGGAGCAACACATTAGGGCCAGGCAAACCAGGGTTTGAAGGCAGGGGAGACACAGGAGAGGTGACATCTCCTTATGGAAACACCCCCGCTGAGAAGACTTCGGTACGCTGATCCTGGCCGATCCTCTCAAGAAGACCACACGACGGCCACTCAAATTCCGTACAGACCTTCGCATGAGTCTTGGCTACTCATCTTACACACCTATTTTTCCCTCACGCACACCCACTATTGTCCCAAGGCGCACCTTTCGTCCCGTGCATTGTGGGTGCATCAGTGCAAGGACTGGCTTTCAGGGTGTCGCTCCCCGCTCGCTTCGGTACCTGGGTACCTCACTTTAACACGCGAGCATGCCCGTGGTCATGGGCTTTGCAAATGGAAGCCATTTGTGCTGTCAGACTCCACGGCAACTGAAAAGTCATGCAGACGACAAGTCTGTTGCGACCCCTGCCCACCCCAGTTGCAGAAGGGACGCCGCGGGCGGCCATTATCCCCTCCACAGGACGTCCCTCCTTGCCCTTGGGCACTCCGCGCACACAGGTGGCTCAAGTGGGCACCTCTACGCTGTATCAATCCGATCCTGTACATCACCACGTCCTCACTTTGTTGCGAGTTTTCTCCTCCACCACCTCAGACGGCTATCCCACCGTGTGCCGCCTGGCTGCGCATGTCACCATGGCTCCCACCTCATTATGACCGAAATGAGGGCACGAGGGGCGGTTAGTTTTGCAAAGTCAGCATGATCCTCGCCCGTCTAGCATGATCCTCGCCCGTCTAGCATACTCCTGCTCAGTCCCGACATTATCCATTCTGCCCGAGGTGTCCAAGCTGATATATCTGTACCTGCACAGTATCATCGTGGCTCAAATACGTATGTATGCTCGCAGTGCTTTGCACATGTTCATGGCGTGACAGCAGTGGAATCAATCGCTACTTTGTCGGACATTGCGCTCGGCTGACAGGCTAGGTAGAGAACCTTACCTGAAGGCTTTGGGTTCATTGGTGCGTATCACCACAAACGCTCTTTTGAAGCAGCGGGTAGGACGGGGACGGCAAGTAAGACATCTGGATAACGAATTCGTTTTCAACCGTTGCGGACGGCAGACCACTAGGTAAACTGCGCATCGGTATGTATCCAAGCCACCGACTCAGCTCAACTCCATTTCTAGTGTACTGTAGTAGGTACGTACTTCGCACTTTCACACCAAGCATGCCGGGATGAGAGTACCAAAGAATGGCTCGAGACACCACCACGGAGATGGAGTGCTGGAGAGTGGAGGCGGTTTCTTTCCGCTTCATTGATCCGCTTGACCGCCCACCACCACCCATCTGGAACCTCCGCTCACTGCTATCGTACGCCTTCAGACGTTGACACTGTGTGTACCTGACGAATGGTCATTTACGGCAGCACAGTGTGTATACTATGATACAAACTCCTCATGAATCTTGCCTGGGCTAGCCAACCATGACCCATGCCATGCTTCTTCACGATGTAACTTAACCCAGCGAGTACGGCGGTACAAGCCCCACATTAGGTACGTTCTTTAACAGCTTACACGCGACGGACCCAAGAATCCACGACGAGGAGCCGCCCTTTTTCCCCCTTGCAACCCCGTACTGCGTACGGAGCCGTCCCTCGCAAGCACTTCGGATTACCATTGCCCGTCAATATCTCCATCCGGCTTTTGCAGTTTGCGTCTACCTTGCCCATCATACCCTGCAGTTTATTCTGGTGTGGGCAGAAGCCGAAACCCTTTCAAATTCTTCTTTCTTTTCTTCAAGGTTATCCAGGCTGAACCATCCCTGCGCGCACATATGACGCAGGCTACCCAAGCCAAAGTCATGGGTAAGCATCCGTTGAGCCCCGTCGACGCGGAGTCTTGCACACTGACACGACGGGATTCACTTACATGCCTGAGCGCCCCATCGGCTGTCTTGTTGTTGTTTCCTTTCGGCGCCAATATGGTCAGATTGTCACTTCAAACTAGGTTTGATCCATCCAACCGCTTCCAACTTCCATCTCCATCTCGGTTCTCCGGCCGGGGCCTAAGTGTCTTGCATGGTTTCCATACTATTGTTACTTTCACTTCCTTCTCACTTCATATACCTCGTCCATCTTCACTTGGAAAGTTGACCAAGCTTCCTTCAACAAGCAATACTTTTCCATACACTCTACCTATCTCTCTTCTCAGCACTCCACCAAGATGATGCCGTTACTGGTTAACAACAACAACAACAACTTCAACATGGATCTCCCCTATCAGGCTCCAGTGTTCAGCACCAACATGATGGAGACACCTTTTGATAAAGCGTCACAACAATATATCGCTGCTCATACACGAAACATGTCGAGGGGTTACGGTGGACAGAGGACGAACACTTCGATGCGGATAACGAAGCCCAGCAGCGCCAGCACCAGCCCCCGCTACTCGTTTTCGCAGTCCAGGAGGAGGACTTTGATCGGTGATGGGTTCCAGAATCTCTATACTCAACCTGCCGAGGCTGCGTACCTTCCCACTCCTGCGGCTGAATTCCCGGTCGAGTTCATGTACGAACCGGAGAGGAAGCCAACGACAACAGCACGACCAGTTAGCTGGCACCCCTCGTCGCAACAAGTGGCATATTCCCAACCTTACCCTCAGGAGTCTACGATGGCGTATGCTCCTTACCCATCCAATCAGGACTTTGGCGCTTGCACACAGTTTCAGCAACTGCCCCCGACACCAAGCGTGTACTCCGGCTCCAACTCGCCATGCTCGGCGTCCTTCTCCCCACTATCACTTCCTTACGCCAGCGTCGACTTCCAACAATCTCAGCATCAGTATGCCTCGGCAGGGACCCAGCTCTACCAACCAGCTCCAGAATCACCCCAAAGCTTGGCTGGCATGACTGGTGATCTTTCTTACGCTGCTTTCTCCAAGGCGGAGGGGAATGTTATGGGATGGACTTCTTATGCGCCGGTATCGAGCGGCTTGGACACATACACGGCGCCACCCACTCCAAAGAATTTCGAGCTGCTTGAGCAGTTCACAAACACCAAGGTGGCCTCGGAAGAGCCTGTTTCCTATGAGGCACCGGAAGACGACGAATCTGATGGCGAGATTCTGTACGGCATGGGACTGTACGATCCCCCCGAGACCAACGAGCCTGCCGGCATGGACCTCCACCGGTCTACCGTCTTTTCACTTCTTGGAAACGCCGGAGCCTACGAGAAGCTCTCAGGCAAGGGCCTGAAGCTCGAGGATGCATGGGAGCCTCCTGCGAGCGACGATGAAGAGGACGATGAAGAGGAGGAAGAGGATGATGAGGAGGAGGAGCGCCAGGATGGGGATAACTAAAGACTCATGATTATGACACTTGCATGACGATACACTGGGAAGCATTATACCGGCGACGGTTTGGGATACACATAGCATTTACGGGACGGATTCCTAGAAAGGGATATGGGCTGGAAGTCCTATCGAAGGTGCATCGACACATTGGGAATGTGTGGCTAGGCGTTTTGGTTTGCGGTTTTTTTTTTCCACGAAGACAAAGATACCCACCTCTGCATATAAATACATGTACATATTTGAACAACATACGATTCCGTGTTCTTGATTCATACACCATCTCTCTCATTCCTCGGCCGCAGTGCATGCCTGCAAATGTGTTGTCGTTCTTGCTGAGCTCTCATATTACCTCTCATCTTGAGCTTGTCGGGACGCCCCTGAATCAAGCAAAACCCAGTGATGAATAAGCGGCCAGCCGTCAGGGGAAGTGGATCGGTCAAAACAAACAACATCCATGTTGACATGATTTGCCGGAAGCGTGCACTAGCCACTGGACGGCAGCTGTTAGAAAACCTGACGGCCAGCCAGGCCGCGGTACGTACCTCTTACACCTCGCTGCCCGAACCCCCGAGAGGAAGTAAGATCCGGCAGGCAAGCTGGACCCTTTTTGGCCAGAAGGTCTGGAATCTCGGCGTGTCGGGTCAGAGATGTCAAAGGCAAAATCCTGCTACCCCGCCATGAGTGCTTGGCACCAATTCGAACGACACCAACGACATCGCCTTGGGTGCCCCTCATTGAGGACAGAAAAAAATGGATAAAGCGACTGCCAGAAGCCGTTATCGGCCGGCGCTCCACCAATTGCATCTCCATCTGCGAGCATGAAGTGTGAGTCAAGCTTGGTAAAAGTCGGTTGCTAGCGGGACAGGACGGCAATTGCACAATTGACTAGTTATTGCCGGGGCTTGGGTGCATGCAAGTGGTGAAGATCTGATATTCTTTCTCTCCTCCGAATTTGACTTGACAAACACCAAAACACTGCGTCTGAATCACCTCAGCTGCAGATATCACAACTCGCAAAGATGGCTTCCCAACAGTAATGCCACCCCCCTAAACCCCTCTACCTACTATGTACTCCCCCGCCGTCCTACCCTTATCCCGGCGACCGCAAGAGCCTTTAGGGATGCTGACCTCAAGTCTCCCATTTTCAGCAAGGTTCTCATGCTTGGCGCTGGCTTCGTCACCCGCCCTACTCTCGATGTCCTCAGCGAAGCTGGCATTCCTGTCACCGTCGGTACGTCAACAGTCAACTTGAACACTGCAGTACCTCTTGTTCGACAGTCATAGGGACTTGAGCTGACATCTGCGCGTGTGTGCAACAGCCTGCCGTACTCTTGCCTCTGCTCAGAAGCTCTCCGAGGGCGTCAAGAACGCCACCCCCATCTCGCTCGATGTCACCAACGACGAGGCTCTCGATGCTGAGGTCGCCAAGCACGATCTTGTTATCAGCTTGATTCCCTACACTTTCCACGCTACCGTCATCAAGTCGGCTATTCGCCAGAAGAAGCACGTCGTTACCACCAGCTATGTCTCCCCCGCCATGATGGAGCTCGATGCCGAGGCCAAGGCCGCCGGCATCACCGTCATGAACGAGATTGGTGTAAGTCCATTGACATTTTGCTGTCGAAGCCGCCAGTTGTACTAAGTCGCTCTGTAGCTCGATCCCGGTATCGACCACTTGTACGCCATCAAGACCATCGATGAGGTCCACCAGGCTGGCGGCAAGATCCTCTCCTTCCTCTCCTACTGCGGTGGTCTCCCCGCCCCCGAGGACTCCGACAACCCGCTCGGCTACAAGTTCTCCTGGTCTTCTCGCGGTGTCTTGCTCGCTCTCCGCAACGCGGGCAAGTGGTGGCAGGATGGCAAGATTGTCGAGGTTGAGGGCAAGGACCTCATGAAGATGGCCAAGCCCTACTTCATCTACCCCGGCTACGCTTTTGTCGCCTACCCCAATCGTGACTCTACCATCTACAAGGAGCGCTACAACATCCCCGAGGCTCAGACCGTCATCCGTGGCACTCTCCGCTACCAGGGCTTCCCTCAGTTCATCAAGACCCTCGTCGACATTGGTTTCCTTGACGACACCGCGCGCGAGAGCCTGAGCAAGCAGACCCCCTGGAAGGAGGCCACCAAGGAGATTGTCGGTGCTGCTTCCTCCAGCCAGGAAGACCTCGAGGCCGCCATCCTCTCCAAGGCCACCTTCGAGTCCCCCGAGGACAAGCAGCGCATCCTCAGCGGTCTCCGCTGGATCGGTCTCTTCTCTGACGAGACCATCACCCCCCGCGGCAACCCTCTCGACACCCTCTGCGCCACTCTTGAGCAGAAGATGGAGTTCGAGGAGGGCGAGCGCGACTTGGTCATGCTCCAGCACAAGTTCGAGATCGAGCACGCCGATGGCTCCCGCGAGACCCGCACCTCGACCCTCGTCGAGTACGGTGTCCCCGGTGGCTACTCTGCCATGGCCAAGACCGTCGGTGTTCCTTGCGCCGTCGCTGTTAAGCAGGTCCTGAGCGGCCAGATCTCTGGCAAGGGCGTTCTGGCTCCCATGAGCACCGAGATCACCGAGCCCTTGATGAAGGAGCTCCACGAGAAGTATGGTATTACCATGATTGAGAAGACCATCTCCTAAGTTCTTTGAGAAATTCTTGGTCGACTGGAAAACGTTGAAAAGAATAAATTCTCTTTGACTAGGACGCCGAGTTGGAAATTCCATGGGCGAAGCAACTGGACGTAAAGGGGGTTTATCCCCGATCGGACATGGAGCACATTGAAGGCTGTGGCTAGCGTTGCTTCGGTGAATACAAAGATACCAAAAGGTCCCGGCGTTAAAAAAGAGGAAAAGGAAGGGAATTCGCCCGGCAAGGTCCAGATACCTCATGAAGATGGCATGTCCATACCTCTGGTTCATGGGGAGGCATGCCATCATACCGTGGTGGGTTTTGCGGGCATGTAGGCATGGATTTAGGTAGTTGCACGAATCGACACCGCATGTTGAAGCCCCATATGAAGCTCCTTGCCGCAGTGAAATCATGTTGTTCCTACGATGCTTGAATCGTTTGATAAGATATTGGGTTTTCGGCTCCCATCATGATCGTCTTTGAAGTGATGTAAACAAATATGGGGGTCGTGAAGCCTGGTGTAGTCGTAGAGTTCAAAACACAATCCAGGAAAAATATGCAGTTGAAAATGTGTTGGGGTCCGTGTCCGACACAAAAAGTGCATTTTTGCACCACCACCAACAAAACCACAAAAATAAACCGTCAAGGTACGATGAGGAGACAAACGTTCAGACAAATGATTCGCACCGGCTTCCAGTTCTGTTGTGGTGTATATGGATGAACTTCCTTTATCAGATCATATGAGATGATTCTACTGCCGCGGTATTCCGCCAACTTAAATTTCATCCCGACTTCAAAACTCAAACTCGGTGAACCAATCCAACTACCGGCAAGGATATCGTGATTGCGACCAGGCCAAACCACAACAACAACTACCTACTACCGGCAATTGGGAGGGAGGCAAAAGAAATGGTTCAATACATCTTCACACCCTGGCGCGACCGCCGCGAACTCCTCGCCGTTCGCCGGCAATTTTACCCGCATCAGTACGAAAACCAGGCAGCAGCATCACAACCCCAACAACTATCACAAAGAGGAGGAGCAGGAGCAAAACGCCAGGCACAACATAAGCAGCGCACCACCACCACCGCACGAAAACGCGCAAGAACCGACAACGGCAACGGCAACGAAGCCGGCAACATCAGTGTGAAAACCGATAGCGATGACAACAATGACCGACAAGAAAACAGAGACCAACGCCGCCTAGCCGTCGCCCGCGTCTCCATGTGGATGCAGCGCGGCAACTGTCCGCACATGGTCGAGTCGACCGCGCTGCTCATGGCCGCGATTCTGTCAGACGAAGAGCAGACCGGCACTTCGGGCACTTCGGGGGGCACTTCCGGGATGGGCATGGGCATGATGGCCACCAGGGGAATAATGGATGGGTTAAGTGGTAGTGGGATTGGGGTTATGAGCTCGAGTTATGCGGTTAGGGCGGCTTATTCTGCTGCTTTTAGTCGGTTTGTTTTTTTCTTTTCCCTTCTTTCCCTTCTTCATTCCCCATCTTTTTTTTTCTCGTACCATTTTCCTGCTAGCTAACTGGGAGAAACGCAAACGCAAAAAAATACAGCTTCGTAACAGGCCTCCTAGACTCCAACCAAGATAAACAGCGCAAGATGTCCATGTACGGCGTCGCCAAGAGCGTTGGATTACCGGCGACTTTTGTCGAGCTGAGGCATCAGGCTACGCATGAGCAGCTGCCGAGTTTGACTAGACTGAGAACGGCGGCGAAGAAGGGGTTGGAGTGGATTTGGGAGTATTATTGGATGCATTTGCCGGAGGTTGAGGGGGCAGAAATGAAGGGGGAGGAGGGGGAGGGGGACGATGTTTTGATGTTGGATAAGGATGATGATGCTGGGGGAGGGGAAGGGGAGGGTGAGGGTGCTGATGAGGGTGCTGAGGAAGGAGGTGATGGTGATGACGAGGGACCGGCATGGCGGTTGTATGGGGAGGGGTGGGTGCCTAAGCCTATTGGTGTTGTTTGAGGTTTGAATCAGGACTGTTAGGGGGATGTGATGATGTTGCCATCAGTCTGCGCCTTTAAAGTTGCGAGGTTTGGTGAATAGAGGTATTCAGCAGTTTGCATGCAGCTGTCCAAATGCTGGCGTTGGCTGCTGTTTAGATTTGGACATATCGTTTGATATTGACTTTTACCCGCCTAGAAGCGGAGTATAGCATGTGTTACCTCGGTGATCTTTCTGCCGAGCGAGGTTATCTAGTGATAACGTCATACGGGCACTAACGCACTTCAACTCTTCCTAAACTTCCTCTTCCCATTCCCACCATACTACACATTAAGGTCAAAATTATTTATCAGCAAAGGTGGAGGTGAACAGAAAGGCGGGTTAGTAAGCCGGCGTCTGCAACTTCAAAAAAGAGTGCTAACACTGAGCGGGAGCTCCATGAGCTTCATTGCGGGGTTCAGACCATCACCAAGCAGCTTTGCATCTATGAACGCCTTCATCGCCAGAACATCCCTAGCTCCACGACACGTCTATAGACAGGTGAGAGGAATTTCCCAATCTCTTTCGGCAAGGGGCTTAAAGTGCTGACTTCACCGGAACCTCAGTTCGCTGCCACCACCCGCAAAATGCATATCAAGTCGATTCCTATGTGTATGTTGTCTTCAAACCAGTTACATCAAGCGTATCAGTTCTCTCCGGGCATCTCCGTTGCCTTGCACCTGGAGCTTTTCAAATTGCTCGTGCTAACGGATTGAGCAGGGACGGGCAGTAGTGACAACTACGCCTACCTCGTTGTCGACGACAAGTCCAAGGATGCCGTCATCATCGATCCCGCGAACCCTGAGGAGTGAGTCCTACACCAGCTAGCTTCAAGAACAGGACATGTGCCTTTCAACGTTCAGTGTGGGCCGATATGCTGACAGGAAGCTCCGTTGCGGCGGGTATGAAGAGTCGCTCCCGTCCTGAAGAAGGCCATCGATGATGGCTCCATTAACCTCACAGCCATCGTGAACACTCATCAGTAAGTTACCTCTCCTCCTCAATCTCAGCATGATACATAGCTAACATCACCTTCAGCCACTGGGACCACGCCGGCGGTAACACCAAGCTCGTAAGCCCCCTTTCCACCTCTCTCCTCACTTTTCGATATTCCGCAGCAACACTCACTCACACATCAACAGCGCACCGCCCTCGGCCTCCCCAACCTCGAAATCATCGGCGGCAAGGACTGCGACAAGGTGAACAAGACCCCGGCCCACGGCAAAGGTTTCAACATCGGCAGCATCGCCGTCAAGGCTCTGCATACGCCCTGCCATACGCAGGATAGCATATGCTGGTTCATGCAGGATGGGGACGACAAGGTCGTGTTTACTGGTGATACGCTTTTCCATGGAGGTATGTGTGACTTTTGGATTCGGGGTTGGGGTTTTCCCATGTGAAGCATCAAACTGACATAGTGACTTGCCAGGCTGCGGTCGCTTCTTCGAAGGAAATGGAGCGGAGATGCACAAGGCTCTGAACGAGACGCTTGCTTCTTTGCCGGATGAGACTCGGGTTTTCGTAAGTCCCGATCTCTGATTCAAGGATGGAATGTTTGGAGAAGGGATAAATGACTGACACACCGAATCAAGCCCGGTCACGAATACACCAAGTCCAACGCCAAGTTCTGCCTGTCGGTATTGCAGAGCGAGGCTGTTAAGGCTCTTGCCGCTTTCGCGGACAAGCACAAGGAGACGCAGGGCAAGTTCACCATTGGTGACGAGAAGAAGCACAATGTGTTTATGAGGCCTCAGGTAAAAGATTCTCTACCCGGGAGACTGTTGCGAGGAACACAACAGCTAACCTAGGCATATCAGGATCCTGAAATCCAGAAGGCAACGGGCGAGACCGATCCGGTGGCTATCATGACCAAGTTGAGGGAGATGAAGAACAACTTCAAGTGAGCGTTGGGCTAGGTAGAATCATGATAAATGAATGAAGTAACCAAGACTCCCTCTCCGTCTTCATCGTTCATCCGTAACCCTGTGACGTTCGATCCTAGATGAAATCTGTGACAAAACATGCGATCAAGCAGCAATATCGCAGGAGCGACCTTATTAAGGGCAATCATCGCAATTGTCGGTTCAAGAATACAAGCCACAACCTGCTCGCCTTTCTGAACCGAGCACAGCAACTCATTCTACAGTCTACAATAAGTTCATTTGTCACGATAGGATATGTATCCGCAAGCACATACCATCAAGACCCGAGACGGGCAAAACAAGATGATTCATGACTTGACGGAGGGTGGCCATTTGAAGGAATGAACCAGCCGTACATTTATTCTTGCTTCAATGTCCACACTCGCGCGCCCTGGGGTTGTTTTAAAGGCGACAAGCTCTAGCATATTGATGAAGCTGGGTTGGGTAGTGTAAAAAGGGGAAGGAAAGGAAGAGAGGAAAAACAAGGGATTAGAATGGGTATCATCATCATAAGCTTCATCGCTCTCTCTCTCTCTCTCGCTATGTGAAGGGAAGGTGGAGTAGGTAACCAAGGGGCCGAACTTGACTGGCCCGCGTCGCGTACTCTTCTTTCTTTCAACAGACAGCGAGCGAAAGAGGGAGGAATTCCGATTTGTGGTGATGAACAAAGTGCAATATCATCATAGAACAGCGTCCGAGCCGTTCATTGAGAAGAATCGGTGACAATGGATGTGGTGGTGTTGCTGTCGGTTTTTGTTTGACAAAACTGGTGTGTTTTGGGAGAGAAAGCAAAGATCCAATGAATTTTTGGCAGACTTTTATCTTGGCGACGTCCGGTGGATACGTTTGGGAGGAGAGAGAATTCCAAGTGGAGACACGTTCTTTGAGCGGGTTGCCCGCGTACACGTGACCAGGCGTCTTCGACACTGCAAACGGCATCCACTTCTGCTGTATTATCGGCTGTTGGATCCACCCATCAGATAAGCCTGGCAGCTCGTTGCGCGCCGCATTGCGCATCATCGTTACCATCGTCATCATCGTCGCCGCCGTCGCAGAAGTCGTACATACTCGATCACAATTGAGTCGCCTGCTGTCGCCCGGTTTCACCATACCAGATATTACAAGTTAAGAACAAAAGAACATCAAATACAAAACAAAATGGTAAACCACCGCACACATGCCAACCTTTTCTCCCTTACGTTAGCAACTGAAGCGCGCTGACCTCATCCCAACTTGCAATACCTACAGCCTCCTGCAAAGCGCAAAGCAGCGACAGCGACAGCATCCTCGTCCAAGACCACCGGCGGCGGACCGCGCCAATCGAAACTAGCCAAAGAAAACAACATCACCGCCCAAGAAGAAGCCGAGATCAAAGAAGCATTCAGTTTGTTCGCCGAACCAATGGATGGCGAGAAGCAAGGGGTGATTCCAATAGGGGATGTTAGACGGGCGATGATGTTCGTATCCATTACCTATTTTCCCCAATCCTACCGTCGCAAACCAGATCGCAAAGCTAACAACCCCGACAAAAAACAGCGCCCTAGGCATCCCCCCCAAATCCAACCACGAACTCCGCGAATTCACTTCCATCCTCGACCCGGAAGACGAAGGTTTCGCCACCTACCCATCCTTCCTCGCCATCTGCGCCATCAAGCTTTCGTCACGCGATCGGACCAGCGAAGCACATATGCGCGAGGTGGACGAGGCGTTTGCTTTGTTTGTTGGTCGCTCGGTGGAGGAGATTGCACAACTATATAATGATGATCACGACGACGATGAGGACGACGAAGAATACCAAGACTATGAAGGAGGAGGGGAACAAGAAGAAAAAGAAAAACCGCCGGTGATAACCCTAGCCCACCTTAAAAGGGTCGCGACCGTGTTGAAGGAGGAGAATATCAGTGAGGAGTTGTTGAGGGATATGATTTTGGAGGCGAATGGTGGCGCGGGGGTGGGGAAGGGGGTGAGGATGGAGGAGTTTGATGGGGTTATGAGGCGGGCGGGGGTTTGGAGGTGAGAAGGGTGGGAAGGGAGATGGATAGCGGATTTTTTGGACTATTTGGGAATGAATGGGAGACGGCCGGGCCGGGCTGGACTGAATTGGACTGGGCTGGGCTAGGCTAGGCTGGATGATGCTCTCCCCGTACTTTGCAGTACCCGAGAACTGACGGACGAACGAATGCGAGCACTGGGAGCGGTCAGTAGCTGCTATGGCGTTAGTAGACCCGCGTGAAACGCGCTTCACCGGGCTGGAGACTTGGGATGGGCGTCTGGCTGGATTGCAATGCCATATTCGATGGGTTCGAGCTATTAGGCATCCCCAGCGCAGCAGACGAGACGGACACAAGGAGGCGTTAGGCATTCCTGCAGGGTTGTCACGCAACTATGCGCCCCGGAACGTTGAAGGAGCGATTCACATATTGAAAACCGAGCAAATGCCACAACACTCGAGCCGAGTGAGGGAAGCCGTGGGCATGGGTCGACAAGATGTTTTGAATCGGGGGTCAGTCTTCTCAAGGGAGATGAAGGTTGGGGTTTGAGGGGGGAGGATTATGCGGACAAATGTGAAGGCACGGCGAAAGGTTATACCGCGTTGAGATGGGGAACTCTTGCGCTAAGCTTAGGCGAAAGAGACGAAAGCACACTCGCGAAGTAGAGGGTATACCCCTCGTACGAATCAGATCTAGATGGTGTATATCGTATCGTATTTTACAAGGTATCGTAACAAGACCAACAACACCACGCTCTTCGTCTCCTTGTATATCATACATGAATGGCTACATGAATGGCATTTGAACTTGCTCAGTGCGACCTTTTCATCATTCATAATACATTTCTAACTTGAACAAGTGGTACATATGGTACAGCTTCCCTCGGTGTGCCAGCAGACTGGAGAAGGGTATAAACAGACAAAAAAAAGGAAGAGAAAAGAAAGTGAAGAGACAGTGAAGTCTAAGTATATAGCCAAATGAACGATTCCGTAACGCCATGCAAAAAGCAGAGAAAGAAGAAAAAAAGAGAGAAAAAGGAAAGAAACTTCAGGTCTTTGTGCTCAACCGTTGGGCATGTCAACTGACATATCGTACAATCCGTCTCTGTTTATGTTCAGGTTCTATCGCCACTGGAAACAATTTTTCTCATGTTCCTCGTGGAATCACCGTCGGGCTCATGACGGGGTATACCTAGCGCTCGACAACAACTCCCCACCGTCAGCCTGAGGGCTTCGAGGACTAGGTAGTTTCGTCTTAGTAGGTGTCGTAGGTGAATATGTCTTAGCACTAAGCGTCACCACCTCTTCAGCCGGACCCATTGGTGAATAGACCTTCGGGCTGAGTGTCTCCAGCTTCTGTACTGGACTCGTAGGCGTATAAACCTTCGAACTGAGCAACACGGGCTCATCTGCTGGACTCTTCGGGTCGTAGACGGTCGGACTGAGCGTCTCGAGTTGTTCCTCGCCCTCGCCCTCGGGCTCCGTGTACGTCATTGAATCCCTCCGCGGGAATTCTTTGTTGACGGGGGTATCAAAGTCCGTTATCAGCGGAGGAGGCTGTTTCCTCTCCGGTATTATCGTGTTCATCCGACCGAGACTTGGGCAGTTGATGCCGTGGACGTCGGTACCTGGACTCAGGAGTGGAGGTACCTTCTCAACTGAAGAGAGACGCAGGCCGATTTGGACTGTGGCTGATGAGACCAGTGAAGAGTTTCGTCGGTGGCCACGGGCGGCGAGGAAACCCATTGACGGTGGGGGCTTGAGGGTATCGGCGTCTGAAAATTTGGAGGAGGCAGGTGTATATGTTGTTGATGGTAGGAGGGCGGCGGATGGTCTCGCGGTCGGTGGGCTGATCGGGAAAAGCGAGTAGGACTCTTTTCGCATATGGCTAGCGACAGAGGGTGTCGAAGGTATCTGTGCGGGCTCTGGTATCGTAGGTGTACGGAAAAGGATAGTCGGCGTGACAGGGCTGTCTTCTGCCTCTTCATCTCTGGTCGTCCTTATTAGACTGGCGTTGCTGCCCATGCGGCGAACTTTTCCGGGGCTCGTCACTGGCCGCATGATGTGACTGTCGAAGTCCAGTCCGCCCGAATCGTAGCGTTCAGCCTTGTTGTACCCTTCCCTTCGATTCTCGTAATCTGCATCCTTGTTTTTCGGCCCGATCGTGGATATAGTGTTGGATTTCAGGAACAAGTATAGGCCTCCCGTCATCAAGCCTGATATATTGGCGACAACAGCAGCAACCATGGATAAGTTGAGAGCGTGCCTTCTTTGGCCGCCAAAGGCTATAACGTAGAAGTATGGGATCATGAGTGCCTAGTAAAGAGTGAGTATAGCAGCAGAGCTGGATGGTCATGGCAGACTTACCTCTGATATGACTGCTAGTGCCATGTAGTAAACCATCCTTGAAGCAGCAGCCCTCTCGACGAGCTCTACCTTGTTGCTCCGGTGCAACCTCACGAAGACGACCACGGCGCAAACCAAGAGCAAAGCAGATATGCCCACTAAAAGACCAAAACACTCGACCGAATAGTGCGCAACGAACCAGAAAAGCGAAGTAATGCAAAAATTGGAGGACCGATCCAGAATAGCCACCAACAAGTTCACAAGGAGAAGCAAGCCAACCACGGTAAGGCAGATTGTCACGTTCCACCTCCCTCTCGGAGCAAATGGCTTCTTTAGCAGGCTCCTTATTGTGACTTCAAGTCCAAACACTAACTGGACATATGGAACGATGAAAACAGCTGTGAATGGTCAGATTGGATCACATATGTTTGACGCCATATGAGCTTACCAGGAAACATGAACACGGCAATCAGGGTACATCCGGAGCCGAAGAGCGAATCAAGTCCCATTGACTGGGCAACGGCGAATGTGATGCCCTGGACAACAATACCGACTGATAGAATAAGCGGAAACGCCTCGGTCGCGGGCACAAAGGAGAAGCCATTCCGACTAGGGATGCGTAAGCACGTAGCAAGTGACGGAGTGTTCCATGCCAGCCTTACCTAAACCTAAACCTCTTATTCTCCCTCTTCTCACGATGGTAGGTATCGACCAGAATCCCAACAGCCGTCGCAAAAGCTGCTATGGTGTTGAAGGAGGCCAAGATGACGGTGGATGTTCTGATGGATTTGGCGGCAGCAAACCGGAATTGGGTGAAGGTCTGTGAATCCGGCGAGTTCGTCGCCGACTGGAACATGCCATAACCTGTCCGGCTCGAATCACTTTCCGGCGTCCATCGTGTGTCGACCCGCGACTCTAACCACCCGCCGCCTCCATCCAAAGCGTAAAATGGCGACATCGGGATGGTTGTAAGACAACCACAAGGTTGGCGATGGCGGTAAGCCGCAGCAGTGGCCTCGGACCTGTCGTCGTCAAGTCATGAAAACTCGTCGAATTTGCTGACTCGTAGTTGGTTTGATCAAGGTGGGATGAATGGAGAGAAATGACATGGGATGGAGGAGTAGATCAAGCATAGCATGTGGAGGTTGACCGTGGATGGGACGAAACAAACCCTGAACTCTTGAACACCAAAAGCGAACTCCGGGCCCTTCAAGAAGCACATAGCGTAGATAGGATGGCCCAGGGCATATCGCATAGACCGCACGGGTGAGTCCGGACTGGGACTGGATTCCCGGACGGACAGAAGAGAGCCCGTCCATGGAACATGGTTCAGTCGTAGTGAGACTGGATTTGATAATACTGAGAAATATGTTTTGTTTCTCGGCCACTGGCGACATTGGGTCCACACATCTGAAGCCGTTGAGACTCCTCAAGGGATTGCACTTGCAGGCCAACCATGTGTTCTTGGAAAGTCTTCCTCCATCCAGCTAAGCAAAATTAACTGCTAGCACGTAAGCTTGCGCATATCTCTGACCATCATCTCGGAAAAGGCCCGGCGGATGAGGACCGATTCGATCATCAAGTTGAGGAGTCGATGGCGTATCCATCTTGGAGGTCGATGGCACCCGTGGACAAGCATCACCGTTGGGTAGCAAGGCCATTGTCTGGGGCTCCTGGGAAGACGACGGAAAGGCTCAGATCCGGTGTGAGATCGTGTGACCAAATGCGACGAGAGATCCAAGTCATGGAAATCGGCGAGATGTCATCTGGTTCGGCAAGGAGGCCGAGGAGGTGTGTGGGAGCATGGGAGATGCCATTTTTGTTGCAAGGGTGAAGTTCAAACTTGAGGCAGTCCTGGAACAGAAGAGCCCCTCGATGACCCCAGTGTCCCCTATCGCCAAGCCTGAAGTCCGTGCGTCTAAGGCCCATATGTGGAGCGTTCCTGCCAAGACCAGGGACGTCCAGGGGCACTAACACAACCCTAGATCTAGGGCCCAGAACTTCAGAAGGGTCCCTGCGGAGATCAAACCAGATGAACCTCTTCACGGCACGAGGAATTCAACATCGTGAGAAATTCTCTCAGTCAAGACTCGCCCCCCCTCTCGCTTGTGACGGCACTTGTGGTGGCTGCGATTTCACCTAAGATCATCATGACTTCGCCTCCGAAGTGTTGATCCGTGTCATCTTCACTGGGATGTGATGTTTAGCAGCAGATGTCGACGAGCTTGTGTCTCCCGGCAACCATGTAGAAGATCAACAAAACTCGGGGAAGAGGATCATACACGTGAGCGATATAGAAGGCAAAACAGCAAGGGAAACATATCTTTTGCGCCTTGCCACTAAGCCCCTCCGACCAATTCCCATCGGCCTGTTCACTCCTCTCCGCTGTTCATGACGCAAGTGGTCGGAACAGTAGTACGAACAAGCTGTGCAACGAGACAGCCATGCTCGCGACGCAGTGTTAAATCTACTGATTGCGATTAACACCCACATCACTCACCAACCGCCTCAAGTTTCTCAACAACCCCTTACCAGACCCCCAATCACAGAGACTTCTTAGCCTTCACCGCAGCATCCCTGACCTTAAAGGCGCTCAAGATCTCCCCAGACGCCACATAAATGACATACGCGGGGATGACCACCCAAAGACCGTTGAAGAAGGCCAGGTAAAGCCACAGGTACATCCAGTTGCTGGTATCGAGGTTGACGCTGCCCACGAGCCACTCGGGACAGAAGGTCATCCAGCCTTTTAACCTCATGTGTTAGCTGTGGCCACATAGCGATACCTAGAGAACCAAAAAAAAAAAAAAAAAAAAGAACAGGAAAGGAAAGGAAACGGAGGGGAGGATACATACCGCCGTAAATCTCAGCCGTAGCAATCATGATCATAACAATGTTAACCCTCGAGTTCTTCTTGGCAATGTCGTAGCAGACCCAGCAAGCCATGGGACCGACGACAAGGACGGTGAGGAGCTCGAGACTGACGACGCTCTGTGTAAGGTGGGCGTGGTTAGCAAAATAGCCTCATCATCTTCCCATCTTCCAATTGTCTCGATGTTCATCATGAACGTCCAGCCCGTCGGTAGCTGTCACCATCACAACCACCTTCTCCCACTCGCATTCCTCATACCCCTTCCCAACATCTCCCACTTCTTGCCGGCCTCGAAACATCATCCCATCAATCCTCAATTCCCGTCACCCTTGAAATAGCCACGGAAGAAGAAAAAAACCGGAAAACTCACCAAATCAACCCCAGCCCACCTCTTATCAGCCTTAGCATAAACCATCCACAACTCCGCCGTGCCCCTCACAATCTTTTCCAGAAACCCACCGCCCACATCCCCGGCCTTCGCGGGGCCACCCACCACCCCCTCCACAAACTTCCCAGCGACAGCCTGCGTACCATGCACTCTATCGATTCTTCCGAGATAGTTGTATGGGTCGATAAACACCTCCTTGGGATCCAGATGGCCACGAGGCGCGGAGGAGAAGAAGCAGTGGTAGAGGAAGCTGCCCTCAAGGCAAAAGTGGATTAGCGCATCGAAGGCATGCCAGATGAAAAGGAACCGGTAGCGGGACGTGGTGGTCTTGGGATCGAGGGCCAGGCGGGAGAGGGAGTAGGCTGCCACGAGAATGGCAACGGTGGAAGCGAGAGAGATGAGTGTCGTTTGGTCAAAAAGATCTGGGGGAAGTGTGTTCAGGAAAGATTCCAACGATGATGGGGCGGTAGTGGACGCCATCTTGCAATTGCAGCTGTGTCTCGTTGAGTTTGACGGAATGATGTTGAGCTTCAACAGAGTGGCTCTTAAATCCTGAAAGACACGAAGTCGCGATGTTGATCTTTGTGGCCCGTGCACAACCCCTGTAGTGTCGTTCAGCTTAGAGTGGATCAACATCTTCGTGTAAGACGTTCGAGCTGATGATATTTGGCCAACTGTTGAGGTCCCTGATCTGTATCATGTCAAGTCACGAGTGAGGTATCGTTTCGAATTCCCCCAGGTGCCAAAAGAGCAGTAAGAAAGGTAAACATGTGCATCGTCACCATATCACTCGAAGTGACCAAAGTTGGAAAGCATGCAATGTCAGAAAAGCATGTTGATGTCACAAAAGCACAAAGAATCTCAGTGTAAGGCATTAATCGGCAGAGAGCCGGGTCAATTCCTAGCTAGAACGGACCAGTGTCCATGCCTATGTAACAGGGGTATCGGTTCTGGTGTAATGCTAAAGCTGCCCTTCGAAATTCCAAGCCAAGTGTCGTAAAGAAACCCTTGGCAAACTCCTTAACCGGCCATTATCATCAAGTCATGATCGAGGAAAAGGAAATGGAAGACGACTGTTGGTGAAGTCGCTTAGTGGGTAGCACCCTGCTTGTGGGCCTCGGCCTTAGCGTCGTGCTTGTTCTCGGAGACCTTGTCGGAGATGGCATCACCGGCAGCGTTGAGACTGAGAGGAAGATGAATGTTAGTGTCTGATGATGGCTGTGAGTGAGGAAGATGGTGAAGCTTACCGAGTGCCGACGCCCTGGTTGGAGTCCTTGGCAACGTCCTTGTTGGCCTCCTTGGAAGCAGTGGCGGTAGCGCCTGCGACAATGAGATGTCAGTGACTGTTGTGAAGATGCTGGAGATGTGAAGATGCTGGAGTTGGAGCTGGGAGTCGAAAACGTACCCTGAACCTTGTCACCGACGTAGTTGGCAGCGTTCTTGATGGTATCCATTTTGGTTGATTGGGGGGGTTGTGAAAGTGGTTTGAGTGTTGTGTTGATTGTTTGATTGAGTGAAGAAGTGATTGCTTTGTTGGCTGATGATGGAGAAGAAAAGATTGGGATTGGGGTGGTGGGAGGACAGTCTTATATAGGCATTTGGTTCCCTTGATCGGGAATCGAGAAGACCAAGTTGGAAGCTTGTGTTCCTGGCTGCCTGCACTGCCTGCACTGCCTGCCTGGCCCAAACTGGCATCTACACAGCCCGCAAACAAGCAACAACGGGATGGAATCATGTGAAGATGGAGGAGCTACGTCATGTCCCAACGGGGATGGTGTGTTCCGGCCATCTCGCCAGGATGTTTGGGTGGGGCACTTTGAGAATTGGAGGAGGTGCCAATTTTGGCTTGCAGGAACACTTGCTTCCTTTGACACTTGACCCACTGCAATCGAGATGTACCTTCCGAGCTTTGCATTGCGGGCATTCAACGGCAATTTCCAGTCATCTCTACTTTCCTTGCATTGAGACGAGCGCTTTCTTTGCATGCAAAATGCTCGCAAAGAAGTGAGGCAATGTTCGTCCTTCACCCGTTGTCTGCCGCCAAGCGAGCGGACTGTGACGTCACACCCCTTTGCACCCCAAACACCTCCCCGCAGAAGATGCAAACTGCATGTCACAAGCGCTGTCTGTGTGCTTTTCTGTTACCGAAGGCCGCGCGTAGCCGTGGCATGGATGTAATGTTGCTGTTGAAAGCTCTCCTGCTAGAATTCTCGTCTGATCAATGCCTGTCCTCAAAGTGTCCAGTCATTTGGTTCTCAGCCGAGTGACTTGGCAGTTGCACCAATTGGAAGTGATTCTCTGTAATTCAAACGGATGGCCTGTTCTTTCTTCAGCAGATTCAAGACGCGACGTTGGCTATTTCCTTCCGCGTCGTTGCCTGAGAATCACATTTCATGAAATGGCAAAGTACACAAACTTCCGGAAATGGAAAGAGGCTTCATGGCCATCATCCCTGCCAGTGACGCATGGAAGGGCCTGGCCCGTCAAAGAACGATTTCCATTGGTTGAACCCACACTATTGATGTGCAACTACGTCACGAGGCCCCGCACCGACATGAGACGAAGCTCTGCTAAACTTGTGGGGGAAGAGCCGCCGCGGTCGGCCTGTCAGGGGTGATGGACTCCGGCTGACATTGACACTTGACAACCACGGGCTACATATCAAACCGAGAACGATGTCATCTTGGTTTTGTGATCCTGTGAATTGGTAGATTCGCCTGCCTCGGCTGATGATCTGTTAGGAGCAATGGCGAGATTTCTCGGATTGCCAGATTCCCATCCTGTTTTTCCATGGCAAACTCGCCCTCTTCGATTGATGCAGTGTGAGCACTCATCTGATAGGAAGATGCGCCCCTGCTGTTCCAACGTGTGTAACGGATGCTCGCTGGATTTCCCAGAAGGAACAATGAGGGGTTACTCCAAACCAAGCTCGTCAAGCGCGGGCAACGAATCCAATTGGCAGGAGCAATTACCGATGATCGAGGCCCATTCAACGTTGCTCCTCCTCCCAGTTTGTGCTTGTGCCTGCCGAGCCTGGCCCGAGATGAAACGAATCGGCGATGAGTTGCAGCTTCTCGATCCAATCTTACCAATCCCCATCAACCAACAGACAAGCTTCGAGGCAGGAACCATTGCTTTTGAGCTTGGCGGAGGATCGTGTCCGGTTTAAACTTGCCTTTCACTCATCAGCTGACAGGTGCCGTCAAGGTTCTTACCTTTTGCAAGCAGGCCGCAGCCCGCGAGGTGTCCACTGGCCGAGCATCACGATCTATGAGATGGAAGGAGCACACTGAGATCCGGTTGTTGGCAGTCGTGGGGGGTTGGAAGGCAACCTCGTCGTCGGACACTTGTTGGGACTCAACAGAATCTGGGAGGGTGGTCAGATCGTGACCTCCACATCTTCGTTTGATGAAGCAGGTGCAGATGGCAGAACGAGTTCGTCGGATGTAACAGAAGCAACTCCCGTCAGTGCCATGTTCAACAGAATCCCGCAGCCCATCGTGCCATCCTCACCGAGACCCTCAGGGGAAATCCCAATGAACGGGTAAACCAACGGACAAAGACCGCCCTTGACGCTTTCAACAGTCGAACTCTGTGCAAGAAAGGGCAGTCAACTCGACAGGTCCGAGTCAACGGGTGTCGGTTGCGCAGTCTCATCTCCCCGGACTTCTCCCGCCTCCCGTCCCCGTCATGGAAGAGCTTTCAACACCTTCCGAGACACCTTCCGAGACACACGGCCGGTCGAGGCTTTGGTAAGAGTGCGTACTTGCCATGGAAGACTCGTTGATTAGTTGTGTACTTTGTTCCTCTGCAAAAGTTTTCAGCGATTTCCCAAGTAGGTTTCATAGGTAAGTCTTGACACTTGAACAACTCGAAGACAGGTGTCCGATGCTGGCAATTTCAGAGAAGGCTGGATTTCGGTGTTGCGTGGCACGCTTGCAGACGCCCATTAAGCTGACACATCCATTTCCGCAGCAGTTTCCCCGAGAAAATCGCTTCCACCGCTTCAGCCGCTTCATGCCGTCCGACACCTGCCCGCCACCGCGAAGAGGCTATGAAAACACCACTTGACCGAGCATTTCAGCCTACAGGGCCGACCTAATGACTGACCACCCGCCAGCTGTCGTCCATCGATACAGAGTTCTCGAGAGACCTCCAACAGAAGTCTAGCAACGCTTTTCCGTAGCCCCATGAAGGCGGTAAATGAGACGTGACGCTCTACAAACATGATCTGTGTGAGGAATGGTGACACGCGAGGCTACACATCAACGAGGCGAAGGCGACATTGTTGACCCTGGAAGTTTCATGGCGCTCGCTCGACCTTCTTCAAATCCGCAAAATCCGCGCTGTCGGTTCTTTTCTCCGTCAGACCAGTACAGGAGCTTTCGTGGGTACTTGGGGGTTGAAGACCTTTACTTCAACCCCCAAGTATCTTTGCAAAGATGAATCCAGAGTAACAGAAATACCGTATGATCAAGGGCCATTCGTCGTCGGGACTCAGCAGAACCCGTAGGCCTCAACCAATGGCGATTACATAGACACAACTTGGGTGCCTCGGAGTTCGGTCTTTCGGAGAGATTCGAGCAGTCTGTAAATGCTGGATGTGCTTAGGCTGCTTGATCCCAGGACGACTGGCCCGAGATCACATCGTAGGTGGTGTTGGGATTTGGAAGAAAGAAAACCATCATGTCGACTTGGTGACAAAGTTGTCTTTCAACCGAATGTAGCACGGCGGAATGCGAACCTTGACGAATGCTCTTGGGAGAGCCAAACCCCATGTGAATGCCTCTTGGGCCGCAGGCTAATAATATTGTGATTTAGCTAAACTCAGCGCATACCTAGAAGAATGCGATATGCCAAGCTGATAATAACACATTGCCCCTATTTCCACCACAGGTGCCTAGTCTAGATACCAGTGAACAAGGACACTCTCACCAGCCAAGTTGAGCCATAATGTCTTCCATCACGATGCAAATATCTTCCAAGTACTACATATGAGCTTGAAGCCCTGATTGATCGACGAGCCACCTTCCCCGACTCTAACCCTGTATCTCAACTCTCACTTCTCAAACTTCTTAACCGCCTTCTCCAACTTCCCCTTCGCCGCCTCATCCTTCAAAAGCAGCCTGTACCACTTCTTAAGCATAACCATGTAACCACCAAACTCCTCCCAATTCTCCACCGCCGGTCCCTTAATCTGCGGTGGTTGACTTGTAGCAGTATTAGCATCATCCCCATCCTTTTCCTCCTCATCCATAGCCTCAAAAACAGCCCAAGCCGACCCCTCCCCCGTCCTCAACCCAAACCCCTTCCCCGCCGTCATCGACCTAATCTCCACCTGCTTCAGCAGAATCGCATCACCGGGTTTGACAATCGGCAAAGACTCTTTATGGGCTCTGTACATCTGCACTTCTACCACATGCGTGGGCGCGGTGGAAGGGTCGGTGACGTTGAAACTCATCATGTACTCCCTTGGTCCGCCCTTGGCTCTGGTAGGGTTGGTGGGGATGGAGGAAACCATGGCGACGATGTCGACGTTTTTGCCGAGGTTGTTGCGGATGGACTTTAGGGTGAGGCAGGAGGCGAATTGTGATTGGGTGCGGAGGAGGCGGGAGAGGGAGAGTTTGAGGGTTGCTGGGTCGTTGCTTATAGGTTCGTTTGCAGCTGGGTTGTCGTTGTTGTTGTTGTTGTTCTCGTCGGGATGCGAGGTGGTGGGTTGTGGGGTGGTGATATCCTCAGAGGCGGCGGCAGAGGCAGAGTTGAAGGATGAAGCGAAGCTGCGCTTGGAGGGAGAGGCTAGCGCGGTGGCTTTGGCGTCATCGTTTTCTTCGGTGGTGGCGCTCTTGGGGACCTCGCTTCTGGAGCGGGCGCGGGTGATTCTCGCGCTCGTACGTAGAGGCTCGAGAGCTGGCTGTTGCTTTCTTCCGCGCTTAGCGGAAGCTGTCACGGCCTGTCGGGCGAGCTTAACGCCGAGGTCGGCGTCCTTGTCATCAGCGGATCGGGACTGGTCTGGAGTGACGGTCGTCTGGGATGGCTCTTCCTTTTGCATCGTGGTTTCCTCCTCGGTGGGCTCGGTGGTGGATGGTGCTTGCTCCTTGGTGGGAGTGGCTTGCTTGGACTGGTCTGTCTCCTCGAAACCGTGGTAGGAGACCATCAAAGGTTGAGTATCGGCATCCGTCTCGTCGGCTTGATCCTTGTCGAGGTCCTGGGTATGCTCCTCGGAGATCTCCTCGACCACTATTAGTGAAACCTCATCTTGAGTCTCGACACCCTCCTCCGTAGTGGCTGCTTGAGGTTCTGTTGTGGTTGTCTCAATCTCCTCAACCACTTCCACCTGAGTGACAATCTCCGTGGACTCCTCGATTACTGTCTCAGTAGCGACTTGAGCCTCTTCGGGCTGCAAGGATTCTGCCACTTCCTGACCAAGCAGGCCGCTCTGATCAGGAGTAGGAAGTGGTTTTTGGTGGACAGCTTCCTTTGCTGGTGAGGAGGATCCAACCAGCATAACTTCATCTCCTGCTACATGGCTGGCGAAAGGCCGAGTCAAGGGAGAAGAGGGAAGAACAGCCTGCTGGGGAGCGTGGTCAATGACATCTACAGTCGCAGATGGGCTTGCTTGTGGTTGCTGAGCTGCCGGAGTTTCCGTAACTGTGACTTCTTTCTCGACAGTGACCTGGGTCTCCTCCTCAACCTCAACTACCATCTCGGCATCCTCCATGGGAGAATCCTGCACGTGCGGTGCTTCGGTGATTTCAACCTCGACAGACTCTTCGTGCGTGACTGACATGCTATCCGAGTCGACTTCGATGGTCTCGCTCGTCATTTCGACTTCAACTGCCTGTGACATCTGGCCCTCCTCGGTATGGGTTTCGGGCCTAGGAGTCGCCGCGTCTGCCATCTCTACGTCCTCATCATCGCCATCTCCCATCTCCTCATCCGAGTCAAGTTGAATAGGTCTGGGGGTATCTTGTGACATGAGGGAGACGTGCTCGGCGTCGCTGACTTCCATCATGCTGGCTTCTCTGGACGCACGGACCATGTCTTCGAAGAGCTGATGTTGGATTGCTTCCATTTCATCAGCCTCCTCCACGCGATCAGGTGTTTTCTGCCCTTCATCTGCAGGGGCAGTAACCGTAAGCGATGCTTTCGGCTCAGCTTCGTTAATGGTACCAACACTGTCGGTCTCTGCCCGCTCTTCATGGATGATTATGGTTTCTTGCACCGTCTCTTCAACAGCGACGGGCGACTTCGCCGGGCCCTGAGCTTCGCTCTGGTCAGCTTGAGTCTTCTCTTCTTTGGGCTCATCAGCGGTCTCTGCGGTCTCCTTGACACCGCCTTTCTCGGCTTTGACCTCTTGAATATCGGGTTCGGCGCCCTTGACCTCTGAAACTCCAGTATCGGTCTCCTTGACTTCTTCAACGATGTCTGTGGCCTCAGCAGCGACCGCCTTCTCGTCGACATTTCCCTCTCCTCCTGCTTTCTCCTCCTCAACCTTCTCTTCAACCTCCTGCTCAACCTCGATCTTCTTCTCCTCCTCCACTTCAAGAAAGACCTCTTTCCCATCGTCCTTTTCTACCTTCTCGAAGGCTTCCTCATCCACCGCCGCTTTGTCCTCCTCGTCAATCTCTTCAAGCACCTCTTCCTCGCTTTCGCTGTCAACCGGCTCGAAATTATCATCATCCTCCCCATGTTCCTCCTCTTCTTCTTCGTCGTCTTCCTCACTGGTCGTGTCAAGCAGATCCACAACATGTTCACTGCCATTCTGCTCTTCGACTTCATGTTCTTCGTCTTCCTCCGCAATCTCACTATTCTCTTCCTCATCCTCGTCAAGCATCTCGTCGTCTTCTTCCGACTCGGACTCTTCCTCAGGCCGCTCAACGATTTCTGCATCACTTGAGAACCCTTCGAATGTTTCGTCATTGGCGTCGGATTCAGACTTGGGGTTATCCTGATGCTCTTTGAGTTGATCATCTGCTAACTTGGGTAGAGCCTCTTCACCAGGTTTGGAGCCAGATTCGTGCTTTTCGACTTGCTCTGTTGATAGAGTGACGACAGTCTTGGGCGGTTCGGTTTCCTGTGCGGGACTCCCCACTTCACTGCTAACATCCTTGACATCTGCTACACTGGAACTTGGAGCCACTTCAGCATCTGTGATAGCAGCCGGTTCTGTATGAGCGATCTCCATCGCAGACTCCAGTGGCTTTGCGTCCTCTTTGGGCTGGAGGTCATGGTCCTTCTGATCTGCTGAAGATGGTTTATCAAGGTGTCCGACCCATGGTTTTGATTGATTCTCAGTAGGCTCTTCCTTCACAACAGGTTGCTTAACGGTGGGTTCTTCCTCTTCGGCAGGCTGATCCTTTTCGGCAGGCGGAGATTTCTCTATTTGCTGAAGACTGGTGCCTTCTGTAGTCGTAGGTGCGCGCACGGGCGGGGATGAATGGCGAATGCTGAGTTGTCGAGCCATCGTACGTCTGCTCGTAGGGGGAGCTGGTTGAGGTGGTGGAGGAGCCTCATCTTCGTCCTCCGAATCTGATAGCAAGCTTATAACGACGGGATCCGCCGGTGCGGCAGCAGCTGGTGCGCGCCCGGGAGGATGCTGACCGAGGTCAAGATCCTCGGACTCGTACGCATCCTCATCATCATACCGCGTGCGCTCTCTCTCCCAGTCTTCGGCATAGTCGTCCATTTCCTCGTCTTCGTCATCTTCATCGTAGACGTCGCCCTCGCCATATCGCTCTGTAACCTCCAGCTCAACTTCTTCGTCGTCTTGACTTATTCCCTCGTCGTCGCTTTGAGGCTTGTTGTATTCGCGTTGGTCATAGTCACCTTCTTCGATTTCCTCTCCATAATCGTCGTATTTGACCTCATCGTCAACACCGATATCATCTTCATCGGCCTCGTTGAGCTCCTCGTTCTCCACAAGCTCCTCGATTTCAGATCTCTCGGCATCTTGTTCGGATTCTGCTCGTGATTCGGGCTCTTCAAAACCAACAAGGCCTTCGGTGCCCGGGCCGTAGCTGCTGAAGCCTTTCGGAACTTGATCTGGACGAGTCGGATCGGCATGCAACGAAGGATCCTCGATAATGGCTGGAGTACCTTGGTTGAGAGCATCGGCCCCAAAGTGACCACCCTCAATTGGGTTGTAATGCGGTGCCTGAGTTGCCATCTCCCACTGGCCTTGCTCAAAGCTCTCCGTACCTGTCGGCCCTGGTACTAGGTTATAGTCCTGGCCATGTTGCAGTTCGGGTTTACTCTGAGCAATGTTCATGTACGACTCCATGCCCTCGTACTTAGCGGGGATGGAATGGTCAAGGTAAGAGTCTGGATACGGTCCAGGTTCTGGCGCAACGTGCATCTGTGGTTCTGGAACTCCTGACTGGGGAACCTGAGGTGTGTGCGAAAAACCAAACCTCACTTGGTCGGCGATACCATAATCGGACTCAACAGGGACACTAGCCGGTGTGCCGAACATGGAAAGGCCAGATACCATGGGTTTCGAAGCTCCAAATAGCGAATTAGCCGGTGGGTGAGCTTGGTTGTCGGTATGTTGGTATGGATATGACTGGTTTATGGTTCCATTTGCCATACCAAGAATGTGAGAGGCGGCGTGGGCCACTTCTGTCTCTTGAAGCGCGGTATCCTTTGATGTCTCCTGGTTTCCAATATCCACCTTCTCCCAAGTGGCCGGGCGTGGAACTGCTTCCACTTTTTCTGTTGGGGCCTGCTCGGATGCCGCCGGTGGGATGGACGTCATCTCAGATTCCACGGTCTGGCTGGCTCCATCCGTCATTTTAGGTTTTGGTGCAGGCGCTTCTGTAACCGTATCTTCCTCCATAGCATCGTGATCCGGTGACTGTGCCTGACTCACTGGGTCTTCCTCGGGCATAGGTTCCGGTTCGGGAGTCGGGGATTTACTGGAGTATCTCCATGTATTGCTCTTCCGCGCGAAGCGTGATCGCTTGCGACCTTTGCCCTTGATGCCGCCATCCTCCTCGAATATGTCAAGTCCATCCTCGAAAAGGGAGCCGTATGAAATTCTAGCCCTCTTGATGAAAGCAGGCGATGGGTATTCGTTCAAAGCAATATCTGGGACATTTCGAATAGCCGACAACTTTTCGATAACGGACGGTTCTGGTTCGATCACAGTCTGCTCCAGCTGCTGTATCGCCGACGGTTCTGGCAGCTCATCTGGCAACTCGGTTTGTTCGCTGTCGACGTTGATGTGTTTCGGTTCGTCGGATCCGTTCAGCTTCACCTGAAGTACCAATTTTTTGTTGAACTGCAACTGCCAGTCTACTCGAGCTCCAGGAATGCTCCCGGGCGACTCGTCCTTTGTCCACTCGACGCCGTCGAGACTGAGCAACACCTCATCGCAAGCTCCCAGTCCACAGTCGGCGACGGCCTTCGCGCTTGGTCCATGGAGCTGCACCCGCACTTGACCTTTGGTTCGACGGAGGCGTACATCGGGCTCGGCGAGTAGGAAAGCGAGAGTATGGGTGACCCTGTTATAGGGCCATGTGATGGTGATCTCTCCTCGAACACTTCGTGAGTTCTGGTCGGGGAGTTCTGGGTCTAGTTGCGCAATTGGCGTCACTGTCCGTGATTCGAGAGCCACGACGGCTGCACCATCGATCGCATCGGCCGATGCCATTTTCGTGCGAATCAAGTTGGCCGGGGCCAAAGAAGAAATGTCGTGTTTAGCGCAAAGTAAGAAAATACGATTATGTCATTTAATGAAGCCCGTCGCGAAGCCAGCGCGAAGGGTGTTGGTACAGCGCGCGGCACTGCGGATAGGTGTAGTACTGTAGGTAGGCAGATCTGACAGCTCAGCGCTAGGATCAGTGACAGTGACGGCTCAGGGCCAACAAGGTGCCTCGGACGAAAGAAAAATTGCTGATTGTCAGATGGAAATCAACCAAACAAGTTGTGAGCAAAGACTCAGTTTCCCATCCAGACAAGATGCTTAGTCGAAAGGGATCTCACGTCACCTCAACTAAAAGGCAGGAAAAGAGGGAAGATTGTGGACGGACGGGAGCATCCGAGGTGATGACAGCTTCCCTTCAAAGACGGGAGCTGGGCTCGCTGTTTGCTCCAGTTGGTGATGCAACTGTGAAAGCTTCCCCCCAGGCGCCCAAAATATCGGTGCGACAGGGCAGTTTCGCGTGCCACAGCTCCAGCTTGGACTTGCCCGTTTGCGCCTTCCGTCTCGAAAGGGAAGGCGGTGAAAGCCCAACTGACAAGCTCTCACAGTCTCACTAACAATTTCCATCCCTTGGGCTTCCGTTGCACTTGGAGCAATGGAGGTCAGTGCGTCATTTACAATCTCGTGATTGCTTCATCCTTGGAACTTCAGTCTAAGGGCGTGTTTGGCGCCCTGGAATTGGGCCTGGAAATGGGTTTTCGGAAGTGTTGTTCAGAGGAACCGCACGAACCGTTCTGAACCGGATTTTGGCGGTAAATGCCGAGGATTTCAACTCCACACAGTTCCACCAGAAAACCACTTCCGAGTGCAATTTCCGGGTGCCGTTTGGTGCTCTAGAATATTGGAGACCTAACCGTAGAAGGCACGCGGCGTCATACGCAACAACGATTGGAATTTCCTAACATACCCATAGAGAAGCTCATGCGCCGTGAACCAACCGCTTCTACCCATATTTATGGATATAGGGTTAGCCCAGTACGTAAGGGTACTCATCATGAGCATGATAGTGGCTTGCAGTAATCGTCGCTGGCGTCGATGGCGAGCCTTCGCTGTAGTGCATATCGAGGTTGGTGGTGGTGGCGGTTGGGGGTGTCACGTGGTCGTATTTAATAGCCAGAAAGGGAAAGAGGTCGATTTAAAATCGATTTCAGAAGGATTTTGTACTAGAATCGATTCAGGGCCAATTCAGAAGAATGCACGACATTTTATTGGCTACCATTCAGTTGTGGGTACCAGAATTTCCGAGACCCAGTTTTGGTGGCATTTCCGTGTGGAAATGTTCCGGGTGGCGCCAAACGCCCACTTGGGAATGGGAGCTGGAAGCTTTCCAGGTGACACTTCCAGGGCGCCAAACACGCCCTAACCCTTCTTCTTTTAACAACATATATATTTATTTACTACCATTTTTTTGCCCTACTCTTACTCCTGACGCCATGGGCTCACAAAAACCGAGGCGATTCAATGTCAAAAAGATCGCAATTATTGGGGCTGGCCCCTCCGGTCTCGCTGCCGCCAAGTACCTGATCGCCCAAAAGGTCTTTGAAGACATTGTCATCTTTGAACGGCAAGATGAAGTAGGAGGGGCCTGGCACTACAGCAAGGAACCGACACACACCTTACATGTGCCTCAAGTGAGCGCCTACTGCCCTCCCGACCCTCCTCTTCATCCCGAGGGCAAGCCTCCACTCTTCCCTTCGCCCATGTACGAGGTCTTACACACGAACATCCCGCGCCATTTGATGCAGTTTTCAGACAAGCCGTTCCCCGAAGATTCGCTCATCTTCCCTTCCCGTGAGCTTGTGCAGGAATATCTGGTGGACTACGCCAAAGACATCCGGCATCTTATCAGGTTCTCAACTCTGGTCCAAGATGTTCGTCTAAGGCAGGACAGCGACGGCCGTGATCAATGGGATGTGGATGCACTCACTCTGGAAACGGGCGAGGTTACTACTACCACCTATGATGCCGTTGTGGTGGCTTCGGGTCATTACTACACCACATTTATTCCCGATGTCAAGAACATCGCCGAGTTCCATAAAGCGCATCCGAATGTCATCACCCACTCCAAGCTGTACCGGACCCCCGAGCCCTTCGCAAACAAAAAAGTGATAGTTGTTGGCAACTCAGCATCGGGTATTGACATTGCGGCTCAGATCAGCCGCGTCAGCCAACAGCCATTGCTTCTATCGGTCCATTCCGCTACACCGCCGGCTCACTTGGAATGGATTGGCGCAGAAGAGGTGCCGGCTATAACAGAGTTTCTGGTGGAGGAACGAGGTGTGAGGTTCGAGGATGGACGGATCGAGAAGGACATCGACGCTATCGTATACGCCACCGGCTACCTCTTCACCTTCCCTTTCCTGAAATCGCTGCAACCACCATTGGTAAACGACGGGCGCCGCGTGTATGGTCTGTACAGAGACCTGATTCACATCGATCACCCAACACTAGTGTTTCCGGGGCTTCCCATCAAGGTCGTCCCCTTCCCCTTTACGGAAAGTCAGGCAGCGATTTTCTCCAGGACATGGGCGAATTTACTACCGCTTCCCTCAGTGGAAGATATGAAGAAGTGGGAAGATGAAGAGGCAGAGAAAAGGGGCCATGCTTTTCACGTTTGGCCCAAACTTGGCGATGCCAACTTTATCAATGAGGTCCATGACTGGATCAAGCGGTCGGGTACTAAAGGGAAGGAGCCACCTTTTTGGAATGATGAGCTGGTCTGGCAAAGAGGGATTTTTTTCGAGGCAAAGCTGCAATTTGAGATTGATGGCGAAAAAGCCAAGTCTCTTGAGGAGCTCGGTTTCAAGTATGAGCCTGAAGAGAAAGAGTCTGAGAAGAAGACGACGCCAACAGAGACTCTGCTGTGACTGGTTCGGCGTGCCTGAATAGGAAATGTTCTGGAAGTCTTATGTCAGCGAGTGAGACACGCACTACCACCTGCCAAAAACTCGGGTGCGTGGCATTTGAGACCGGCGGTGGAAGATCCGGAAGGCTCCGGCGACGACAGGTCGTTCGTGTAAGACAAGCAACGGCACAGACGGCAGTTAGCCGCTTAAGCACGAACACCACCAATTCTATGAATCATAATCGGGAACCGCATTCAATTGTCAAAGAAACACCCATCAAAGAGAACAGCCACTTCGGATTCTTCCCGGGGAATCGGCACGGTCCCCAGCCAAAAAAAGGCGGACAGGGGCAACGTCGGCGGGGCCTTGGCCTTTCTGGGCCCAGATGGAGGAAACAGGGGGAGGCCATCATGCGTTCTGGACAGTGGACCGTGGACAACGAATTGATAACGTAACCACCAAAGGGCATGCTTTGCACTACCTGACTGGTTCTTACTGGCCAACAACTCGGACATGGCTCTCCCACCGTGACCGTGAGGTTTGTAATCAACTTGGCCTTGAACTTACCCCCCAAAGTCGGATCAATGAACCCATTTATAAACTGTTCTTATCCCCGAACAACAATCTATCTTCCCGGAGAAAGGTCAAAGCTTTGAATCCAATGTCGAGGATAATCCCCATTATTCCTGGCTCATCAAGTCTGACCATGTCTGAGAGCTCAGTAGCTTATCGTGATGGTCCCCAACTCGGTGCCGATGGCAAGCCGTTGCCGCTCGACTTCACCCATTATCTCTCCGAAGTGACAAAGCGTCGCCAGGCGAGCTCGATGAAAAAGTACTATCGATTCTTTCAGATTCCCGGAATCAAGAATCTTGCTGGCGGTTCGTCCTTTTTCTCAAATTTGTCACATCCCTTGGACATTCTTTTCAAACTTCGAAACTCAAAACTCCAACCTCAAAACACCACCACAACAACACTCATCGCAAGTAGTCTTGATAAGGAAACTAACATCACGATAAGGTCTACCAAACACCAAATTCTTCCCCTTCGAAACTCTCGAAGCCCAAAGCGCAAAGCCGGAAAGATGGCAACCCACCCCGAACCACCCCTCGCCGGGAACCGACAAAAAAGACCCGGCCGCCGCCGAGCCCGCTCACATCACCGTCCCCACGGTCTCGGGTGAGGCCAACCCCATGAAAAAAGTAGACGTCGCCACGGCCCTGCAGTATGGCCAAGCAGACGGCTACCCTCCTCTCCTCGACTGGGTCCGCAAGTTCACCCGCGACCACCTCCACCCGGATGCCCCCTACAGCGGCGGCCCTGATGTGATCCTCACCTGCGGCTCGACCGATGGCTTCGCCAAGACGTTGGAGGCGTTCGTCAACCCCTGGATCGACGGCCTGAACGACCCCCGGGAACGCCCGGGGATGCTGTGCGAGACGTTTATCTATCCCCAGATTCTTAGCCAGGCGGAGCCGAAGGGCGTGCAGATTGTGCCGGTCAAGGCGGATGAGATCGGTATGTTGGTTACGGGACCGGGTGGGCTTGAGGATGTGTTGGCGAATTGGGATGCGTCGAAGGGGAAGAGGCCGCATTTGATGTATACTGTGACGTGAGTATCCTGCCCCCCATGAAGGGACTTAACGGCACGACTAACCCACGCAAAACAGCCTCGGCCACAACCCAACCGGCTTCGTCATCCCCGTCTCCCGCCGCAAGGAAATCTACGCCATCTGCAGCCGCTACGACGTGATCATCGTCGAAGACGAGCCCTACTGGTACCTGCAATTCCCATCCGCCACCGCGGCCAACATGGCCAAGGCCAAGGCAACCGGCCAGAAGCATTCTCAACTCCCCCAAGAAGAAGTTTCCAAGCGCTCCGTCTCAACCGGCTTCCCCTTCCTCGACTCTCTCGCCCCCTCCTACATCTCCATCGACGTCGACGGCCGCGTCGTCCGCCTCGACACTTTTTCCAAAACCATCGCGCCCGGCTGCCGTCTTGGTTGGATCACCGCCCAGCCCGAGCTCATCGACCGGTTTGTTCGTATCGCCGAGACTTCGACTCAGCAACCTTCTGGTTTTGTGCAGTCTTTGGTGGCAGAGTTGGTGATGGGGCCTCAGCCTGAGGCTCCCTCCTCCTCCTCTTCCTCTTCCTCTTCCTCTTCCTCCACTACCACCACCAGCACTACTACCTCCTCTTCCAGCAGCGGCTGGTCTCTATTCCGCTCCAGTGCCCAACCCAAGCCAGCAAAAGAAACCACCCCCTCCGGCGAAGGCTGGCAAATGACCGGCTGGGTCCGCTGGCTCGAAGGCCTGCGCGGGATGTACGAGCGCCGCATGAACCGGATGTGCACGATTCTCGACACCGGCTCTTCCCTGATCTCTTCATCCACCCGCTTGCGCGCCACCACCGGTGGTACCTCAGAAAAAGGAACCCCCGGCGACTGGGAAGTCATAACCACCACGCCGCTGTACACCTACTCCTGGCCGGAGGGGGGCATGTTCATTTGGATACGGATGCACTTTGACACGCACCCTCTTTGGCAACATCCTCTGTTCTTTTCCGGGGAAGGAGAGAAAACAAAGGTAATCGACGGCCCCACGCTCGGTCTAGCCCTAATGCTCTTCTTGATGACCAAGCCGCACCTGGTCTTGGCTTCTGCGGGGAACATGTTCGCCGCCACGCCCCAGATCAGGGAGGAGATCGGATGGCAGTATTTCCGGTTGTGTTTTGCGGCGGTGAGCGAGGAGGACGTGGATAGCGGTGCGCAGCGGTTTGTGGATGGCGTGAGGGCGTTTTGGAAGATTACGGATGCGAGGGTGATTGAGAAGTTGGTGGAGGAGCTGGGGAAGGCTGATACTTCCGAAGAAGAGGTGGTGGCGAGGGTTATGGGGCAGGATATGGAGGGGGTGAATAACCTTGGGGGTTGGTTGGGGTGCTAGGTAGATCTGGGGATAGACTGACTACCTCTAGAGATGGGGGTTTAGTAGAGAGTGCGATGAAGGGAGAAGGGTACAACGTATGTATATGATTTTACGATAATTGGGACATAACGAAGATCTGGTCAAAAGGGTGTCCATTGGGGAGAAACGAAGACCATGATGTTCTGGCTGAAAAGTGTCATCATGATGTCTTGTTCGAGTGAATCGACGCCACGGCTCGCTTTCGATTGATCTATTTTCGTACTCAGAGTCCGAGCCTGCAAGTCCGAGGGAACAGAGGGTGGTGAACCGGGTAGTGCGCCGCATTATCGCGTCTTTGTTAACCTTATTCAGACGACTGTGACCGGGCTTGTCTGTCTCTTCTCTGAGCCGCCGCTTTCTGGCAAGTCCGTATGATTTTACGATAATTGGGACATAACGAATTTTGTTGAACATGACTCCATTTTGAAGGGCGTTATGGGCCACATTGGTACCAACCTAAAGTTTGAGGCGGATGAAGACTTTGATATCAGATGAATTTTACTGTCCTACCAAGGTGGGAACATTCGCATGATCACATGGGAGACGGCTTAGCATGCAAACAAATGGGGTATTGAATCTACAAGGTCACTCGCTCAAGTACCGAGATTTTGGTGAACAAAGAAAAGGAAATTCGTTCGGTTTCAGAATTCATTGATGTGTGTATTGTGAACACATGCCTAATCCATGACGCCGAATTCGCATCCACACCTTCCTGCCTTCCGTTTTCCCATTAACCCCAAATTTACTCCTTGAGGAGGGCCTTGAAGGTGGCGGGAACGCGCTGGGGCTTGCCCTCCTCCTTGATCTCGCCGAGCTTCTCCTTGGCGAAGGTAGCGGCGTAGGGGTTGAGGCGGAGGAGAACCTGCTTGTTGCGGAGAGGGTTCTTCTTCTGGACGTTGGTGCGCTTGGTCTTGGCGTCACCCTTGGGGGCACGGAGGACGGACTGGATCTCAGAAGAGTTGATGAGGCGGGTAAGGTCGGCCTGGGCGACAACGTTGGCGGGAAGCTGGAAGCCCTTCTTGGACTCGTAGACGGCATCAAGCTCCTTGATGGCGGCAGAGGTCCAGACGATGAAGCGACCGAGGTGGCCACCGGGGGCGAGCTGGAGAAGGTTGAGGGCATCGACGGGGGAGGTCTCAACACCGGCGATGTTGCGGAAGCCCTGGACGAGGTCCTTGCCGTCGGTCTCGGCGGAGTAGACGACAAGGGGACCGCGACGCTGGCGGTGGCGGCGGCCACGGAGCTTGCCCTTACCGGCGCGGAGCTTCTTGGAGGCCTTGGCCTTCTCGACATCAGCACCAGCACCAACGGCCTTGAGGAGGGCAAGGGCGTTGGCGGTCTTGTTGACACCGGAGAAAGCAGCGGAGTCAACAACGAGGGGAACCTCGGGGACGGTAGCGACCTGGTGGCCACGGGCCATCAGGAGAGGAGCGGCAGCGGAGGCAGCAAGGGCAGAGGCAGTAGCGAAACGCCTGTAGAAAGTCTGTTGTTAGCCATCATTGTTTTCCTTTGGGAAAAAGTTTTGATATCACGTACTTCTGGCCCTGGTTGACCTTGACGTGCCACTTGCGCCAGATCTTGGTGGGAGCGAACATGCGACCGGAACGGCACATGTTACCGAAAGCGGCCTGACCGGCGCGGTGAGTACCACCACCGGAGACACGGGGGATACGGGCAACAGCGCGACCTGTGTTGTGAGATCACGGTCAGCTCAAGTGTTCCCCCACATCGTTGAAAATTTGCCCGTCGAAAATTTTCCCCCAGTTCGGTTTTCGTGATCGTTTCGCGATATCGAGTTCTTCGCCCAACAGAAAATCTCGAATCCTTCCATCGATCATCGTTCCGTCTTCGACCCATTGATTCCCTTCGTGTAATTCCAAAATCGGCCGGGTGTTCACTAACCAGTGCCCCAGGACTCAGCGGAGGTCTGGTGACCAGCCTTCTCGCTGACGGAGTACGGCTGGCGCTTGTTCTTGGCCATGCCGGTGTGGACGTTCTTGACGATATCCGGGCGGATGGGAGCGCCGAAGACCTTGGGGAGGACCTCGGTGGCGCCGGTGGCCTTGCCATCGGCGCCGATGATGGTGACGGTCGGTCTAGAGGCCATTGTGTCCGCTGTTGTTTTTTTCTGAGAGTTAGTCGACAAGTCCCCGAAAATCCAAACAGCAATAATTTCTGCCGCAAAGGATCGTGAGGGCGCTTCCAACGTACCTGTATCTGTGCTCCTGACAGGAAGTTGGGGGATGCGAAAAAAGATCAAGACCGGCGGAGACCCAATTGAAATTTTGGATATTTCGCTGTCGAAAGTGCGCGCGTGGGGCCGCCCTGGCGCACCTGGCAGACCCTAACAGCCGCTAGCCCCCAATTGGGCAGGAAGGTGGCTCTTTTGCAGCTGGCCGACCCCGCGGCAGCTGGCGGGACTGGGGTGCAACATGACATTTCTTGGCATTTTGATATCGCCAGACCAGCTTCCAACGTCATCAACCTCACTCAGCCTGAACGCGACGAGATGGACGATGTTTGGCAATACACTCGAGGGCAATTTCAATGAGGATGCCCAAGCTGCAGCGCGTCATGTTTCGTTTATCTCACCGAGAACGATGCCTCGACACGATGAATACAAGCTAGAAGGTGGTCACTCAGCACCTTATCGCAGGCCTTATCAGAGAACATGACGGCAAGGAGCTCACATCATGGACTGAGATCCTTTACTACCGAAGCTCATATTCTCGCTCCCAGCTCACTGCCGGCCCCGGTCAAAATCATCAACCAAAACATCAAACATTCCCCGGACACGGCCCCGTGATGTTCTCCCAACGGATGTCGGTGATGGGGATGCGGGAGGAGTCGCAGTTTGAGTAGGAGTATGTTTGAGTGTTGTTGTCGGTGAGCAGTTAGGCCACATGTCTGACTTGGAGAGACTGGAAAGGGAAGCGAAAGAAGGGAAGGGAAGGGAAAAGAAAGGGTTGAGTGAGGCACACGCACAGATACAAGAGGTAACGTATATGGGCTGGTTGACATTCTCAAAGTGGATATTGCGAAAGGTAACGTTTCGCACATATCCTCCTCGGCCGGGATAGGTCTTGATCCAAGCGGCGTTGCTGCTATCGTGGAGCTCGACGTTCTCGAAGACGACGTTCTCGACGTAGTCTGGCTGGTTGGCGTTGCTTCCTATGCTGCCGATGCACATCCCTCCGGACCTGTAGCAGGTGACGTGCTGACATGGACATCGGAGCTGTTGCCTTTGACCGAGAATACAATCCTGTTTGACGATGAGTTTAGGTTAGTTGGCCCATGACTTCAATCATGCCCATTCATAGCCTGGAAAATCAAAGAGGTTAACAACCAACCCCTTTCCCACCCCCATCCAAATATTCTCAGGAGCAAACCACCCACAAGTAAACAACCCAAACCAAACCAAACCACAAAAAAAACTCACATCCCCACTACCAACCGTCCAATTCTTAATCCTCACCCCCCCCTCGAGTTCCACGTATTAACCCGCATCCGCATTCACCGCCTTCCACTTTGTGGTTGTACTAGTAGTATTCATATCCAAATTCGATCATCGTCACATTTTCTTCGAATGCGCAACAAACAAACGTACAATTCAATACTGGTTTGTTTGTTAGTTTGGTTCTTCGACCATGGGTTGAACAGGGGAGTTTTGGAGCTCTCATTGGCCTTTGAAGAGAGGAACTGTCCTCCGTTTGAAGCATCATGGGACAATGACAAGGGTTTAAGACGCTACAAAAGCCTCTTATGTCTCTCTCCGACTCCTTCAAGACTGGACGATATCGGTCTACGGTGGTTAACCGATAGAAAGCCGAACACTTTCCTATATTCAGCAAAGCGTTGGCTTTTTTGTACCGAACTAACAAACAAACCAGGGCTGGATTGTATGCCAAAACCGGCTCTACTGCTCCAAGTAATCCCATCCACCAGCACATTTATTTTCAGCTCTCCAAATCGTCAAACTAATCGGTCTCTCCCCTGCTGGTTCGCCCTGTTTGGTTTTGGTCGATCCAGATTTGGCCTTGGCCGTCGAATAATGCGCTCCCCCCCTTCTGAGGGAGGGGAACCGGGGAAGCCACCAAGCATGGTAACGTCTTTACCACCCAACAACCAGGCGGTGGAGCGCGAGGTCCAGTAGGATAAGTTGTCGGCGGACCAGAGAAAGGTGCCCGCGGATGTGGATGTTTACGTTAGACAGGTCGGTCGGTGGTGTTCATTACCTGCCGGATGTGGTAAGTCCCGGGTTGGAAGAGGATGAAGGGAGTTGCGGGAGCAGAGGCGGAAGGCGGAGAGGATTTGGGGGGGTGTCGTCGGGTCGGGTGAATTGGCGCTTCTCGTTCTCGTGGTTAAAGTCATATTTGTTGTTGTTGATGTGGTGGTCTGCTTCTTGGACGTCTTGGTCGGAGTCGTCGTCATCATCTTCGAGGTCATCAAAGTCACTTCCACTTCGCTTGTGCTGCTGTACAGCGAATGTTTGGGTGTACGCTGCTGCCCTTTGAGGGTGCCGGACGTGGGAAGTGATTGAGGGCACCGGGAGAGCCGGGGGCGGGATGGGCGTAGGGGTCGTCGTCTTCCCATACTGATGATGGGTCGATGTCTCGCTTCGATGGAGGAGGTGTGAGATCGATGCTCTTCTTTACGGTAGCGGCTTGGGCGGGTGTGACGATGCAGGTTGAGCCCTCTTTGACCACGCCGGCCGAGGTCGTGATGGTGAGAAGTGCGAGAGACAGGTAGCTGGAGGCTGGAAGACGCATCTTGTTGCTTGTGGTCACGAGTGGCAGGGATTATGTCGTTTCAGTTCTTGAGCTCGGTAGACGAACTGAGTCTTATTGAACTTGAAAAGATCTCCTGGTCTATTTATGCTGCCTGTCCAGATCCTTTGTACACAATAGTACCTTTACTTCCATGTTACTTTCCTGAATGTTTTCAGCAGATGATTCCACAGACCAGGAGGCTGGATATGGGGGTCATAATGCAAATGAGATACAGAGTTCCTACAGCGATGATCTGCCTAATATAATAATTCCACCAGTCTTTTCATGTTCGGCTGATGTGTCGTACCATGTGGCGTGCCGTCTCGCTTCAGCCGGAGGAAAATCCGGGGTAGATTGTGCTAACCAGACTGCATGATCACTCCGGAGGTTAGATTTGAGACCAGACAAGTATCGACGGTCGAGTCCTCATGGGCACTTTTTGCTATTCAGATATGCTCATTTCTTCCATGTACTCCAATACCTGTGTCTAACCTATCCTTTTTAACGCCTTGCTAGATGGACTCCAAGCTACCATGGAATCATGAAAGCGGTATCACCCGGCAAATATCTTTGTTGCTTTTCCCCTCTCCGTCATGTTAACCCATCAGCACCACGTTATAGACCTCCTGCGCACTTCCTCTCTACCGCATACGAAAAAAAAAAAGTTTTTTGGTCTATCCTTCTCCCTATTATCGTAGTCTCGCCCCGGTAAATCATTTCCTTACCACCTGATCACAGGCGTCAATAGACTTCCCATTCTTTCGGTGTATTTGGCGTCAAGGTAGCCGATGTCATTGAGCCGGCAGGCTTCATGGAACTCCTCCCGCATGCGTTCGCTGTAGAGTTGACAGGAACCTATTGGTACGAGCTGAGGTTCCGGATCAAAGTTCCAAGGGATATCGCTCCTATGATCTCTGGCATCACGTATAGGCTTGACCACTTCCCTGAAACATTCTTCGCAAACCGTGAATTTGGGAAGAAAACGCATGATATACCAATACTCTTCGGTAAGAGGCTGCTCTTTTGGACACTCTCTTATTCGTGCGATTCGGCGAAGTCTGCTTGCGAGGTCGGGGATAGTATCGGGCGCGGTTTGGCGGCTGAGTGCGTAATCCGAGGTCGTCTCCAGAAGGTCCCAGTAGTCCATGAATCGTTTTCTTCCAGGTCTGAAATGGAGTTGGCAATAGGCTGTGAATGGCTCTCGGGTTGATGGATGTAGCGTATTGGCCAGGCTCGGCAACACTGCCTCCAACATCTTCGCGCACCCCACGCATACATCGAAGTTGGGCACAAACTCTCTTCTGTACGGATCCCACATCCCATGCCAAATACTAACTGTCTCATAGGGTCCAGTGCAGGGCGGATAGCGCCTTAAAACCGCAGCTACGTTTCGCATGAGTTGCAGGTCTGGCAAACGTTGCTTGAGTGTCATCAGGTATGCCATGCGATGCCAGAAGGAGGAGGCAAAGTCGCACAAGACAGGCTGATCGGGTCGTAGGGAAGTAGCAACGAATTCGTGCCTGAATTGGCTGTTGGCGAAGAGCTCCGAATGGCAATGAGGGCATATCAAGAAGTTCTCGGCCCCGCGGAGAGTCCAGAAGCGGTCGCCTGGGTTTCTACTGTAAGGTAACCCAGGAACCATCCAAGGACAGTCAGGCAGTGGAGCTGTTAGTCCTTGTTCTACCTCCTCTGAATAACTTTGGAAGGAGAGAATCGGTCTGGCGCCTGGAGCTCTACGGCTCGCTGGCTCGAATGGATTCGGATCCCAGAAAGATGCTGATGGTCTGGTGCTGACAAGCTCTTGTCGTGTAAGAGATGGGGATGCCAACGGTGAAGAGACTTTCGCAAGCGCCATGCTCCCATTTGAATGATGACCCGATACAGGCAAAATTGGTGAGCTGTTGGAATAGAGGTTTGTACCCATCGTCCGCGAACGAGCCCGCCGCCTGGTCCTCGGACTGCTCTCATCTTCTCTCCGGGGTACCAATCTACCGTTAGGAGGGGAAGACGTCAAAGAGTAGGTACCGGCCCTTCCCCTCCTGTAATCTCCCTCGGCCAAGAATGTAGCGCTTCTCGAGCTTCCTGGATCACTCGCATCCGAGAACTGGTCCTGCTGCCTTAGTGCAAGGGCGGAAGGATGAGGTACCACATCCTGGGACTCTAAACCAATATCCACTGCACCCAAACGATGTCTAAGGGCCATCAGTGAGGCGTCTTCTTCGACGGCAGGGCGAAGCGGCTGGGGCTGTTCCTGGTGGTCTAACTGTTGGTGACGAGGATCGTCATCGATTGGATATTCTCTGCGGTCACGAGGGGCAGCCATGGAGTTGCGACGCCTCCTGTTAGTAGCAGACTGACTTGGCATCCTCTTCCTTTCCGCAGCTGAAGGATACGGTGGTGGGCTCTCTTTGCGGCTTGTCCTCGGCGGTGGAGACTTCCTAGTTAGATCGTGATCGGGGATGGCGTCTTCTTGTACCATGAATGACATGGCGTCACCCGCGTCATTATATCGGTACATCGATAGCGGAGCTATTCCAGGTCCTTCCAGCTCAAGGGATCTGGAGTCGATTCGGGGCACGTCAGGTGTTGAGGCCATGCGCTCATGACGCGGTCGGCCTGGTGTTTGTGGAGGAGACAAATGGTATGCCTGCCTACTGTTTGACGGGGTGATTCGAGCACCATGCTTGGATTTTGAGCGACGATGGGAAAGCCCGTCTGCTGCTTGGTTCAAGTCATAATACGCACGCTCCCTACCACCCGCCGTTTCAGTGACAACGCTAGCAGAAAAGTCGCTTGCTCCCGGGTTAACATTGTCAGGAGAATCCGCGGTGATTTCAGAGTCCTGATCGTGAAGTGGTCGATTTCGGGGTTTCCGACTGTTTGATCGCTTGATAGGGGACTCCTTAGCATCCTGGTCGGCAGGCCGCTCTCTGTACCTCCGGCTACTTGATCGCTTGATAGAAGTATCCGCAGAGTCTTGGTCGTCAGGAGGAATCTCTGGGCGCCGACGGCTGCTTGCTCGCTTCAAGGATGCTTTCTTGGTGTCCTCTTCGTCAATATGTGCTTCTGGGCGCCTGCGGCTGCTTGATCGTTTGATTCGAGCCGCTTTGCCATCATCCTGATGGACAGGAGTCTTCTCTGGGCTCTGTCGGTCACTCGGTGGTTCAATGGAAGCGTCCTTGGTGTCTGGTTCTTGAACGTGGGTATCCAACCGTGGCAGATCCTGGTGGCTCTTTCGCTTTGCGAGTTCCGGTACCTTCTTTTCCTCTTGCTTGTCTCCATCTTTGGTCTCATCTGAAGGAACAAGAACGAACTTGTTGCAGTCATTGGTCTCCCCTTTCTGGGCTGTGTCAGTAGAGGTAATGGGTGGTGTTGTCTCAACAATGCTAGGTGCTGGCTCGCTCTCTTTTCCAGCCCCTGGGCCCGTGACAACTACGAAGCGGCGCTCTGGATTATTTTCCAAAACCGGCTCCAGAAGTGGAAACTGGTCAATTTCCCCGCGATTGGGAGGTTCATCCTCATAAGAACTAATGACCGACGGACTTCCATGTTCCTTGGCTAGAGACTCCGCCTCATCTTCAACAATAGGCGGAGGCAATCGCGGTATGCGCCGTCGTGTTTCCGAGGGTTTGTCAACATGAATATCCAACTCAGAGAGCGGATCAGTGCGACGGGGAGTTCGAGAGTAGCTGCAGGTCCAATCAGATCAGCATATGACCCAAGTTGATATTTGGGCGCCTGGACAGACTCACGGGTTCTGACTCTTTGAGCGCGAGGTCCTCCACGATCCCGTCTGGAGGAGCGAGCTAATTGCGTCCATCCCAACCATGCTTGAGGGTTACCAAGTGTGCGATTCGGTCAACAGTTTGTGAATATATCTCATATCATGATACACCTGCGTGGTGTTTGGGGGATGTGCTGGTAAGAGGTTGCAGCACACAAGCGGCCTCGAGGGCTCCCAGAAGCAAGAAGAAGGGCTGAACACTTGGGAGGGCTTCTGTCGAGATCAGTTGATATTGGGCGAACGGGACACAAGCGAACAGTAGCACAGCTTTTTTTTTCTGATTCGAAGGAGATACTCGTCGTTTGGAGTACACAGATGCTGAGGTACAGCGCTGGCGTCGAGCAACAGTGAGCAACAGTGATCAAAAGTAGACGGAGGGGTGGTGGGGGCGGTTCCGGATCTCGATGAGTCGATTCAGCTACTCTGTTTCTCTCTGATTCTTCACAATCTTCCGCAGTTAACCTCGGGCTGCAGCATAAATTCAGGGACGGGAAGGATGGCCAATGGCGGTTGTTGGTATGTGATCTGAGGTAAAATGGCTGTTGGCGTCAGGTGTTCAATCGCTGGATCAGGTTGAGAGGCGCGGTATTAGAGCCAAATACGTTTGTTCTTGGGAGAATGGAAGGGAGAGGCAGGCACAATGGATTGAGAAGAAGGAGGTGTGTCTCTTTTTCCTGTCACGGTCGGGGACGAGACAGGGCTCGGTGTATAAGCCTCAGCTACCGTCACGAGGTGTTGAGTGAGTGAGGTTGTTGGGCTGGGCATGACATGCTTGAGGAACCTGAAATCCCATCACCGGAATGAGGGGTATTATTGTGCGTACCTTTTTAACACACGTAAGCTCAACCAAGGCACCAAAACCGGTTGTTGGCGCCCGGGGTCCATGGGGATGGCGGGAGGCCTGGCGCTACGGACTACCTGATGAGAATTCTGGTGTGGTTACGAATATGAGAATGAAAAGAAAAGGGAGATCTTGACTTTGTCCACATAATTTCTGTTTTCTCCTTATCAGATCATTAATTTCGGTTTGTCGTTCTGGCCTTTTCTTCGGGTTGTTTGTTTTCGTTGAAGAAGATGAGGAAACAAACAGGCACAACTGTCATTATTTTAGTGAGGTACTTTGAGTATGAAGATCTCCCTTGGAGTCAGGGCCCGACTGTTCCAACGCCACGGGATGCGACATCAGCGGGACCAAGTTGCGTTGGACTTCAATGGCATCCAACGAGAAAAGCCCGATTTTAACCTTTCAGCTTTTGGGGTGGGAATCCCTCTCCCGGCCACCAAATATCTTCCACTGATGTTGAGTTGCTTGGGCTTCCGGATGGACCCTTGAAAGCATGCCGGAATATCGGATGAACACCGTCTGGAAGACTCGAGGTGAAGTCACTGGACTCTGGAGATTTGCCTTGTGGGAGCCCAGAGATGCAGCCATATATCTGGTGCTACCGCTTCGGTCACCTCTTTGGGTTGCCCATACAGCGATTTCCATATCTCACATAATCAAGTCGCTGAATTGACATTGAGTTGCCTCCAAAGAGATTCTGAGAAGACATGTTGAAGAAGAGTGGACGAACCATGCCTTAGTACATGCATATAATGGGGCTGCTTTCTTGGTTATATGAATACGGGGACCTTGCGGACTGCCCCTGCTCCCTGGTCTCCCCCGCATCACGTTAGGTACGTACCTCCACTGTAGGCATGCCGCTTTCGCAGCTTCACTTTTGGGGGACTCTTCTTCCTTCACGACGAGCCAGCGCCAGCGCCAGCAACCGAACAATAGAAAACCGCCGCCCCGGCAAACCGACTGCGCCAATGGATGTCCTCCGAACGGCCTCAGCTCGCCGTACTTTCAAATGGCAAGCTTCCGGCATCCTGGCGAGGAACAGCTGGGTCTGCCGGTCATGCCGCAGCCAGTTTGTCGCGCCCAAAGTTCCTCGACGAACCCTCGCGACATCGACGACCACTACTACTCCCACAACGCCAGACAATAAGCCCTTCTATGTCACATCGCCAATCTTCTACGTCAATGCCTGTACGTGAAGGAAGAACCACAATTGTTCGAGATCAGGAGCATGCGACATGCTAAACACCCCTCGCAGCGCCACACGTCGGCCACATGTACTCCATGGTTCTGGCCGATGTGCTGAAGCGATGGCAGACACTCAAGGGCAACCAGGCTATCCTGTTAACGGGAACCGACGAGCACGGAACAAAGGTGCAGCGCGCTGCCATCGCCAACGATATGGACACGAAGCAGTTCTGCGACTTGAACTCGGCAAAGTTCCAGGAACTGGCTGCCGCATGCCGCATCGACCACGACCGATTCATGCGTACTACCGATCAAGACCACGCCGAAGCTGTCAAACACTTTTGGCTTCTTCTGAAAGAGAAGGGGCTCATCTATGAGGCCAAGCACGAAGGCTGGTACTGCGTCAGCGACGAATGCTTCTACCCAGAATCCCAGCTGGAGAAGAGGCAGGACCCCTTCACGGGCGAGGTCTATGTGGCGTCCATTGAGTCTGGAAACAAGGTGGAATGGATCGAGGAAAAGAACTATCACTTTCGCATGACCGCTCTGAAGGACAACTTGCTCGAATTCTACAAGACCAACCCCGACTGGATTGTTCCCCATACTCGGATGAACCAGGTTGTGGACTGGGTTACGAACAACTTGGAGGATCTCTCGATTTCGCGGCCCGTCTCTCGGTTGAGCTGGGGCATTCGTGTCCCTGACGACGAGAGCCAGACCATATACGTTTGGGTTGACGCCCTGATCAACTATATTACCATGGCTGGCTACCCTTACTGGCCTCCAGGACAGGAGCACGTAGGCGGCTGGCCAGTCGACGTTCATGTCATCGGCAAGGATATTCTCCGGTTCCACTGTATCTACTGGCCTGCTCTGCTTTTGGCTTTGGACCTTCCCTTGCCCAAGAGGATCCTGAGTCACGCTCACTGGACCATGGAGAAGAAGAAGATGTCCAAGTCGATCGGCAACGTCGTGAACCCATTCTACGCCATGGAGCGGTTTGGCATCGATACCATGCGCTTCTACATGATCCACAACGGCGGCATTGCCAATGACGCAGACTACAGCAACGACTGGCTCACTGTCGAGTACAAGAAGCATCTGCAAAACGGCATAGGAAACCTCAGCGCACGTGTAACAAGACCCAAGCAGTGGAGCTTGCGCAGAGCGGTCCAGTCTTATCAAGATGGAACCATGCTGCTCCAGTCGACGGGGGAACAGATTACCGATTCTTGCGTTGAACACCTTGCCCAGCTTGACAAGCTTGCCTCGACTGTCGATAATGAAATGGTGCAGCTTAACCCGAGCCATGCCCTGCAGAAGATCATGGGCCTTATTAGTGAGGTAAGTTGACGCTAGTTCTTTGCTCCAGACACTGTGATTGAGTTACTAATCACTATCTCAGACCAACGCCTTCATTTCCAACGCGGAACCCTGGGTTGTAGTCAAGAAGCATGACTCCGAGGCCTTGGTCGACCGGATTATTCTCACGGCAGGCGAAAGTCTCAGAATTGCCGGTATCCTCCTCCAGCCATTCATGCCTGACAAGGCCGCCCAACTTCTTGACCTACTGGGAGTCGAGAACCACAACAGGACATTCCACCATGCCAGGCCACTTGTTGACGCGACATATGGCACTGCTTTCATTACGACTGGGAAAGAAGGCATTTTCCCTCCTCCCGTTTTGGACGATATTAAGGGCATGGGACCCAACGACGGTGGTAAGAAGCATAGCTCTGGCAACAAGAAGGCCACAGCATAAAAAGTGTTGTAAGCATGAAAAGTCTTGTAAGCAAGCCTGTACTTTGCGGACCCCAGAACATGTGCCTGCTGAGTGTTCTTTTCCGTATATGCCTGATCCAGCCTGGCCTCGTCGGCGAACTCTCCGGTGCTCACGGGATGTATTATAGTCTGTCTCTTTGTAGCCCAAGATACCCTACTAGAACCCAGATGTGCACATATGATGATCAGTTATAACTGTGTTTTATTTTCGTGTTTTACTATTGCAAGACAGTTGCAAGACACTCAGTCAAGCCAAGGGAGCAGTCCACGTTACCACTATAACGGGGCTTAACAGGCTTTACGAAATTTACAATTCGAAGGGTGGGTATTTTACCTGATTCATGTCACTTTCAGTTCAAAACACATCGCACGACTTGTTCAGGAACGCCCTCAACCGAGACGCATACAACCATACAACTCTTTTTAATCAGCTTGTCTCACGAAGCCGATCGCGAGGCATATCAATTCAGTCACAATGAAGCTTAACGAATCTTCTGGTAAGAAATCCCCCTTTCTTTCCGCAAATTTCACCCTAACCCCGCCTTTCACTCGCCCTTGTGTGCGACTCAATAACTTCATCGGTTGATGCTAACCTGAACCCAAATAGCTGTTTCCACGACAAGAGCTCTTCTTGTCCCATATGAGAGCAGACATGTCCCCACGTATCACCAGTGGATGGAAGATCCGGTGAGACATATTCACGGCCATCCATGTGCCCCTCCTCAACTCCTTTTGAAGACTCACATATGCTAACAACAGAACCAGGCAATCCAAGAAGCAACAGCCTCAGAACGTCTAACTCTCGAAGAAGAATACGAGAACCAGCAGTCATGGCGCTCCTCCCACGACAAGCTAACCTTCATCATCTGCCAACCATCCGTCACTCCCGGCTCAGCAGAACCATCCACGGTACATGCCGGCCAGGTGGATTCCCCCGCAAAAATGATTGGCGATGTCAACCTATTCCTCTACCCAAACGACGACGACGAGGGGGAGGATCAAGCCGATGATGGTTGGTTCCAATGCATCGGTGAAGTCGACATCATGATTGCGTCTCACGACCATCGTGGTAAAGGGCTGGGAAGGGCGGTGGTGTCAGGCTTCTTGCAGTACATCTCCCGTAACTTGGAGGGAATTCTCCGAGAGTATTATACCGGCGAGAGAGAGCAGGCTGGTGCCGGTAGTACCACCACCACCAACAGTCCGATGCTCAAACCCAGACTCAGGATGCTCATGGCCAAGATCAACAAGGACAACACCAAGAGCATTGCCCTTTTCAAGAGTCTCGGGTTTGAGCAGGAGGGAGACGTCAACTACTTTGGCGAGCTCAAGCTGGTTCTTCGGGACCTTGGGGTGTATGCATCGGCGAACGTTCCTGAAGGTTACGCAGAGTTGGTTTATAAAAGGGAAGACTGAAGATACTCGAAAGCAACTAAACTAGTTCCAATACTCGCTGATGAGTGGTAGAAGTGCCCTTCAACAACCAAATGATCATTCTTGAAAAGCAGCGATTAACAAAAGAAAACCCATTAACGCCCCCATACCGTGCCTTTTTGCTTTCCATCCATCCATAACCCCGTTCGTTTACCCTCAAGGCTCAAGCCCAAGCAACCTCCGGCCCATACTCCTCCCTATACGCCTTCAACACGTCCACACTAACATGACTCCCACCACAAACCACCATAACAACATTAACATTCCGCCACTCCTCGTCACTCAACCCCTTCCCAAGATACCTCCTCAAATCCCCATTATACGCCGTCGCCAGCGTCGCGCCACAGCTTACCTCCACCAACATGCGATGTTCATCCGCAAACCTGACGCTCGCCATCGCGGCCTCCGCATCCGTCACCGTCGCGCTGACCAAGTTCTCCCCCCCAACCATCTGCCTCCACTCCCACGTCTTTTTCGAGACTTGCACAGCCCCCAAGCTTGACGCGATGCTGGTGATTGCTGTCATCTTGACCAGCTCGCCCGCCTTCACCGACTGGTTGAAACTATCGGCGCCGACCGTCTCAATCGCCAGAACCCTCGGCTCCTTTCCGCCTCCCACTTCTTTACCCAACCCTCTTTTTCCATCACCATCATTTCCATTTCGGCTGGGTCCCCAAACCCCCTCCATAATCCCGTTCAACAACCCGCCCCCACCAACATTACACACCACGGCATCCACATACGCCCGATGCACGACGCGCATTTGCTCGGCGACCTCGTCCATCAGGGTTGCTGCTCCGGACCAGATATCTTCGTGGTCGAAGGGGGGGACGTAGACTTGCTTCGTCTTTGTTTCTTCCCCATCTTCAAGGGCGGAAGCGGGCATCACAACCTCCCGCAAATGCGTATCAGCCTCAAACCAATTACTACCACAGACCACCACGCTGGCACCTAGTTGGCGCAACCGACGCAGAACGGGCTCCCGAGCGGAGGTGGGCACGACGATGGTTGCTGGACAGGCGAGGGTGTGGGCGGTGGTGGCGCAGGCGAGGCCGGCGTTGCCGGCAGAGGAGCAGAAGAAGTGGATTTTTCTTTGGGCGGCGGGAGACTCGAGGAAGGAGGAAGAAGAAGAGGGGGAGGAGGGGGGAGAAGGGAGGGTGGAGCGGAGCATCATGTTGCCTATGCCGCTGTTGGGGTGTTAGTTTTTTTTTTTAGTTTTTGGGGACGGGTTGGGAAGTAGGAAGGAAGGCTGGGGGGAGAGAAGACGTACCGAGACTTGAAAGACCCAGAGGGTTGGACATTCTCAAGTTTGAGATAGATGTTGCACCCGGCGGCGTTGGATAGTTGGGCGGAATAGATGAGGGGGGTTTCAACCCAGGGCTTGGGAGGTTCCGAGGTCGAGGGGAATGATACTGAGCCCATTTTTTGGTGTTGTTGTTTATGGGTGGACTGGACTGGAGAGTTGTTTCTTGAGAGGTTGGGAAGGCAAGTGTTGGTTAGTGATTCCTTGTGTAGATATGTATGGTTGTTTCCTTCAAGAAGATAGGTCAAGGTCTTGAAAATCCGGGGAAGCTGGAGGACAAGATATATCCGTTACATGGGTGTGGGTACGGTAATCTCGACCACATTTTTTTTTCTTTCCCTCCTCTTGGTTATCTAGATAGGAACGGTTCCCATAGGTTCACCAGGACCTGTCACTTAATCCATGTGGCTGCTTCGATACGAACTTGAGGCTCATCGTTCTCATGGGGTGTGGAGCTATAAAAAGAAATTACGGAATGGAAAGAAACGAAAATACCTGTCAATTGATCGGTCAAGATTGAGTGTGACTGTGTGTCAAATCTTCCCGGCCGGACTGGTCCTGTGATGATGTGTTATTACATAAAAAGAAGCCGGAGAAGGTCGATCCCATGACCTACTGTCTTTTTTGTTTTTCGCCGTCCCAACTGTTGTGGTTGACCCCTTGCTCTGTTGAGAAAATATTCTCTTGTTGCTTTTTTTCTTCTTCCTCTCATGTCTTCTTAGAAGAAGGTGGATACGGTTCCAGACCTTGAGGTTCCATAGCGCGGTTCACCAAGGATGGTCCCTTCCCGGAGGTAAAGCCGAATCTGGCTAAAGTGCTTGTTTGAGTGTATCGAGAGAAAAATACCGCGTTTATGAATCGCATACGTATATCTCGGGCTGGAGCAAATCTGTGATTTCATGGACGGCATCGAAGTCTCTTTGTCAAAGGTCCTGATGATGCGGCATGGTTGTTTTGCACAGTACCATAAGTACCGGCCTTACCTAATAGCCAGCTTGAGACCACCTCCATGAGCTGCCTCTTTTGGCAGGATGGAAGAGGAGAAGAACAGGAAATCGAGAACAACGATATGCCGAAGTTTGTCCATCCTGTCCATCAACAGAAAGTCAAGCAACAGCCAGGCGGTATCATCACGTAACAAGATAGGCGCCGATACGGTGAGATTACGCCGTTGAAATTCACTGATAGGACCGCGGCCACGCCCCGTGCTGCAGATCCGGGATGCGCCCCGATAAGGAAGCCAGAAAACCCTCTTTTACCTCTATGCATTCACCCCGGTGCATTTTGTCTGCTTAAGCGATGAACGGCTCGTACCGCTGTGCCGATGAACCGATGTTAAACGGTTTTTCAACCGAACGGCACCCGACTGCCGCACTGCAGGGTTGGATAGGAAGTGGGTCCGAGACCGGAGGTGGGTCAGTTGGGCAAGGAAAGTCCAAACTCCAACGTCGTTCATTCCTTTAAGATGACGACTCCTGGTGAAGGTGGGAAATTTCGACTCATCTTTGACTTTCGAGTCCTCTGTTTGCAAAAAAACCAAACCCTCATCTGAATTGTGTTTGTTCCAGGGATCAGATGGATTTCGTACCAAGGATTTTTGAACTTTGAAGTGTCGCCGCATCTCGACGATGCGTGGAAGTCATCGCTTGTCTTTCAAAGTTATCATGGGAAGTCACGATCCTGATGTCGGATATACTGCCTGGCTTTGCGTTGATTTTGGGGAAGGCACGATCGTGATGATTTCTGATATGGGGAGGGGACCGATGGACATGTCAATCGCACAATCTGTCTTCCGCTTCTATTTCTTTTTCCTCGTCGCCTCCAGCACCCAACACCGTCAAGGTACAAACATGTCCGGCTTGTTATTCAGGCAAAAGGCTTTCAAGCGGAAGTATGAGTCCAGATTGGTGAGCCGCTCGATCGTCTTTGCTGTTTTTATGACACCAATCTTCTCCCCTTATTGTCGATGTCTGTGTTGTTTTTTCACTGAAGCATAACTCTGTTGATGCTCCTCATTTTCCTTGTGTGTCTTCCCCATCGCATACCCTTTGAGCTCCCTCTTGAGGTCCAAGAAATTCCATCGGTGTTCTCTGTGTTTCTTAAATCATCTCTGACTTCAACCACGACGACCTTGGAGGAATCGGAGGAATGGATGGCGAGTGCCCGGAAACCAAAATCCTTCAAGAATGGATGTTCTTCGGTCAAATCGAGTCCATAAGATATATATCGAATCTCTGTGTGTCTTAGTTGGCAACACACGTTTCGCCACCTATTATGGAACACTGGTTTGGAGAGAGATTATGGCGATGCCGCGGAGGAGTTGCTGGCTATGAGGACCCAGAAGCACTTTGAAAGGCCTTCCTGTGTGATCACAGTGGTCTGATACTTCTGCGTCGACGGTTGGAGATGAAACGGGTAGGCTAGAGGCACTCTGCGCGCTCTGCATTCCGTCATCCCATCTTTCTGTTTGGAATCACCACCAGCAACGGAGATGGTCGTCTCTTCCTCCAGTCAACATTCAGTCGGCTCCATGACAAGACCGCGGGTCGTGGCTTTCGTTGGAAAATCAGTATTTACTTCGTTCTCGCTATGGTCGAGGAACTTCCTCCTTGCATCAACAGGCCAGCTTCTCGGGTCCTTGCTTGCTTTGGGAGCAGCACTTGGACACGATCTTGATCGACATCCCAAGACAGCGGGAATCGTGACACACGCTGTTTACATCAAGGTACGTTCCGTCTTCCACCAGCTGGCCCTCCTCCTGAACGATCACAACCTCATCCATATCTCTCATCGTCCTCACCTTTGATATTGCTCCCGGTGGAAGGGGATCACGGTAATCCCCCAGTGGAAAATATCCCATGGGCAGAGATTGCATTCACAAAACTTCTGATCTTCCAAAATTCGAGTGTCCTGCATCTTGCATGGAGCCATTCGGGCACGCTTGATCTCGTCAAGTCATCTGCGGGATAGGATGTATCATTTACGGAACAATCGCATCCATTGACATACTAGACTCAAATCGAGACCCCCATATTGTGGGCCGCCACGGGGCGTCATAGCAGACCTGGCTTCGATCAGCTTCTGATTCAGATCACTAACTTGGATCCAGGTTCTGAACGATTTCAAACCTTAGTGGTCAGCTGGAGATTGAAGACCATTGAATCAATCGTCCCGGTGGCTTCACCTGTCCGGCCCGTGGTCCGTTAATCGTTGTTGCCTAGGGCAACAAGGTTTTGCTCTTGTCCGGGTCAACGCCATACTCATACGATCACGACCTGAAAAGACCCATTCACCACCAGTCCCTGTGGGGCGGCAGACATTGAAACCTTCTTCCCGCTCTGCCATTCACTTTGCGGCCCGGCAACACCACAATTAATCAAGGTGACTCTACAACAAGACAAGAACCTCCACCCTACGACCCAATTCCAGCACAACCATTCCGTTGCATCTGGCCCTCTATCATCAGCAACACAGCATCAATATTTTGCATCTTACCGTCACCCCTTTTGCCGCGCCGGCATATTCACACAGCATTATCGACACCGCCATTGGCGGCGATTTCGACACAGATCCCTGACTGGGAATGCCCTCGTCTCTCCGGCCTTGATCTGTCATTTGAGCCTCCTATCTTCAGCAACCCTACATCTATATTTCACATTTCCCTACTACCCTCTTAACAACCACACGAACATTCTTGCAGCATCACCATCAGCGACTTTCGACACGGATCATCTGAGCCTTCTTTCTTCAGCGAAAATGCCAGCCATGTCAAGCCCGGCACAAGGACGTAACGACCGCGGACGCCTGCGCCCGCCAGCAGAGATCGTATCTCCAAGCGTAGAGCGGATGTTCCCTCAGCCCAACCAGGACAGTCGTGTCCCATCACAGCATAAGGTATATAAATGGCTCTTCAACCAACAACACTTTGTGCAGGCAGGCATCATGGCGAATGTCGACTCACCACGCTCCATCCGGATGAGCCCAGCTCTCACAACAAACACCCAGTCTAACATATGTCAGACACCACCTAGACACACCCAACCTCTCGACCCGTTGCCACCCCTTAGATCATCAAAGCGCACCGAATCCTACGGCGGAAACCGGGATCAGGACCCCGAGAACGAGGACAACTCAGACAGGTCCCTCAGGCGTAGCTTTTCGAGCCTTCTTGAAGTGCGCCCGGCCAAAAGGGCCAGATACAACCCACCCACACCACCCACACCACCCCGAAGAAGGCCAGCGAACAGAAGACCTGGCAATGCCCAATCGGCCCGCTCTTTTCGACAGGCGCTACGAGCTCCTGCTGTTCAAGAAACTGTCGAGATTGCTGCGCCTGACCAACCCACCGAAAAGCATTTTCCGTTACTCAAGCTTCCATATGAGATCCGCGAGAAGATTCTACAGTATCTGCTTGTCTCCGACAAGCCAGTCTACGTAAAGCGCCTTTGGACCGAACAGGTCCGTTCCACCCGCCGCAGCACCCGCGGACGGGGACATTGGGGTAATGGCGAGGGTATGAGCCAACATACCATTGACACAACGATCCTGCGAACATCCCGTCAGATGCTGGCGGAGGGCAGTTCGCTTCTGTACTCGCAGAATCAGTTCGTTTATCTCTTGCGGGACCCGGCCCATGCCGAAGTAGACTTCGCTTCGATGCTTGCTGAAGCGCAGAAGCAATCCCCCAAACAAGTTATGGGCGGTGGCAGTCGCACTCAGAACCGTAAACGCAAAGCAGACATCCAATCTAGTGGCGGTAGCTATGGCCTACACGAGATCAACATTGCGAAGTACGGGCATTTGTTGCGACATCTAAGCATCGAGCTCGAGCCAAACCGATCCGGCAAGGAATACCGGGAGCTCATGGAGCGGGCCCTTGATGTCCTGGCCAGCGCTGACAGAAGGGGTCGGTATCTGCTTGCTGGTCAAGTTGTGGGCGAGAAGACACCGAGAATCTTCCTTCACACCTTGACCATCACCGTGTCACCGGAAGACGACCAGAACAACCGCCGCAGCCCAAAAAGTTCCCCCAACAGCAACCAAGAGTCGAGCCCCTTTTCCTCGAGCGCCATCGAGCTGTTTGGTAGCCGATCACCCGTCATGCAGGCTCTCTGCCGCATTGACACCCATTTCTTGAGAATCAACATGCATATCGACGAAGGCGCTCATGACGAGGAGGAGGACCAATTCGCGGTTAGCACAGGAACTGGAAAGCGTCATCTCGAGACGACACTTGACCTGCGCTTCCTTTCGCGCCACGTCAAGAGGCTTGAGCAATCCGGCAACGGTGATTCGTTTTAGGTAATCGATCACTTGATGAAGGAACAGCGGGCCAAGCGGGGCGAAGAGGCCAAGGCATCGCTCCAACTTCTTAAGGAGCGCATGTATGTCGGATACAAGGATCCGGACCAGGCTGTGATCAATGGGCTTTGGGAGGACAATAGCGCCGCCGATGTCCGCCGCAAGAAGGAGAGGGCAGAGTTTGAGGCCCGTCTCGAGGGCATTGATCGGCCCACCAAGGATGCTCGTCGTCAGAGTGATGACGAGGAAGAGTCCAGCTCCGATGAAGAGAGCGACGACAATGACAATGACGACGATGACTATGAGAGTCAGCCGAAGAAGAGGAAGCAGCCGGTTCGCGGCCGTGGACGGTATGGATATTCTTTGCTCATTTCTGTAAGACGTGTTGCTGATAGGTTGATTGTTTCCAGGTCTTGATTTCTTTTTTTTTCATCATTCTTCCGCCATTCGTATTTCGATTTTTTATCTCCCGACATGACGTTGCACCTTTGAGAGGGAGTTTTAATGGGCCCACGAGCCCCGGTGGAACATCTGGTTTTATCGGCGTCAAAGAAGTAGTATCATCACCTCTGATGAGAGCCCTGTTAGCTCCAACATCGTCGACCGTGTCTCGGTCAGCGTACGGTAATGGGAGAAAGGGTAAGGGTGGGACTTGAAGGCTGGACACAGGGACAACACTAGTATCTATTAAAACGAAGGAATTTGGTCATTGGAGGGAGGAAACTTACTGGTTTATCATTTTCTCATGCACGATCCTGAGGCTATTGAACTCAGGTCGGGCAGAATGCTTTTGCACTTTCAGGTGAAAGAGACATCTTTATCGACGGGGATATCCTGTCACGTTGTACACTAAGTATCCAATAACAACAAGATAACTCAAGGATTTCAAAACAAGGGAACGAAAAAGAACGAGTGAGGACTGGTGCTTCTTATTCTTGCAAAATTCCGGTGGCCTGTTGAGCCCCTTGGAAGGAGTCGAGCAAGGAGTACCACATTACCAATCCCACAATAGCACCATCAATAGCTGAGGCGTTTGAGCCTGATGTAGCAAGCAGTTTGCATGACCTCTATAGCATTATCACGAGCGCGTTGATCTCAACATTGACACCTGAAGAGTTCTGATCTTGTTCCAGATCGTCAAACAGATCATGAATATCTCCTGATACCTAACACCATACCCATCACTCCCTCGCCCGTAGTACCTCCAGCAAAGACTCCCGTAGTTTTCTCCTTGTACCTGACTCCCAATGCTGCTGAAAGCGAAGAACATGGCAAAAAAATATAATGGATATAACACCTCACCCCTTCTACAACACACCCCCAACACACCCTCCTCCCCTCTCCCACCCACGCACAGCCCAGCCTACGGATATCATTTCTTACAAGTTACTCAGCAACAATCTTCACCCTCTCCACATCCAACGTCTCCGTGTCCACGAGCACCACCTCCCTCGTCTCCGAGAACGACGGCACGGCAATCAACCGCACCGCTTGCCCGTCCGGTCCGTGGGTCACTTTCGTCCCGAACTCGGGCTGGCAGCCGACGAAGAAGAGGTGGGGACACTCTTTGATTACGAAGGGCTCGTCTTCTTGGAAGGGGTAGGACCCTGTTTGTTGTTGTTTGTGGTTAGTCAGTCGGCCGTTTGATGGGGTGGGTGGGTAAGAGGAAAAAATATGGCAGAGAGAGAGAGGTAAAAGGTAAAGGTAAAGGTAAAGAAAGGTAGGCAAGGGGTTAAAACGGAGAGAAAAGGGGTCAAGGCAAACAAGAAAACAAAACAAAACTCACAAAGCGTATCCGGCGCCGTCGGCGCCACACACCTCCACCTGCACATAGCCTCCATCATACCCAACCGATCCTCGCTCTCCACATACTTGAACACATCATCCAGATTCTGTCCGCCCGTGCCCAGCACCCGCCACCCCTCGATCTCGCCCTCCCACGGGTTCGTCACGTTGTCGAACCAGCCTGGCTCTTCTTCCTCCGGCACATCTCTGTCTTTGCCCACTCCCACTTTTGGGGGTGACATGTACGTCCTCGACTGCGGGAACATGGCCGGGTGAATCGGCTGTTGTGGGTAACTCGCGTTGGCGGGGTCGAGGGCGCCGGGGAGCAAGGTGACGGGCATGGTGGGGAGGAGTTCACTTAGAAAGTTGTCGAAGAGTTGCGAGGGGATCGGGTTGTAGGAGCTGCTGTCGTAGCCGTATTTTTTGTGCTGGTTGGGTGGTGCGAACTTGTTTGTGGGCGTGGTGGTGTCGAAGGCCGCCGCGGGTTTGGTGTGCTCGGCCGCCGTCGTGGAGATGGAGTTACCCGCGATGATGAGGCGGGTGATGTGCGAGAGCTCGTCGCGCTGCGTGGAGGGATCGAGGGCTTCGCCGAGGAGGTACTCGAGGAGCAGGTTGAGTTCCATGGCGTAGGGGGTGTCCGCGTTGGAGAACTCGAGGCCAGAGACGATGGCGATTTTTTTGGATGGAGGCTTGGAGGGATGTCCGGAGAAGGAGGCGTCCATCATTTCGATGTCTTCGGAATCTTCTTTTTTGCCTTTTGAGAGAGACCAGCGCTCGGGTTGTGGTGGTAGTTCGGCGAAGAGGAGGTCGATTACTTCGAACTCGCCGTTGGCGTTCTCGGTGCCCATTACGGCTACGATGCAGCCGGTCACCATGAAGTGGTTTTGAAGGGCGTTGCCAACAAGGCGGATGCGGCCGGAGTCGTCTTCGAGCATTATCGAGTCGTCGACGTTGCCGGAGTAGTAGTGGCCGACCGAGGTGGGAGCGGAGATCCAGCGCTATAACATCATGTCAGCTGCCTGGTGTCCAGCAAGGGATTGGTGCCAAATCCAAGGTTGAAACTCACATCCTTAGAGACATCCTCGAGAATCGAGGGCTTCAGAGGCATGTCCATATATACTGTTCCCGCTACCCAGCATAGTTCTCCCTGGCGAACGTCTAGGACACGCTCGACCTTCTTGACCTTCTCACCACCAAGCACTGTTCCCTCCCAAGCGGCGCTGGCGGCTGCCTCGACGGCGGGCCTGATCTTTGTAAGACGCAGAAAGTAGATGTCGGCATATTGTTGTTGATAGGGGCGGGTTTTTTCGAGCTGGAATGTCTGAAGGGGCTTGTAGTTGGTGATCTGGCGCTGGAGAGCCTCGGGCGCATCGCCTCTTCGTATACTTGTTAGCTGGTGATCGCCAGTTGAAGATGGATGATCCACTGCTACTCACGAGGGCTTCTGTAGCAAACCGCTACCGAGAACTTCGTCCAAGGTGACCATCGTATTGTTGATATTGAAAATGGTTCAAGATGTAGAAACGACAAAAGCAATTGGTGTCCTATTGATGTGCTGCCTCGGAAACTGACTTCAAGGGACGAACTCGACGACGCGCTTGACAATTTCGAGACGCGTAGCTCCAGTGGGTTCAATTAAGCTACGTGACAGAGGCACTTCAGCGGCGCTTCAGCACAGTGATCAGCCCCACAGGAACCGCTCGCCCCGCTATAAAGTTCCGATAAGATAGCGAACGTGGGGTAGCTAGAACACTCCAGACCCCTGCGCTGCAAGGCTGGACAGAAAAAAATTGGATGGAGTCTTCGATTTGACACCTCCATGGCCTTGTGATGTCCGCTGCAAAGTAAACATCCACTTTACAGTATCCTCCCGACTTCTACTTGTCAATTGATAACCTGCGACCCTCCCATACCAAACAGTAACTACACAGCCACATAATATACAGTACAGGCACCGCCATGGACCACCCTACCGAATCAGGCGCCCAGGTCCGGGTGACCTTCACCACCCAGGAGGAGGATATCCAGCTCGATGAGAGCAAGCGCCAGCTCCTCGTCCCCGCCGACATCCGCCGTTATGGCCTCTCCCGTATTCTCAACTCCGAGTCCATGCTCGACACCGACTCGATTCCCTTCGACTTCCTCGTTAACGGCAGCTTCCTTCGCGGCAGTCTCGAAGAGTACCTCAACGCCAACGGCCTCTCGCTCGAAACCAACATTACCCTTCAGTACGTTCGCAGTTTGATCCCACCAACATACGAGGCCAGCTTCGAGCACGACGACTGGGTCAGCGCCGTCGATGTCCTCTCTGCCACTTCCCCCGCGGGCCGCTGGTCCGGCGACAACTTCCAGCGCGGCCAAGACCGCATCCTCTCTGCCTCGTACGACGGTCTCCTCAGGATATGGGACGCCTCCGGAAACGTGATTGGCACCTCGCCCTCGGGCAGCCACGGTGGTCACACTGCCAGCATAAAAGCCGCCAAGTTCCTCTCCAGCACTCAGATCGCCTCGGCCGGCATGGACCGCACAGTTCGCGTATGGAAGTACACCGAGTCGGGCGAGTCGTACGAGCGCCGCGGCGAGCTGAAGCCCACCCTCGAGCTGTACGGCCACACCTCCTCGATCGACTCTCTCGAGGTTGACGGCGCCTCCAAGCGCATCCTCACTGCCTCCGCCGACGGTTCCATCGGTTTCTGGACCACCTCCAAGGCCTCCGCGCCCGAAGTCTCCGACTCCTCGCTCCTCCCCGGCGCCCACACCTCCAAGCGCCGCAAGCTCACGACCTCCGTCACCGCCGCCCAGCGCGGCCCGCTCGCCCTCATGAACATCCACAACGCGCCCGCCACGGCCGCCGTCTTCGACCCGCGCGACCGCACCGTCGCCTACTCCGTGTCGCAGGACCACACCGTCAAGACCATCGACCTGACCACCTCCAGCGTAGTCAGCACCTTCACGACCTCTCACGCGCTCCTCTCGCTCGCCGCCCTGCCGCGCTCCTCGGCCTCGGCGCCCCTCCTCGCCTGCGGCACCTCCGCACGACACATCACCCTGGTCGACCCGCGCACCAGCACGGCGGCGACGAGCGTCATGACGCTGCGCGGGCACGCCAACAAGGTGGTCAGCTTGGCGGCGAACCCGGAGAACGAGTACTCGCTGGTTTCGGGCTCGCACGACGGGACGTGCCGGATCTGGGATCTGCGGTCGGTCCGGCCGGCGACCAAGGACGAGGGCGGCATGGGCAGCGTCAGCGAGCCCGTGTACGTCATCGAGCGCGAGAGCCAGCAGGGCAAGAAGAAGAAGAGCGGCGTGACGGGCGACGGGTGCAAGGTGTTTAGCGTGGTGTGGGATCAGCTGGGCATCTTCAGCGGTGGTGAGGATAAGAAGGTGCAGATTAATAAGGGGAGGGGTGTGAATGCTGAGTAAGGGAAGAAGAGAAGGAAAAGAAGGAGGTGGAGGTGATGTAGAAGAGAAGGGAAGCAAGAACTTGGTTGTTATGATATACCCAGGATAGACAAAATGGAATGTGAATACTGTACAAAACATCTTTGTAGTATCATGGAAGGGACGAAGCCACAACCATCCATGACAGATTCCTTATGGACTGAAGTGTACTCGAGAGATGTACCGTTTGAAGATTTGCCTGGCACTGAAGACCTCAGTCAGACGTTGTTCAAATGTTTATACAATATTCAGCTACCAACATCTAAAAGCAGTCCAATCGGCCTTAGGGTATAGGTTCGTCGTCGTCGTCTTCCTTCTCTTGTTCCCAACCAACCAGCTCGAGACGAGAACTGGCTCAGTGACTCCTCGACATCTTCCTTAACCTCTCCGCCTCTTCCTCATCGACCGTCCCTTGACTGCTGCCCTGGCTGTTTTCCAGCGACAACTCCTCATCCAAGTCCAAATCCTCAGCCTCCAACGCAGCCATCACCACATCCTCCACGCTCTCCTCCTTCACCTTCACCTTCACCTTCACCTCTGCCTGTGCCTCATCTACATCTACCTCCTCTACCCCCTCCCCTCCCCTTCCTGTTCCCCCTCCCCTTCCTGCTCCCCTTCCTGCTCCTGCTCCTGCCCCTGCTCCTGCTCCTGCCCAAAAATCTCATCCAACGCCTCCAACTCACTCTTCCCCTTATTCACCCCCTCCACCCCATCCCCTGTTGTAATCCCCGCCTCCGCCTCCTCATAAAGCCTACACAACATCTGCACACCCTGCCACCTAAGCCGCAAAGTCTCCTCCGGAATCACCCCAGACCCAAAAATCTCCTCCTTCATGCGTCTCGGCTCAAACGACAACCGTCCCTTTTCCCGCTGAATAGCGATCAGGATATATTGCGCGGCCGTGGATGTTTTGATGCCCAGCAGCGCGGCCAGAGCTTCGCAGTTGAGGGACGGGTTGCGCGACCAGAGGTAGTAGGCGCGCAGGTGGTAGACGGAGAGGGGGGTTTTGTGGGCGAGGGGTTCGGGTTTGCGGGAGAGAAGGTAGTTTTGGGCCCAGAGGGTGGCTTCGGAGATTAGGGGGTCGATGGGTTTGGTTTTTTTGGGTTCTTTGGGCTCTTTGGGCTCTTTAGGCTCTTTGGGTTCTTCGGGGGTGCGTTTGCGTTTTGTGGCTGTTGTTGAGGAGGGTTCAGTGGTCTTCTTGGTGGGTTTCTTGGTGGTTTTGGTGGTGGTGGCCGAGGTTGTAAGGGCATCTTCGCCGCTGAGGGTGGTGCTCCCGTCCCCTTCGATCTCGACGTTGATGTTGTCACCGACGATGGAGAGGTAGTCGGCTGATAGAGCGGCGTCGGGCGCGGCTGCTTCGTCCGGGAGCGGTTCGTCTTGTAAGCCGGCTTCTTCGAGGATGACGTCCGCGGCGAGTCTGATGGGCAGTTTGAGCTCGGCGGCATAGGGGAGGGGAGGAGTGGGATTGAGTTGCTTCCGTTGGTGGTCCAGCATGGCGAAGAGCTGTACGCCGGCGTAGGCGTCGGAGGCTGAGTAGAGGATTTGGTCCATGTTCAGGGGTTTGGACCATTCACTTGTCCGCACCGATCCTTTGAACATGGGTAATTGTAGGATCTCCTTCACCAAGGATGCCAGTGGGACGAGTAGCCTGTTGACAAGCTTGTGCTCGCCGGAAGCAGAGTACTTGACGAGCTTGTACAGGTGAGAGAGCTCATAGATTCCCCTTGCCTCGATTCCGAGGAACTTTTTCAGACGGGTGCAGTCGCCCATGATCCAGACACCGGCCTTGATAACCTCGGCGTCCTCGATGATCTGCTTCAGTAACGGCGAAGCCAGCTCGTCCTTCCCGGGATAAAGCGAAATGTGAAAGATGCCAATCCGCTTCTCCGAAGCAATCTGGATCACCGACACGTTCTGCCTCGGGCCATGGCTCTCCTTTGCGCTGATTTCCCATTCCAGGTCAAGACCAAGAAGCTTCTCATCCATAAAGTATTCCTTCAAGACCCTCTCAGTGGTATTAGCACTTCGGCAATAATGAACCTCGACCTTCTTGTTCATCTTTCCATCCTTGTCAGGTCCACGATAGAGGTTGTAAGTCCAGTAAGACTTTGGAGTGTCCTCAGCCGCCTTCTTTGCCTCCTTGAAGAGATCTTCGGACATGGTGAAGCTGAGTGGTGTATAGGGAGGCTTGAGAGAAGCATCCTCATCTTTCGACTCAACGTTCTCGTCTTCGATTATGACTTCGAGCTGTTCCTCCAGTCCTTCCTGTGCATCGACAAACTCCTGCCCCTGGGAGTCTAACGTCGTTCCAGTCGGTACTACTGTGGAGTTGACGGCATCGCCATCAAGAACAGGTTCCGGATTTGAGGCTGTTGATACGGCAGAGTCGCTGTGATATCTTGCCAAAGATGGTAGTTGCGGGTATCCAACTACTCGGCGACTATCGCCAGCAAACGTGATGCCCCGGCTTGAATTCCATGTCTGATCTTTCCTCTCCATGGCGCCAAGATGTCTTGATTTGGGGACCCTTTGTCAGCCAAAGTAAACCGGAAATGGTGAGGACCTCAAAGAGCCAGTGAACCTACACTGGATAACGGGACGTGGAAGGAATTGAGGATGAAGGCGAGGAAGCAAAGAAGCGCCGGCGGCATTGCCTCAGACTCAAGCTGGTGGTGCTGTTTACGGCGTTGGCACCAGCACCGATGGCTTGTGGTATAGGGTGCGGGGACCTCATTATAGTGATGAATGGCAGGCGCAGGTACCTAGTAAGCTGCCGAGTGCGTGGTAGGGACGCGTGGGAGGATGTTGCAGGTTGTCAAGGCGCTGCCGGTTTAGAAGAACGGACGGAGAAGTGGTTTCAGGGCAATGGTATGGTTCGGCCAAAGTGGGGGAAAGACACAAGTCGGAGACGGAGGAGTGGATGTTGAGACTTCAAAAGGGAGACCTGGACAAAGCTTTGAGAATGGAAAAATACTACCTTGTTGCAATGTTGGTAGCTGGCAGGCAGAAACGCGTCTTTGGTCGCCAACAGATGATCACGAACTGTTTGCTTTTGTTCACAAGGGATGTAAACTGATTGGGTTGCCACAGCGCTGTCACGTCCAGCCGCCGCTGCTGAGTGCTGCTGAAGCCTAGATACCCCGTTTATTTTCATATGCACGGATATAGGCATACATTTTCTTGCGCCAGGATCCCCACTGGCACTGTGGGAATTGCTAATCCTCTCCACTGTACAGCAGCTACGCCCGTCGCCTTGGCCTCACAATCGAAGCTCAGTGAACGGCCACTGAACGTCCTTCCGACATCCAGACTCAAAGACTTGATCATTCCGCACATACAACATGGCTTCGCAACTACTTCCTCTCGGTGAGTGAGAGAGCTCATATGTGTATCACAGCTCAAATATCCAAGGATCAGACAGCTAACGTGGCGTTTTTACAGAGCTCATCGACAAGTGTGTTGGCTCCCGCATCTGGGTCGTCATGAAGGGAGACAAGGGCACGTCATGCCATCCCAGCTGAGCCCCTACTTGACTTTAGTTATCGATGCATGTGTTGGCTAACGATGTGATGAACACAGAGTTCGCTGGTACTCTTGTTGGTTTCGATGACTACGTTAGTAAGTAGCCAACCTCTCCTCCCCATCCCCTGTCCTCTTGATGACCTCTCCTGTAGCCTTATGCTAACCTCTTTCGACAGACATGGTTTTGGAGGACGTTACTGAGTTGTACGACACGTCCAGCTCCTCACTTTGACGATGATTGCCTGAAGCGAGTTACTAACTCCCTCTTGTTGCATCAGCGACTACTCTGGCAACCACACCAAGTTGAAGAAGATCCTGCTGAACGGCAACAACATCTGCATGGTGGGTTATCGTCGTCATCACGGTCCTGTTCACAAACAGCTAACAATTGTGCTCAGTTGATTCCCGGTGGTGAAGGCCCGATTGCGGCATCTGCCTAGTCTTTGAAGAGTTGAGGAATACAAGGGCGGTCACGATTCGCCGCGTTTGGGGAAGCAATCATCATCAGCATATCACGAAATACGAATTGGACGTTTCTTTTCCCCTCTGTCGAACGCTTTTTTGGAACAGAAAGTCAATGATAATAGGTAATTAAACTAATTGCAAAACACCACCGAAGATATTGCTGCCATACATAGCTCACATGAGGTAGGTTGAACCATAATCCCCCCTTACCACACTTCCTGTTCATTTGACCCGACTTGACTAGAAAATCCCCTCACGAAAATCAGCAGTTCCTCCCAACTTATACCAAACGCTTTTAGGACCTATCATCAACGATTCACCTGCCTGAACTAGAGCGGTGTTGAATATCCAACCAAACCCAACCCAATAATCCGCCCCCTGCATACCTAACCACCAGCCAAAAACCATCGTCCTTAACAATCGACCAGCTTTTACCTCTTCCCAAACAATATTGACCAAGCCTTCCCAGCATAAGCCTAACTACCCAACCACCCTTCCTTCCTTCCTCTCTTCCACAACCACCAACCCACCACCACCCCCTTCAAATAGCCTTAGCATCCAAAATCTTGCTCTTACTCTCCTTCGCCTTCACCAGCTCCTCCACCCACTTATCCACCTCCGCCAACGCCCTTCTGGGGTCCTTCTTGCGTCTTAACAGGAAGCCCTGGATCTCCGCCGGACTGAGGATCTGGGTCGGCGGGATTTTCAGGGAAAACTCCTTGGCGATCTTTTGGAGTTCTTCCCTGGTTAGGGGGGTGACGTGGAGAGGGACGGGACCTTCTTTCTTGTCTTTTTCTGGTTGTTGCTGTTTCTGCTTGTCTTCGGCTGCTGCTGCGGTGGTGGTGTTGGTATCGGTGGTGGTGGTATGGGTGTTGGGAGGAGGAGAAGCAGAAGAAGCGGCGTTATCCTCCTCGCCGATGACGGTTGCGTCACTAGAGCAACTGCTGACGGAGGACTTGTGGAGGTTGTTGTCGTCGAGGAGCTTGAGGTCGACGATTTTGGGGTCTATGGCGGGCTGTTGTTGTTTTTCTTCGTCCTTCTCAGCAGCAGCAGTGCCGGTGCCGGTGCCGGTGCCGGTACCACCAGGAGAGGTGATCCCCGTAAGAGGGGAATGAACGACTGAAGGCGATGTAGTAGCTGCCGATGTGGTGCTAGCTGTGAGTTTATTCCCAACCTTGGTGAAAGTCACCGTCGCTGGGTCCACCACATCAGCCTCGTACATCCTCTCAAACAACTCCCTGACTTGCTCCTGCGTGGCGTTGAGGAAGGCAATCTGGATGTCAACTCTGCCCGGTCGGAGTAGTGCTTCGTCTAGCTTCTCGGGCTTGTTGGTCGTCATGATGAGCACGCGGCCTTCGTGCGAGGCGACGCCGTCGATGGCGTTGAGCAGACCCGATAGCGAAATGCCCCGTTCCCGGTCGTACGGGGACGGCCGTCTGCGACCGTACTGTCTCCGGACGAACTCCACGTTATGAAGCGTCGTGGCAGCGAACATCTTCGCCCTCTTTTTTTTCTTCTGCTTCTTCTTGTCCTTCTTCTCTTTGGCCGTCATGGGCTTCTTCTTCTTCTTGTCGGTGGTGCTGCTAGATTCGTGTTTCGTCGTTTTCTCACCGTTTTCACCGGCATCATCTGCAGAGGAAGTGGGCTTCTCCTCGCCCTCAGGGGCAGCAGGCTTCTGTTCTTTCTTTTCAGGAGTGGAATCCTTTTCGTCACTAGCCTTCTCGTCAGTCACCTTCTCGTCAGTCGCCTTCTCGTCAGTCACCTTCTCATCTGCCTTTTCCTCATCACTACCCTCTTTAAGCATCTCCTTAAAGCCAGCCACCTTCTCCGCCATTTCCTTCTCAAGAGCCTCCTGCTCCGCCGTCGCCTCCTTTCCCCTCCCCTTCCTCTTCTTCCTCGACAACTTCTCCCCCAAAAACATCACCTCCAGCGCCCTCTTCTTCGCACTCTCCAAATAATCATCCTCACTATCACTCGTCCCACTCCCCTCACCACCACTACTACTACTACTCTCACTACTTTCACTCTCATCCTCCTCCCTCCTATTCACCAGCCCCGCCGTATCAATATCCTCCAACAGCACCACACACCTCCTCGGCAAATTAGTAAACAACATCGCCAGATCGTCCTCCGTCAGATTCTGATCCAGCAACGAAATCACAAAGATATCCAGTCCAAAAACCCCCGCCAGCGCAAAACTCAAACTCGTCTTCCCCGTCCCCGGCGGGCCATGAAACAAATACCCCCTGCGCAACGGAATCCCCCGCTCGCCATACCACTGCGCCGTCTCCCGATGCAAATACTCATTCATATCCTGCAACACCATCAACTTCTGCTTTTCGTCCAACACGACCGTATCCATCGGCCTGATGGGCCGATCCGCCACCTCCGCCCAGACATGTCTGCCACCCCAGCTCCTCATCTCGGGCCTGGCCGGCCTCCGCACCACCGTGGTCGCTGCTTGGCGGTTGTGGTTCCATTCCTTGGTGAACTGGATAAAGTTCTTGATGGGGGAGGCCGAAAAGCCGACGGCGGTGATGACGAGGTTCTCTTCGCGCCGCATCGAGAGCCCCCGCCACTCGGACTGGTGCGCGATGTTGGAGCGCGTCCGGTTGAGCCAGAAGTAGGTGCCGGCGAAGGTGAAGGTGTAGGGCACGTTGACGGCGGGGAGGAAGCGGGGGGGTTTTTGGTGCTTGTGGGTGGAGAAGTTGAGGCAGGCTTCGCCGTTGGGGAGGATGGTGGGGGCTTGTTGTTTTTTCTTCTTGTTTTTGGTGGTGATGCTGGTGTTGGAAGAAGGGTCTGTGGTGGTAGCGGCAGTAGTGCTGGTGCTGGTGGTGGAGGTGGAGGTGCTGGTGACTACGGTAGTAGTAGTACCGGTGGTGGTGGTAGCGGTTTTGATCACAGCGGCAGCTCCAGCAGCGGCTACAGCTCCGGCTTCGTCGTCCTCGTCATGGTCGTCGGCGCTGCCGGCTATGGTGTCGGCTTGAAGGAAGCGTGTTTTGGCTGAGTTGGGCTGGACGGCGACCCAACGCATGATGTGGATGAAGATCGGGTCGTCGTCGCCGACCTCGACTCGGGCGGTGAACCAGTTGCAGATGATGTCCTCGATCACGAGCACTTTCACCTCGGACCAGAGCCTTTTGGCGGCCCATACGATAGGACCCAGAGAAAGGAGGATTGTGGGATCGAAGCCGAGCCAGCTGGTGATTGCTCGGTGACAGGACAGTAGGAAATCTCTGACGGCCGGTGGAACGTACATGTCCAGCATGGGGCTGAAGCTCGCTAAGAGGTTGTCAGGCAGTGACACTGTTGGGGCCTGAGTGGTGTCGTTGATGGTGGTGGTGGTGATGTTGATGGTCTCGCCACTGTCGGTAGAGGCATCTACCAGCGTGGAGAGAACCCATATTATGAGCATGAAGCAGTTCATGTTGACCTCTGGTTATTGAAAGAAAGACGATACGGTGATCAACGTGAGGATGTTGTATGCAGTGATAGACGATATAGTCCGTCAGAAGATGTCATGGAGGCGTTGGGGGTTAGTGAACTTATACCTCCTCCTTCCTGCTCTATCGCCAGACACCTCGTGATGGCCAAGGGGGCTGATAGTTGAGCCGCTGAAACTTAATTCCCGAAAGATAAGAGCGGGAGTAGATATTCAGCCTTGCCGGCAGGCCTTCTATAGGTAGTCCATATGTCATGCAGGATGGCAATTATTGTAACGATCAAGGGGGACGTGGGAGGGGAGAATCCATCTCCCACCCAACCTTGTTACCAATTATGCGGTACCGTGCGAGGTGAAAGAAGAGTGGGCTATCCTTCAAGTATTCCTTCTGTCCAACGCTCTTTTCATGTTTGACGTTCCACAACAACAAACGTGTATCACTGCCTGAATTATGCTCCCCAAAGCCTGAAGGAGGACAGCCAAGAAGAGAGAAGTGTAGGAGGGACCAACAGACAAACATCGGATAAAGCACATGCTTGCCTCTCTGGATTATCCTTGGGCTCCAGCTCTGAACATGAAGTTTGTGCCCTAGCTGGTGGTCTAGAGCCCAACAAGACACAAAGTCGAGTTCCGGGTGTTTTGGTATCCAAGCTTCAAGGTAGCTCAGCATAGCAAGGCAGCTATCCAGCGTCCCATGTCGTTATCCACCACATTCTTTGCCCCCAATACATGTTGCCGTGTTTCCTTATTTGTCGGGACTGGAAAGTTCCGTTATCATTTCGTTCCCGGGGAAAGAAAATAAGAGAGACAGAAAGGGGGCCTAGCCCGGTCTATAGGCGGGAACCAGTCTCCCGTGAAAAGGCCCGTCGGGAAGATGACCACAAGCAGGCAGCCGAAGGTAGAGTACGGGTTTGAAGGAGACCGTGTGAGATGCTGTTTTCCTCTTTGTCTCAGCTGGACTGCTGGAGTGATGAAAGCACTTCAGGAAACATCCGCTCTTTTCACATCGAAGAAGACCAAAAGTCCAATGACGCCCTTTCCTGTGAGATCGGTCCATCGGGTCCAGGACCCGATATGTTTCTTGACTCTGTGAAAGGTTCCAGGCTGGCCCGTACTTCATGGTGTAGATGCTTGTTTCTTGTATGAGGCTTGCTTATCTGTACGCGGGTCAGACTGGGAAGTTTGCCGAGCCAATGCAGTTGCTCCGTGAACAACATATCACAGGGCCGGCGGATAGCTCCAATCCTAGTCTACATAGGACTCAAGAGTGGTACGTTCGTTACTACCCCGCGCTACAAGGAACTAACGTTAACGAACGGTTGCTCTCTTGTGACGAGAGCCTCAGCTTCTTCGTATTGGTTCACCGTTTCGGTCGAGGTAGGGTGCCACGAACCTACATCTGGCTTTCGTAGAGCCTCAAGCTGTAAGCCTAGTTTGTTGATGGGGAGGTTGGCTTTGCGGCTGGAAAAAGATGATCAAAGAACTCCGAAGCGAACCAATAATAGTTCCTTCTAGTGAGATATCATATGTAAGTCGCAAGCTTGTTTCAAACCGGTTCATGTAACCTTGAGATTGAGGCTTAAAATGCATGTCAACTTCGTTCTCGTTTTCCCGCTTTTTGTTCGGCAGAATAATTCATGTGTTTTTGATTACCCAGCATTATCACGCCGTGATCCACAAAAAGGGAAACTCGGCGACAAAGAAGCGATGTCATGGGGTGATGGATTCAGGACTTCCTGTTTGAAGCACTGTGATTAGCCATTCATGATCGTCCTATCTTGGCTTTACGCCCACGTATAGCAAGTATGCAAGCTCCGCGATCACTCGATATGGTGTAGTAGGTCGCACTTCAAGCTGGGCTGTCATCTTAAATCCTAGGTCATCAACCTACCCAACAACATGCTCAATGGTGCAAGGGCACACGGGTGTACAGTGTCCCCAGTTGGCGTTGAACACGTCGACTTGTGTTAGACGGTCTTTCTGAGCCTAAAGAGTCAGATTCCATTTCAGCCAAAGATGTTCGTTGACAAAGGATATACCACCTTCTAGAAGATATATTTGCTGTTCCGTATGTTTTATATCCCATCCCGCATGTCCCTTTCTTTCCGTTTCCCCAGCCCAAGGCCACCCAGGTCTAATTGACAAACTTGCCAATATCCTCTTTCTTCAGCCCATGGACCAAAGACTCGTCTGTAACCAGACTACCTTTATCCAATCCGTCCCGAGGAGACACCGTGTCTGCCACCTGATCACTTGTCTTCTGCTCCTTTTCGTTGGACCTGCGTTCAGCAACGTCTCCCACCTCCTCCTCATCTTCTGCGGCACCAACTGAAGCAACGTCCGTCGTACTCGCTAGGTCCCCTGCTTCGGATGCGTTGCCTGAATGCGGCTCTGTCCTCCACAAGTGCGCCCCAGCCTCCTTCAGCAACTTCACAGTCGCCATGTTACCCATCTGTTCTGCAAGAAAAAGAGGTGTTTGGTTTGCATGGTTACGTGGATGTACACTAGCACCACGAGTCAGCAATTCATGAAGAATATCTGGATTGGGCCCAACTGCGGCAAGATGCACGGGGGTGTTGCCGACGTAATCAGCCCTCTTAAGTAGCTGATGGTTGAACTCGTCACCCTCAAGGATTTCGCGAACAGTCCGTAGGTCGCCGCTGCGTATGGCGTAGCCAAGAGCCGTGAAAGCGGCGTCTGATGAAGAAAATAATTAGTTGATGTCAAGGGTAGCATTTTGAAGGAGCCTTGTACATACCTGCAGCAGGCAACCGTGCCATAGCCGAATCGATGCTCCCTGCAGGGTGTGAGAAAGAGGGCAACGCCATTTCGGTCATCTCCCCACGTAGCGAGTGCGACATCTGTGCTGTAACCTCAGAATAGGTGAGGTTTGGCAGAGCCAGGAGATATGATAGCTTCGTCAGAGCCGCCTCGGTAGTCAAATCATGGCCAAATACCACGCCTGCTCTTCCCAGTACGGTTCCGGGGGCATAGAGTGGCGAGACGAAGCCGTTTGTGCACTGGCTCACGTTGACAATGACAATGCCACGGTCAATTGCTTCTTTGATGACCTTGGTCAAACTGCCATCAGCGCCGCCCGGTGCATTGCCCATGCCGAACGTCTCGAGAATCAAACCACGAAGATTTGGGACTCTTAGAACGGAATCGACCATTTCAGGCTTAATTCCGGGAAAAATACGCAAACAGGCCACATGTGCGGTGTCGAGGTACTTTGTCACTTGAAATTCGGCAATCCGAGTGGGCCGTCGTATCAGCCCCCAGTTAACATCCACTCCTAGACTTGTGACCTTGGCCAGCGGATCGCAGTTAGGACTGGCGAATGCCTCGAAGGAGGAAGCCGATACCTTGGTCGTCCTGTTGCCGCGGTACAAGTTGTGGTGAAAGAATAGGCAGACTTCGGGGATAACGAACGTTCCCGCGATAATAAGCGAGCCGAGAAGGTTGTCGACTGCGTCAGATTGGAGAGCAAAGATGGAGGCTTGCGATCCTGTCAGAATGACTGGCTTTCCCAGATCAGACATCATGAAGGAAAGGGCTGATGCTGTGTATGCAAGGGAATCGGTTCCGTGCAACACCACGAAGCCGTCAAACAAGTGGTAATTCTCCTTGATGGTAAGCGCGATCTCGGTCCATCCCATGGAAGAAATGGAACTCGAGTCAAGCAAGGGAGTAAACTCAAGGATGCCATATCGGATGTGACGGGAATATGCGCTGACTGGCGTTCTCAGACTGTCCAACGTCAATTTGGCCCCGTTCTTGTATGCTCGAAGCTGAACTACATATACTACGTCAGTAAGGGCTTCCAGTGCAGATTCACAAGCAACTTGCCATTCGGAGCGGTAGGATCGTTGAACGAAGGGCGAGGAGCCATGGCGTTCTTCAAGAAGCCCGTCATGGGAACCAGACCATCTGCAGACGGTTGCATGCATATTGTACCGCCTGTCATGATGATGAGCACCCTTGACTCGGGGTAGTGAGACTCGGGATTGCTCCCCTCCATGAACGAAACCTGACCCATGGTGTTGATAGGGCGTTCCTTGTCGAATTTGGCACTTTCTCTTGTTGTTCGACTGTTGGGAAACTTGAAAAGTAGTCAAGTTCGCCCCAGTGGCTCCCTTCGGATTTATATCAGAAAAAAAAAGAGACCCTTGACGCACCAGTGGCCGTTACGGAGACACCTCGGCCGATGATCCAACCCTAATAAGATTCTGTTAGTCAATTCCAGGCCTATTGACCAGCGTTACACCTCCACCTAACAGAACAATAACCACACGACTCTTTCAATGAAGACTAGCAATGGAGGCGGTGACACAGTCCAGATGGTTCGGTCCAGTATGAGCAAACAGTATTAAGGAGATGACGGTCTGGAAGCTCCCAGAAATCGAACAGTGCACCAAAAGTGCCTGGTCAAGGTCAAACTCGAAGTAGGTGGCAGAGAATCTCGACTTCATCCACACTTTTCGAGAAAGCCTAGATCCCAACTCGACGTGCGATGACTCTTGAGAAGACCGGTCAACAAAAAATGACGGCTACAGAAGGTTGACGCAAAGGATGTCGAAAATAAACCAGTCATGTGCCATGGGACGGTGAAGTCTGTTACTAACAGAAAGTCAAGGCCCGAGCCCGACTGAACAAAGGAACCGGATCCGCAGACTAGCGTAACGTCTTCAGAAGGTGTGAAACAGACGCCCCCGGAACCTAGTGGTAGCCGCGACACTGGAGTCCGACTTCGGACATCCATTTTGGCAAGAGACCCAGCAGGCCGATGTCAGATTGACCAATCAGCGAGTGGTCGCGAACGGTTTGACGTGAGATCAGAGATGGTTGGAAGTGTTGGCGTCTCCTTGCGCATTATGAAAGTGAGTGTGGTGTTTAAGAAAGCTTGAAGGAGAAGAATCCGAAAGAGCAGACGAGAAAAGAGCGTGGGAGCCTGAAGCGAAAAAGGGTTGTGGGAGGAGGAAGGAAGCTCCTTCCGCTTTGAACACGGCGCCCATTACGGTACCTCAAGAGGAAGGCACCGTCAGCATCACCAACCACACTCTGTATTCTGCGGCTCTTGCCCAAGCAACTGAATACCTCTAAGGTAAACAGCAAAATTCAAGTCGATTGACAGTCGCGAGAAGTACACAATAAAGTCGTCAGGTATCTGGAGTTGCAGGAAGGACCTTGCTCGGTGGTAAGATTAGCTGTTTTCCGACTTGAAGGCGTTAATTGCCCATCTCAATCCTCGCCATCCCAACTTCTGGTGGAAGGTGGAAGACAGTCTGGACAACAAGCCCGGGACATTAGGTTGCGGTTAGTCTTCGGAGGGTATCCGGGTACGCGTTCTCGCAGTGGAGCTTATGTCCATCGCCGTTGATCAAGAGGAAGAACTTTCCATTGAGATTCGATGTCGGATGTGGTGGACACTGGCGGCCGCTAACAGACTGCGCTATGGAAATTGCTCGTCACCCCATTCGAGCTCGGTTCAGCGAGCTGCAGTACCCTGGGCCAAAACCCAGTGGAACGGTTACACGGCTGAATGGTGGGGTCTATCAGATAAACCTCCACTAACGACGGGAAGCTAATTTTGAGCTACTGTGCAACCCCGCAGTGAACCGCAAAGGTACTCGCGGAAGTCGCGTCACAGGAAAGTGCCTGCCGAAGCATGTGGATGAAACAGGACTAGGCGATCGACGGAAGGCAACTACAACTTTTTTTTTTCCGAGGGCAAGATCTCTCACGCGTACTCTCTTTCGTTTCCTTGGGGGCAGTAACGTCTCAGAGTATCTCGCGTCAAACTTCAAGCACGACCTAGCAATATGGCTTCCCCGGCAGAAACCTCCGTTACGTACGAGGAGTTGCGCGACCTCGAGAACGAGTTCGAGGATGTCGAGACCGAGATCAGTAAGTCCGCTTTTCTACGTGTTCCTCGTCTTCCCATCATTTTTGTCGCTTCCTTGTATTAGGGTATCACTCATCACTAACTTGTCTCATCTGAAAGTCCGCCAGCAGGTCCAGCTGTCCCGTCCCCTCTACGAGAAGCGCGAGAAGGTCGTAGCCCAGATTCCCAACTTCTGGCCATTGGTCTTCGAGCAGGCGCCGCAAGACATTGACGAGTACATCCAACCTCAAGACTCCGCCCTCCTGCTCTCGTCCCTCACCTCTTTCTCCGTGTCCCACTTCGAAATCGAGAATGGTGGTTCCGGAGACCCCCGCAGCGTCCTCTTCCGCTTCGAGTTCGCCGAGAACGAGTACTTCGAGGACAAGGTGCTGGAAAAGAAGTTCTGGTCGCGGAGAAGCAAGGGCGGCTGGACAGGCTTGGTCAGCGAGCCGGTGAACATCAAGTGGAAGAAGGGCAAGGACCTTACGAGTGGCCTGCTCGGCTTGGTCAACGCCGTTTGGGAAGAAGAGAAGGCTGCTGGCAAGCATTGGTCGACCGTTAAGGGTGACGATTTCACGGACAAGCAAAAGGAACTCAGGGACCAGATCGAGAAGATTGGGCTCGGAGGCCTTAGCTTCTTTGCCTGGTTCGGCTACAGGGGTAGGAGAGTATCTGCTGAGGAGAACAAGGCTGCTATTGAGAAGCTCCAAGAAAAGCGACAAGCCAGAAAGGCTGCCGCAGAGGTCGGTGAAAGCAAGAAGGAGGAAGAGGAGGAAGATGACGAGGAAGAGGAAGAGGAGGAGGATGAGATCGAGTTGGAGATCTTCCCGGATGGCGATAGCCTCGCGCTTGCCCTCTCGGACGACCTGTGGCCTGGTGCTATCAAGTACTTTAGTAAGAAGCATCTATACGCCACTCCCTGTTTATGGACTTTTGCTAACACATCACAGCCCAAGCGCAAGAACAGGAGCTGGCGAGCGACGACGACTTTGAAGATGACGATGACGAGGATGCTGGAGAGGACGATGAGGAGGACGATGCCGACGCCAGGCCGGCCAAGAAGCGCAAGGCGTACGTGTAAACGGACAGAAGGAACGATGTCTCTTGGGGATATACGGTACTCTTGGCACAGAAGCGTAGTACCTTCTGTTACGTCTCGACGTGTTGCAAACGATCCGCAGCTTCGGATCATCAGACATCGATTTGGACGTCTTATCAACAATCCAAATCACTTGGATTACATCATGAGGTTTGGGTGCTGAATCGCATGCAGCATTGCAATCGAAGTAACCGTCAGGTGACCCTTGGCCATTTGGGTCCGATCAAGGTCGTCCTGTCTTGGCGAAAGTCCCGACTGCTTCACAGGGCGTTACAAGGATCGCGATTCTGGACAGGAACCGACCTTTATTTGATGGCTATCGACGACAGAAATTCTGCTATGGAACTGCTAGGATGTCATGGATATTTTTTCAAGTTGTTCTTGAAAATTTTCTACGTGAGTCTCTGTTTGCACAAATCTTGAAGACGTGTCTGGCCCTCGTGCTAAACGTCCCGTCACTAACACAACCCAGATGTTTGACATCTGCACAGTTCAGGGGTTTCCACACACGTCTGAACTTTATGCCTTGGTGTTTCACCCACCATCTCGGATTTCTGCACGGCCATAGTGAAGACAAAGAAACACGACGTTTACACGGAAATATTGCCATTCGATTGTGGCTGTGTTCTTCTATCAAAACCCAATTCAAGTCTCGGATTCCCTTGGCCTCGCCAAGTACTCAAATCACGAAACGAGGTTAGCAATTACAGGGTCACATTCTGGGGGAGAGAGGCCATCGCTCAAGCGCTTACACACAGCACTAACAAATCGTACAGTGTCGATAATTTGGGAGTCCAAATTGTTCAGATGAAGCAGTCAAAGATATCAAAAACACTAGAGTTTCTTTTACTTTGCCACGTGCTATCCCCCCTTCCACATGAGATCGAAGGTCAGAATAAGGCATGGTTTCCATGGTTCTAGGGCACCGATTGTGTTCTTCAGAATCTGTTATTTAACAGAAGCCCTTCCAACACTTTCATCATTTGTCAATCCGCCGACTCTGCCAAGTTTGCCAATGTCTTGGCTCTGTGGCTATGTCGTCGCATTACTCGCATTGCTATTGTTTCCAGCGTTCCTTGTTTTCAAAGTCTTGTTCGCACCCTTCAATCCGTCACCAGAATCTCCCTGATGAGCAGTGTAGACTTGGTTGATACTCGGACTCTCAGCACTCTGTAGATCCTACCCTTCAAAGAGGTACCCGTCTACCTAGACCGTCTCAGCGACCCAAACCCCGGCCGTGAATCTGACACTATATATATATATAGATGTACACAGTATCCTTTCATCAAACTGTCACAGGCATCTAGCTAGTGCTCGCCAAGGGTCCTTTTAGCGGCTTGGGGGGGCCCTGTTGCCAGTGCTGGTCCTCATACGGCGCCGTGGCCGTCGGTGTTTCTCTCTTCTTTTGTTGGTTCCATTCTGGCTGGCTGGTTGACAACAACCTCTTATCATTTGGACCTTCGAAACGAAAGAAGAAAACCAACGAACTCAAGAAAATTATCAGAAAGACTGCCAAGCTGATAGTTTCAAGTACGCCGATTTCGAATTCAATGTCAATTTTATTGGTATCTCCTCGTTCGGTGGAGGTACAAGCAAATAAAGTCTTGTTCGTCTCGTTTCGAAGGTCCAAATCTCGAAACGTTGTTGTGTGCACAATCCCCCCCCCCTTCCGCCAAGACTGCTTGTCTTGTCTGTCTTGCTTGGCTTCCTTTGGCTGGCACAGTCTGACTTCCATCCTTTCATCCCATCATCGTCATTCCAGTTCCTACTCTCGCTAATCTCATTTTCTCTCCTGTTTTCACTGTTTTTCTAACTAAACGACACACATACTCTATGAAAAGAGTATGCCGCTTCTGTGATTATCGCCAGCGGTCCCGACTTCTTGCGTGAAGGCTTTCGCTCATCGTCCCTCGTTTCAACGCCTTTCCCGTCATTTGCTATACGCTTTATTGATTCAGTCGTCCCTCGTTCTCTCGGTTCGCTCTCTCCGCCATGAGGTGGAATGTTGCGGCCTGTGGCTTGATGGGCCTGCTCGCCCAGTCTGCGACGGCCATCACCATGGACATCGACAACGACCGTAAGGATCCGTCGAACTTACCCTTTCGTTTGGCGCACGCGACTAACACGGGTGCTGTTTAGAATCGGTCAAGGATGCCGCCGCCACGATAGCGTACGGAATGATGAGATACTACACGGGCAACAACACCGGCGACACACCCGGAAACTTGCCGGACCCTTACTACTGGTGGGAAGCAGGCGCGATGTTTGGCGCATTGGTCGACTATTGGTGGATTACGGGCGACACATCTTACGTGGAAGTGGCGACACAGGCGATTGTACACCAAGCATCCGATACCCGAGATTTCATGCCCGCCAACCAGTCCCGAACATCATCCAACGACGACGTAGGCTTCTGGACTATTACGGCCATGATGGCGGCCGAGGACGGGTTCCCGGACCCGCCTCCGGACCAGCCGCAATGGCTGGCGCTCGTCCAGGCCGTTTTCAACCAGATGGCTTCGCGCTGGGACGACTTGAACTGCGGCGGAGGCCTCAGATGGGCTATCAACGACTTTCAGACGGGAAAGGACTATAAGAACTCGTAAGTGGAAGAGGAAGAGAAGAGAAGAGGAACTCGTTGATACTTTGTTCTGGGTTGGTCGTCTGGAAAGGATTTGTCATTCTACAAAGACTTATTTCTGTGTTGTTTGTCCGTACTGACTCCCCCCTCCCAGAATCTCCAACGGCCTCTTCTTCAACCTCGGCGCGCGCCTCTCGCGCTTCACAGGCAACAGCTCCTACGGCGAGTGGGCCTCGCGCACCTGGGACTGGGAGCGCTCCATCAACCTGATCACGGACGAATACGACGTCAAAGACGGCGCCCACTTCGACGTGACCACACACGTGTGCCGCAACGATTCCGGGCCGCACGTCTGGTCTTACAACATCGGCGTCTTCCTCCAGGGCGCGGCCTTCATGTACAACACCACAACGGGCGCCGAACAGGAAACGTGGAAGACCCGGGTGGACGGCCTGTTGGGCGCCGTCGAGACCAAGTACCTCACCAACGACACCAAGATCATCAAGGAATGGTACTGCGAATCCGGGTTCGAGGACCGCGGCCACCCGTACCAGTGCAACATCGACCAGCAGACCTTCAAAGGCTACTTGTTGCGCTGGCTCTCTTCCACAAGCCAAGTCGCGCCCTTCACGTACGACCGCATCAACTCGTGGATCCGCTCGACCGCCATCGCCGCCGCCGCTAGTTGCACGGGGCCCGTCGGCGCAGCAGCACCGCAAGTCGACAGCGGTGGCATCCAGCCGGGCTTCAAAGGGATAGACGGGACCGCGTGCGGGTTCAAGTGGACGCAGTCGTTCGACGGGTGGGCCGGCGTGGGCGCGCAGATGAACGCCCTGAGCGCCGTCATGTATACCTTGACGCACAAGGGGCTGGGCAAGGCCGGTAAAGGGCCGGTCACGACGGCGCAGGGTGGAACATCCAAGGGTGACCCCGGAGCGGGTGTAACGGATCCGTCGTCGAGGGGTGGGTTGGCGGCGTTGAAGCCGATTACGGCGGCGGATCGCGTCGGTGCGGGCATCGTGACGGCGATTTTGGCTATTAGTATTGTCGGGGGGAGTGTGTTTTTGACTATTTAACCAGCGGGCAGCCGGGCGTTGGGCTAAGCAAGCCGGTGCGGGCGATATGATGATTTTTTGTGTTTTTGGTTTTTGATAAATGGGCAGGCAAAGCAATATAGGCTTTTTTTATCCTTTCTCAATCTTCGCTTTTCTTGTGTGTTTAAATACTGCTTCAAGGCTTCACTTCAGCGTTGGAGGCTTTGGATGGTTGGGTGAAGTCGATATTTTGGTCCTTGTTCATTCTCTACTGCCACGATTGTCTAGAAGAGCATGATATACGGCGTTTGGCGCGAAATATTCAGTCTAACTCAAGCAACGATTATTGTAACTTTGTGACTTGAAAGCTATTCACCGCACCATAGGTCGTTCATACATTCTGTCCGAAACCCAAGTTGATGGTCTAACAAGTATGCTAGAGATGGAAGCTCGAAGAGGGAGGTCGAGCCAAAATTTGTTGTGGGAGTTCACAAAGAGCTTCTCGATGGCGACGTAAATAAGGTGGAAGGGCTTCAAGATATTGATGGTTTTCCGAGGAGGAAAGTGGTGATGCTCGTTAGCGAGGGATAAGGTAGCTTCAAGTCCGTCCATCCTGATGGTTCACAGATCTGATCACAAGATCGGCCCTCTTGTAACAACACTTTCTTAGTCTATCTATCTATTCATCTATAACAGACAGAAGCATCATGATCCCGCTTTACCTCAAATTCATATCCATGCTCTTGACACAAGTCCACAGCACAACCGGCACCACCACATTATCATTACCTCCCGTCAACACTGCCTCCGTGAGTGATGCCATGCAAGCACAAGCCGCCGTTTTCACCACCGTCGTCGACCACGACGCTTGTGGCAGTTGAGACAATGCCTCCCATAACCTCCCCATTATATCCATCACCAGCTCACCCACGCTCGCGCCCGCGCCCGCTCCCGCTCCAAAACCATCATTAAGTTCCGCCTCCCGGGCAACCGTAGAAAGCGTGCCAACAGTCGAGGGCCAGCCCCCAACGAATAACCAAATATTAGCCGTCATCAACCCCACAAACACCGCTGTCGCGAACGCAATGCTCCCCTCGATGCTCTTGCCGCCTCCCCAGAGCCACTTCCTGTGACCCCATCTTCTTCCGATCAGCGAGGCTGCCGCATCGCCGAGTCCCACGCACACGACTCCGGCGACCATGCTGATGTCCCGGAGCGGGACCTCCCATCCTGCTAGAGGGCCTTCGCCTGTACGTGGTAGGGCGGCCAGGCTGAGCCATAGGGGGATGGCACATCCGATCAGGAGGAAGATGTGCGAGATGACGACGGGGCCACGGAGATCTCTGCCGTCAACGTACGGAGTAAGGAACTGAGCGATGGGTGTTGAGAGCGGAGGGAGCTGGCTCGCTCGAAGAAGGTCAACCAGAAGAAAAATGGCGAGAACGATCGACAAAGCCAGAGCGATGTAGGTTGGGTCGATGAAGATGGTAGGTAGGAACATGGCGACCATCATGAAGTGAAAGACCTTCCGACGTGTATCAACCTCGTAGATAGGGGATAGGCGGAACACGACCGCGAGGCCGATTATGATGACGACTAGCCAGTAGCCGCTGAGGAGGAGACGGGTGTTGGCTTCTCCGAAGATAGATTGACGGACGAACTGAACCCAGCCGCCCAAGGCCCCGGAAGCCTCGCCATCGGCTCGTATCGGGAGGCAGATCCATCTCTCGAGATCCGCCTTGACAACCTCGAGCCTGAGCTGTGGGATGTCGCCAAATAGGTAGCCGAGTGCCCACCCCACCGGCTCGTTTTCAGCGAGGGCGTATCGTCCCACGTACTCCCGAACGCCGACCAGAAGGGTGATCAGTATGCAGACGTAGACCCAGCCGGCGTACAGCCACTTCCTTACAGCGGCTTGCCCTTGTGTCAAGGAAAAGAAGGCGCGTACACTTGAGGAGGCAGAGCGCTTCCGGCGGCCAGAAGGAGTGCTGGTTTGGGACCGAACGATGCTGGCGATTTTGCCCAAAGAAGGCAATGTATGCCTTCGTGGGGAGGACTGCTGCGGGGACGGCGGCTCCTGCACATCAAAACGAACATCAGTACCATTGGCCTGACGAAGTGAGCTCTCTTCAGCGCTACTGATGCTATCCTCTCTTGTCCTCCCTTTCGAGAAGCTCGCATCCCAGGAAGAAGTTGCGGAGTTTCGGTGGCGACGATAGCCCGAACCCATATCGTCGGAGTCACTTGAGACCTCTTCATTGTCAGTTTTGCCGTCGTAGTATGTACGTTTGGCAGCTTTGAAGAACCTCCAGAGCCCAGATGTATTTCCGGCCTTGGGCGTAGAAGGGCGCTTGAAGCGCCACTTTGGTACTCTGGCCAAAGAGATACCCCATTGGATGACTTTACCACATAGCACGATGATTCCGAGACCACCTCCCCAGAGAAGCGCCTTCAAAATAACAACCTGGGGAGATTGTGCCAGTAAAAGGACGTTAATGAGGGCCACAGAGAGCAACTGCAGTTCGGCAATCAGAAGGCTAGTCGTGGTAAGGCGCTGCAAGAGCAAGCATAGCGTCTGGTGCAACGGGTACAGCAACGCCAGGATCTCGGAATCCGCAGCAGAGCTGCCCAGCACGAGAGGAATGCAAGAAAGAAGCCACTGTGTAGAACTATACTCTTCCCAGTGTCCAGCGCCAGGGATCAATGGTCTCGGTAGAGAGCAGATGCTCAAAATCACGTTTGGCAACACAACACCCTCGACATTTTGTGCAACAAGAAGCGAGACGAACAGCGGTATAAGCTGTGGGTATAATGCCGGAGCCGGATCGAAGGAAGTAGGGACGGAAAGGGGCAAGCGTTTCGATGGGTTGCCTCGACGATATGCCCAAGCTACGAGCCTCAACGGGTAGAGGGCAAGTAGTGTCAAGGACAGCCAGCACAATGCCGAGAGTTCTGAAAAGAAAGTGTTAGCTGAGCTACGAGCATCACAGAAATGGGTTCCTGCTATACCTTTTCGATGTGACCGTAGGAAGGGCTGCACGTCATGGTTCGACGCTACAAGCAACCCCTGACAAGCAAGCAGCAGTACCTCGGCACCACGGCGAACAACCTCTTTCCTTCTCCGACCCCTCTCTGCTTCGCCTCTTTTTGTTCGTATGGAGGTGCCGGATCTTGGGTTTAGGTCGGGGTCTCGTCCATCCTCGTCTATGGCGTTTGAGGAAAGAAGGGGTGTTGATGTGCCCGACAGCGGTTCGTTCTTCCCACGTAATCCCTTGTGTAATCGAGTTTTTGGGGCCGGCAATCCCTTGAGGAAGTGTTCATCGTCTGCTTCGGTACCGCTATCGCTCGCCGGGTTCGAACTGTGGGCCGATGTAGGAGAGAGTTGGCTCTGTGACAGAGCCACGGTCGCTGCTCGGTGTATGAGTCGTTCGGAGGGCTCGAGGAGCTCGAAGCTCTGCCGGTAGTAGGGTTTCGGTGTTCGTGTACCGATGGTAAGGTCTACTTCAGGATCTTGGCCCTCGTATTTGGTGTCGGCTGCGTGGAGAGTCGGAGAGTGGGATGGGGCTGAAGCTGGAGCTGGAGCTGGAGGTGGAGGTCGGAGATGCTCTGACATGGTCGAGGTTTTGAGCTTCGTACTTGGTGGCTCGGGCCTCGGGCTACATCGAATGGGCGTCGGTAATGGCGAAGATAGTGTGCTATGCCCGTTTGGTAGTCAATGGCTTGGATCGGTAGAATGACGAGCTGTTGAAGTCGTGGTCGAAACTGTTGTGTGGATGTTGTTTGTTGGAGGGAACAAGGGGAAATTGTTTGGGGACCCTGAATTGCGTAATCAACTGTATTCCAGAGAGTTGTCCAGTGTAAAAGGCCACATGTTTCGGAGTCTTGATATCTGACTAGTAAGGTAGACGGGTAGCCTGACGCTAACAAATGGTATTTTCAAGATGGGATGGAATAGTTTGTTGTTTCTGTCGTATCGTCCACTTTTCTCTGGTCTTTCCAGAAGCTACACCCACAATCACATGAAGAGAATGGTCCAGCGAGGGGGAGGGGGGTACTGTAGCTTGGACGCGGTCGTCGGGTCGGTGGTCGGTCGGAGCAAGTGGCATGTTTCGAGTCCCACCTTTTTGGCGATCCAGGAACACGGCGTGGGCGACAAGGTTCGTGCCGGGCTCAGTGAGGCATGGGCCACTGTAGCGCCACTGCACTGCAGGCCGCCGCTACCCAGTGCTGAGCCGTGCAAGCTTCAGCCACAGGGCATCATTTCGTGAGAACTTGGACACAACATGTCAAAGATATCCAGGTGTATCATGGCCGCTGAGGCACCTCAGGTACCGCAGTACGATATGTGTTCTGTACGTACCCCGAGCCGTCGACTCTCGGTTACTTGGTAGTATCGGGTGATTGCTGAAGTGGCTGCTGATGGCTTGCTCACGCTTCAGGGCAGTCGGTAGATGACAGTCATGACACCGGAATCAGTTGCCATCCAATGTCTCGAGACCTGTACTTCGTATGGTGAGTTTAGTTGAAGAAAGACGTTCGGGTTGTTATGACACCCTCAACTCGTCAGCCTGGAAAGTCCAACGTCCCACGCCGCACCCACCACGGTAGTCTCAAATCTCAAGATCAAAAGACCAGACAAACCCGCCAAAAAGACCATAGAAGAGTGAACAATTATAAACTCGGAGTGAACCGAGAGAGCACTACCCTACAGTGCCTCAGCGCCTACCCAACCCCCGAGCGACTAGCCGTACACGTGTAGCCGTCGACCGTTGACAGTGGTGAGAACCGCCGTGTTGGTTCCGACTTTTGACGCTGTGCCCGGCCAATCGGAAGCCGACAGTGTGCCGCTGGCCGCGCCGTACTGTAGCCCCCGCCCCCAAGGATCCGGGTTCGGCGGCCGTGCTCTTCCGGACGGGAATTGAGCCGCCTGGGCCGACGACACTCATCGCGAGCGCTGGTGGTCGGAGCAGTGGAGCACAGTGAATTACACTCCGACCAAAGTGGTCGCCAACCGCCTGCAAGCGAGATGCAAACTGAGCAAGAGATTCTTGACAGCATTGTGTTAGAAAAATGATTTCGAGCCGTTCGACCCTCGGAACCCAATATAATCGAAGCAGCACAGACACCTTCCTGAACAATACCCTTGGTCAGCATCGGAGATACAGCATAAGATCAACAGCATGTCATAGTATGTAAGGTGGTGATAACACGGCCTGTTATGACCTCGTACCAAGAGTTTTTTACGCGATACCACTTCGGTGGGCCGATGACGTTGACGACTTGCACACCGAGCCAGAACGGGAGCAGCAACAAGGACAAGAACACTTTGCAATTTCCACACCTCGGTCTGGCCGCTCTGCCGCTTTGCCCTGTCCGCGCTCACCAACATCGGAATTGCTTCAAAACTTTTGCCAGCCGTGCCAGCCTCGCAAGTCTATACGGCCATTCATCACTTGCAGATGGGCGCACCGCACCTGTCAGACTGCTCTTCTGTGGAGTTCGGTTCAAGACAGAAGCTTTGAGATGAGAGGTTGACAGTTCCGTCCATGCGGCAGTGGCGTTGGGATAAGGTCAGACTAAGTAAAACAGTGTGGATGCGCGGTAGATCGGATCACACTTCATTCAGCTTGTCAGCGCCGGAGCAGAGCGGCGACGGAGCGATGTCGTCCAGCCATCCAGTCCCTCTGCTAACAAAGAAAAGAAAGGAAAAATACGTCGTGAGGGGCTGCCCAACAACACAACACGGAGCGCTTTGCGGAAAATAACAGCAAAAATGACATGGCTGGGAAAATGGAAACAGCAGGCGCCAACGCAACATGGCAAGTGGACAATTATTCGACCAAGCTTCTGGGCTCTGCCAAGCTCAAAGTTTAGTTGATCCCCCCTCTCGCAACTCGTAAAGTCGTAACAAAGGAGCATCCAGTCCGTATCCCAGTCCGTATCAGGAACCCGCCTGCCGTAACAATCGTGTATCCTCAAAACCCGATCGAGCGTGAAGCTCAATAAGGAGGCTGTGAACCTGCAGTGGCAGCTTCAGCACGTGGGATTGGTCGATTTGAACACGAACGAAGCATCAGATTCTCACAAAGTACGAAGCCTCGAGAGCCTGGCCCGCGCGTCTCTCGGGTACAATTGATTCTGAGTGGGAGATCCAAAAGGTTCCCTCTTTGGCTTTGCTGTCGTGAAACCATCGCCTCTTTGGGCAAAGCATCCCCCCATCGCCTGGGGGAGGTGCCGTGGCGCACAAATGGGAAGCAGGCTTCGTAGCGGTAGTCAAGCACCGTCATGGCTTCCCGCCCGCGCCTTCTCTGGTGGCCGTTTCAGCTTTTGCGAGCCGCAGAGGTTCCCAATCCTGGTGGGTTCGTCGGATTTCTTTGCTACCGATGAATCTTGGCGCTTGCAGTCTTTGGGTTTTTGGGTGAACCTTGGCGGCTCTAGGCATCGTCGTCTGAAAGATATGACAGCTGCACCTTGTCCACAGCACCAAAATGTGAAGCTCCCTGGCCCTTGTCGGCGTCCACTTGCGCCGTGTTGGACCGATCAACAAAGGCTAAAAGAGCGCCGCAACAACAGCCCCCACCCCATGCCGTCTCGCCGTATGTATTAATCCACTCAATACGATCAATACGGGCCAGTTGCTGTCAAGATGGCAGGGAAAGTTACCATATTGGGTACAAGCGAGCAAGGAAACTGCAGCTTGGTCAGACCAATCCAGACCGCTGGAACATGGGCGGGAAAGTTCGATCACACAAGTTGGAAGAAGAAGGAGCTAGGGAGATCTTTCTGTGTAGGAGATCAGGAAGAAAATCCCATCTTTATTTTGTGTACAAACCTTATATAACTGAACACCGTGGAGGCAGAGGCAGGAACAACTTGTGAACAACACTGAACTGCGGAAAGAACAGAAGAAGGAAAGAAAGATAGCAAAAGTCTCAGCTCCTGTGGTCGTTGTCTCGGTAGTGCAACGTTAGCCAGGTAAGCATCAGCAAGCCCTTCCTTCCCTCACCTTTTCTCGCCCTTTCCGTTCTCCGCCAACTTCAGGTTTTCTGTCCCACCTCGCCATCCTCAACCAGTCTGAGCTCTGTGATGGCTCACGGCTCCTCCTCCCCAGGCTCCCCAGGCTCCCTTCCCCTTCCCTTCCCGTTGGGGGGTCTTGCCCTGTTTTACCTCTTGTCTTGCTTGGCTTGACTCGAACGGTAACGTTCAAGACTGTCCCAGCCAGTTCAGGCCGTTATTTCCGTTCTGCATCATCTTCCTGAACAAGAAAGATACAAGAAGATACCGAGTCGGGACGATCACAGTGCTTACAAGTCGATGCAGGACGACCGCACTAAAATAGGCCCCATTGACTCTTGCTGCAACCAAAGCCCAGTTCTCTTCTCGTGGAGTCGGTCGACGAGTCTTTGGTTTTGAGTTTCACGTCCTGCAGCTTCTTGATACCTTGACCGCAATCTTCACCCCCCAAGAACGGAACCCAGACGGAACCCAGCCCTGACGAGACTCCAGAACGGCCCCATCAGCCAACAGCTTGCAGACGATTCCATAGGGCAGCCGCCTTTGATCGCCACCCATCACCACCGTTGACCATCTCCATTTGCTGCAGGACAAGGCCACCCAGACTTCCTCTCTTTTCTCGGCAAGCCACCATGGGACTGAACAAAACCCACGAGATGCCCCCTCCCGGAGCCTCGCTTCCCATCATTGACGTTGAGAAAGCGGCATCGGAAGACGCAAGGACACGCTTGACGAGACCAGAGGACCAAAGACTACCATCCAACACCACCGACAACAACAAGATGACTTCGTCGAGGCGCGCTCTCCTGAGCGTCACCCTGTGCCTCTTGTTCTTCTTCGGCTTGACATCGGCCAGACCATCAAGATGGCAGCAGAGGGTTCAGTGTCATGAGGGAGCTGCATCGGCAGAGGGCGAGAACTTCCAGTCCATGGTGGATGCGGCATCGCCAGACTCTCTTCACATCATTCTTCACAAGACCTTCCCTGGCCGGTTCCAGCACGGAGTTTGGGAGTCAGAGAAGCAAGCCATCGAGGCCGTTCGCCGGGACAACGCCCCTCTTGCGACAGCCATCTTGCGCATGGCCAAGCGTGATGACTCGAACACGACCATCGCTTCGTCAACTCAGCAACCAACTCAGCAACCAACTCCTTCTTCGGCCTCATCCAGCGCCCAGGTTACTTCGTCGTCGAGCTCCGCGGCGCAAGTCACCAGCTCTTCATCGAGTGCACCTGCGCCTGAGCCGTCAACCACCACCCAGGCTCCTCCTGTCATCACCACTACTTCGACCACTTCGACCAAGTCAACATCCTCTTCGGTACCTCAGGCTAGCCCCAGCTCAACTGGTACGTCCGTGGGCGAGAGTGAGAGAACTCTCGTTCCTTTATCAACGTCGTCTTCTGCGTCTTCCGTGTCGTCTTCCGAGCCGTCTTCTGAAGCCGGAGTGTCTTCCACCACTTCTTCTTCATCTGGTTCGTCGTCCACCTCATCCAAATCTTCTTCTTCTCTTGAATCATCATCGTCATCCACTTCACCCACCACTTCATCTTCTGATGTCGTGTCGTCGGTGTCGACGACAGCGTCGTCCACATCAGCTACGACCATTTCTTCTGGTTCGTCGTCCACGTCCACTTCACGTGCCACCTCTTCTTCTTTTTCGACGTCCTCCACATCCCGAGAAGTATCAGCTTCCTCGGTCACTGTGGGTACGTCGGTGTCCCCTCTTTACTGTAAATTCTCTTACATCCCCCAACCCCTTTCCCACAAAGACACTCCGGTGTTCAGGGCTCGGCTTATCCTTCAACCACTGAAACATCAACTAACACGAAACTCTTAGTCTCCTCAACCACCTTGACCACCACCTCCAAGGCCAAGCCCCAAACCACCGAGCAACCACAGACCACCCAGCAACCTCAACAGCCCGATGAGCCCATGACCCCCAGCTCCAAGGTCATCGTCCAGACGTTGACCTCGACCTCGGACGGCGTCGAGATTGTCGTCACCCAGACCAGCACCGTCCGCGTTGACCCCACCCCCACAGTGGGCGCGGCCACCACCAGGGCTTCTCCCAGCCTTCAGAACGCGGGTTCTTCTATCCAGCAGCAGCGGGGAGCGGGCCGCTGGCTGATGGTCGTTGAGGCTGTCGTATTGGGAGCGCTGTTGATCTTCTTTGTGCTTGCTTGAACTTGAGCGCGGTTGAAGTTCCAGTTTTCAGTTTTTCCTTTTGGGTTATGGGTTTTTGTTTGGCTTTGACTTTTCAAGTTTGCGTCTCGTTTGCTTTAGCACTGCATTGCGTCGGTTACTTACGTCTACGTCACTTACATTATTTTTCTGTCGTTCTTGCATTCCGGGGTTTACAACACACACACACATACGCATACACATGCATTCATTTCCGCGGCGGCGCACCGCCGTCGCCTCGATGTATGACCACATTCTTTTTCTGATCTAAAAGGGCAATTGTTTACTCTCGGTGACAAGACTGGGAGGAGGAAATTTGGTATAGGGAAGGGATTATGTATAGAATTTTGGGTACGCTATCAATCTACGGTGGTGGGAAAGAGAAGACTGTCTATGGTCTGTACAATGTGAAAGACAAAAGGGGCGAGTTAAGCTGTCACTGGAAGATCTTCACGAAAGTTGGTAACGTGGTAAAGGAAGAATGGATGGATGGATGGATGGATGGATATAGGTATATACATAGGAACGGACAACATGCGTACATACACACACAAACACCGCTTGGTAGATGAGATAATGGAATGAATTAGACGTGAAAGCTGGTTACAATCATTGTTGGAACTAGAACGAGAGAATGTGTTCGTGAATGTAAATTTGGCCAACAGCTTCTGAGAGCAAAAAATAACAAGCTGTTTATGATCCGTGTTGAGATTCTCATGACAAAATGTATTCGCAAACGTAAATCTGGCCAATGTTTACTGACAGCAAAAAGAACCACGGCAAGCTCGAAAGCATTTCGGATAAGGTTGACACCATTAGTAATGAACAGCTGAGGTTATCATCCCGCACGTAAGAACGTAAGATGGGTGGAAAATGCATGCATTCTGATTGGTATCATGATCAAGTTAAAATAGAAACTTGGTGAATATCTTCGAAGCCTCTCGGGGCATTGACATTCCCCTCATCAACCAGCTTTCTCACTCAAATCTGTCTGGAACAATGACATACCAGAGTCTGGCCAAAACATATCTTCCGAGATCCAGGCCGCCTGTCTGTCAGCCTCTAGACTGTTTCCCAGCAGCAGTATTCGTGAAGTATTCCCGGTTTGGCCATCGGACTTGTGTGGGCATCGGGTAATCGGCTCTTCTTCTTCTCTCCTATCTTCCTGTTGTTCTTGGTATGCTGTCGGATGCGCCATGCCTTTTGACTGTGTAATTGGAGCCGAACGTAATTGGGCGGTGGGTGGCTGGTTGGTGTGCATTCCGCAATCCACACATACCAGATACCACATACCAGCCCGGCCCAGACCTCCTCGTGCTGGTTCGGTTCCCATCGTCTGTCTCCTGCCCGATCATTTCCCCCTCTCTTTTCTGTTCCTCTTTCTTCTTAACCAGGTCCAATCTTGGGCATATCATGATGCTCGCTCAAGCGCGACAGGTGCGCGTTCAGCTCCTCCACGCGCTGCTTGTGTGTCTTGAGCAGCTCGGGGCGGACGCGGCCAGATTCGGTCATTTCTTTTAGCTGTTTTTACAGAAAGGTTGGTGTCAGTCAGTCAGTCTTGCGAAATCATGCTGTGGTGGTGCGCTGGGCTCGTGGGACAGCGAAAAGGGGAAAGAACAGAGAGATACGTACCCTCTTCCTCTTAGCCTCCAGAAACCTCCTCTCCGCCTCGGTTTTCGTCTCGTCTTCTTCTCTTTCCTGGCTTTGACTTGTTCTTCGTTCCCGTTTCTCTACATCTGCGCTACCCTCTCTCAGTTGTAATTGCTTCTTCTCGTCATCGTCGTTTATGTCTGGCGACTTGTTGTTGTCTCCGCCGGTCGATAGATTTTTCTCCAGGTCCGTCTTGTCCTTCTTCTTTTTATGTTTCTTGACTTTACCCCCGGCCACCACGCCCTTGAACTTGAGAGGCCCGCGGGCGACGGTGGTGTAGTCGTCTGAGGGCATCGCTGTGAGGCGAGCGTACGTCGCGCGCGCGGCGGCTTAAAAGATGTTGCAGGTGGTACTGTGGGAAGTTTCTGGTCGCAATTGGGAGTGCGCCGTGTCGCGGATTGTATGGTGGGCGATTCGATGGGTAGTTGGCGCTTGGTCGCGAGCAGGACACAGGTTTAGGATGGACGGAGAATGAGGGTAAAAAGTTGTATTTGTTAAGTAAGCTATGGATGGATTCGCAATTGGGTCGTCGAGGTTCTCGTCGATTCCTTTGAAGCAAAGGCGACGAGGGCTAGGACGGACATGCGACCGCTTGGCGTGATAGTGTGGAGCCAACTCGCTTGCTGCATCACATTGCCGGAGGCAGGCAGCCGGCAGCGGCAGGCAACTTGCAGTGCAGGCGTGTGCGGCTGCTCGCTTCTCTGCTGCAAGCCACAGGCTATAGTCCAGAACCACACGAAAGCCACACTTTCTCACTAGCCATAACTCCACGCAAAAATGGTCTGGCCCCAGCGCCCCACCAGAAAATCCGTGTGGGGTGCTCCCCTCAACAGTGAGGGTATAAAACCAATCTCTGCCGCACCCCTTTTGGAGCTTCTTTTTCTTCTTTTTTTTCCTTAGATCAAAAAGTATACACGAAGCTGCCACGACCTTCACTAGTACCAACGGTGTCGAGTTGCCTGGGGTCCTTTTTAGGACTCCGCGCTTCGGAGATAGATATTCCTTGATAGGAAGTTTCACGCCCTTTCCACTATGGGCGATGAAGTGCTGATAGATTGGAGACATTCCCACTTGCGCAAGTGTTATTTTGCTTGTTCCAAGTTGATACGATCTGGGGGCTGCTTTTTGTGACTGCTTTCGCAACGCTCATGTTAAGAGCTAGTTGCCATATTTGTGATTGCAGTTTCGCTGTGTTCATTCCCTGTCTGCTGCTGATGAAGTTTGTTTCTTGAGTGCAGATTTTTGGTGTGCACGATCCATACGGTCCGTGCATCAGATCACCACTTTCTGTCGAGTGCAAACCTCCATGGACTCGGAGTTCTCGATGTGTGTCACGGCCCACGAGATATGTTGATGACATGACGTACACGCGTATGCTGTCGACTGCGGAGGATTCTCTGTTTTGGTATTGTCCTTTGAATTTCCTCAGACTCGGAGTCACATTCACCGCTCGATGCTCTTAATTTCACGGTCTCAGTCCTCTTGAGGAACCTCACCACTGATGGCGGTGATTGTTCCTTGACGCTACGAAATGTTCGGCATGCTCTCAAATTCGCCGAGCCAATGGCTTGATCGTCATCCGTTCGGCCTCGGGCTTGGGCAGCAGCTGAGGAGGTGAGACACCAACAGGAGATTCGGAATGCGGGCAATGTCTTCCCATTCCACAACCACCACCACCGGCGGCCGAGATGGCTGGCGAGAAATGCTTCCGGGCTGTGCTGTCGGTCAGCAATGAGCGTAAACACTGCACATGGAACTCAAGTGAGCGAGGTACAAGATCACAACGACAAGTGGTTGCGGTATAAGACCTTGGACGACGGTGAGCCTTCATACTCCTTCCTGCTTTCCCTCTCCATCCCATCGTTCTACAACGACCAGTCACTCGTTATCAAACAGTCTTCCATAATCTCAAGCTTTTTCTTCTCTGTCCTCTCAGCTTTTGCACATCAACCTCAACTACCTTTTTAATCACTTCCACATACAAAATGGAGTAAGTCAAGCCAAGAGCTCTCACAACACCCCCGAAACCCATCACTAACACATATCACCACAGCTCCTGGCGTGCTCCCGTATCAGCAGCCGCGGCCATGTCCGCCGCTCCAGCCGCCGCCTCCCACGGCCCTCTCACCTCCGCCACCTTCTGGTCCTGCGACGCCGAGCCCATGGAGACCCAAACCGCCGCCCCCGTCTTCACCACCGAATACTGCGTCACCCTCCCTGCTCCCTGCCACCACGGCCCCGGCCCCTGCCGCGCCACCTACACCGTCACCGAAGAGTGCACCGGCGACCGGGACTCGTGGGCTCAGCCCACGGGCGTAGTCCCTCCTGGATTCGTCGTCACTACCGTCACCGATTGCAATGCCTGCCACGGAGGACCTACCCAGACGTGGACTGTGCCGGCTCATGGTCCTATTCCAACCAACGTTGGCCCTGCCCCGGGACCGGGCCCTCAGCCGACCATGGCTACTAGTGTTGTGATGACGATGCCGTCGCAGACTGGTGGACAGATGCCGGTTCAGACGGCTGGTGCGCCGCCGGCGAGGACGATGAGCTTGAAGACGAGTGTGGGACTGTTGGTTGGTGCGGCGTTGGCGTTGTTTAACTTTGCTTGAGCAAGCTCCCACTTGTTTTTTTCCCCCTTCGTGTTGAACGACTTTCATTCTGGGTTTGGGTTTCTTGTTTTTGGGTACACGCACAATCTGGGTTTTTGGGTCTTCGGATTTAGTTTCACAACGAATAGGACATGACTACTACAACTCTTGTTGGTGAGATGGCTAGCAGGTGAGATGTGATACCGGTAGAATCCATGGAGGTCACCATATCAAACCTCTAAACGACGCTGAGAGTTGCAGTGGGCGGAAACAATATTCACAAATATTCAGCGACCCTTTCAAAACTCCATGAGGTGGGTTCGAATTTGACTGCTTCTTCAAACCAAGTTATGCTGACGAGTCCTTGAGTCATTCCGCCAAAGTTTGGGTCGAAGCTTCATATGTCTACAAACCTTCAGGGGGCTAACATGTGAACTAATAAAAGTTTACTACATCAACAAAAGAAAAACATATGGCAAACAAACCGAGAGCCAGAACTGGCTTACGCGGACAGCTACGTACTGGAAGGCCGAGAACGCGTAGGCCTTATGCTCAGGGTATGTAAAAGAGACAGTGGTGATTCGGTCAAGGTTGCATTCACCTTCCTAATCCGGATCAATATACAAGCTTGGTGTTGTCGTTGGCCGCTGCCGCGCAAGCGCTGTCATCCTCCCTGTGCCAGGGGGGCCAGCGGCTTACGCATACCTATAACTCAGTGCAGATATCATGATTCGTACTCCTTCATATGTTGAGTAACGTATAAGATATGTCCTGAAGAAGGCATCTTGCTTTGAACAGCGAAAATGAAGGCATTCGCATGCTCATCCTCACCAACTTAGAGAGGCACAGACGGACGGACATCATGGCATCAACACTACCCGGCGATGCCTTGTGTCCATCCGGACTTGAGGCAGACAGTCAGTTCGGTCCCCGGGTCGATGTAGCATGTCGAGAGTTTGACTTCACCTTGCTCTTCGAAGATGGCTTCTTCATGCTCCTTCCAGCTGCTCTATTCCTCCTCTTTGTCCCATGGCGGCTCTGGTCGTTATGGAAGAGTCCGGTTAAACTCACTTCGAGGCGGTTGGCTATTGGAAAGTTGGTAAGTTCCGTTCAGTCCTCTCTCACCACCAACAAACACAGCTAGTTAGAACCACAGCTAACACACACATCTCACTCAGACACTCCTCTCAGCCCTCTTCACCCTCCACCTCCTCAACACCATCTACACCACCAAATCCATCCAAACCACCCCCCTCTCCCTCCCCGCCACCATCCTCACCACCATCGCCCTCCTCTCTTCTGGGGTTCTTTCCCTCCTCGAAGACCAACGCACCATCCACCCCTCCGACCTTTTAGTCATCTACTTCTCCGCCTCCACCATCCTCTTCATCCCGCGCCTTCGCACCCTCTTTCTCCTCTCTACCTCTACCTCCCATACTACCTCCCTCGTTAACAACCCCATCCCCCACCACTTGTTGGTCTTACAAGTCCTCTGGACCCTCATTTTTGGTTTAACCACCCTCGTCGCCATCACCGAGTCCCTCGGCAAGTTTAGTTTGCTTCAGCCGCGGTACAAACATGTCGTCGTCACCAAGGAGCAGACAGCCGGGTTTTGGAGCCGTGGGTTTTTTGTTTGGTTGTTACCCTTTTTTCAGGTGGGGTATAAGACGATTTTGGGGATGGGGGATATTCCGGGGGTGGATGGGGAGTTGAGGGTTGAGAGCGCGGGTGGGGGGTTGGAGAGGGTTTTTAGACGGTTGCAGGCGCAGCAACAGGTACAGGAACAGGGACGGGAGATGAAGACTGCCCGTGAGGGAGGGGGGAAAAGGGAAGGAAATAGGGAAGAGAAGGGTGATGGGAAGAAGAAGAAAGGGTGGATTTTAATCAGGGCGGCGTATGAGGCGAATAAATGGCCTTTTTGGTCGGCCGTGGTGCCGAGGTTGGCGCTGTTGGGGTTTAGTCTCTGTCAACCGTTTTTGATTGAGGCGGTTGTTGGGTATTTGGCTTCGAGAGAGCGGAAGGAGGGTGACGAAGAAGGAGAAACTGGGTCACCCCAGCCGGTTTATTATGGGAGAGCATTGGTGGGCGGGTTTGTGTTGTTGTATGTTGGTATTGCTGTGAGTGGAATCATCGCTGCCGTTATTCCCGGATGGGTTGATATACTGACGATAGTGATGGGTGTAGGTTTCAAGGGCGATATACTGGCGACAGACGAACCGAATGATTGCTCGAATTCGGTCGGGGCTTATTGCTATGGTGTATCAGCATACCACTGCTCTTTGGGCCGTTGACGTCAAGGACTCTGCGGCAGTCACTCTGATGGGAACGGATGTGGAACGCATTGTTACGAGCATCAAGAATGTTCAGGAGCTATGGGCGTCTATACCGGGCGTTGGTATTGCTATCTGGCTGTTGGCTCGGCAGGTGTCGTATGCTGCCATAGTTCCTCTGGTGATCTGCCTGAGTAAGTTGAAAAACTCTCTGATCTGTTTTCTGTTCAATATACAGACATCCACGCTACTTTATTTTACCAGGGCATTCATAAGCTGACACTTGCCTTTAACTTTTCGTAGTATGCGTCGTCGGAGCATCCTTCATCGGAGCAGGTACCGGACCCGCACAAGCGGCATGGAACGAGCGAGTCCAAAAACGAGTCGCCGTCACGGCCAACATGCTTGGTGACATGAAAGCCGTCAAGATGTTAGGACTTACCGGCGTACTAGGCAACATCATCCAAGGCCTACGCAGAGCCGAGCTGAAGACTTCAGAGAAGTTCCGCAAGTATTTGCTTTGGACAATCCAAGTCTGTAAGTCAACATTCCAGTTACTACCTGGTGATAGGACTCGAGCCCACGAAGCTAACACACACACATAGCCAACGCACCAGCAAATGGTGTCGCCCCCTACGCGACCTTCGTCGTCTACGGTATCATGTCAGCAGTGAAGAAAGATCAAAACCTGCTAGCAGCGCAGGCTTTTGCCTCTCTATCCCTCATCAACCTGTTGACGACCCCTTTGCTTATCTTCTGTCAGGCTTTCCCGGCTGCCATGCAGGCTGTGGCATGTTTTGGCCGTATCGAAACATATTTGACTAAACAGGAGTTGAAACAATCAGATCTTTTTTCGGTTGAGGATAGTGGACGGTCGGCGGGAGCCTCTTTTGAGAGTGGCACAGAGCTAAGAAGCGTGGTGAGCTCGAGACCGTTGGCCCTTGAGACTACACCTGGGGCACTCGCCTCGTTCGCAGCTGCAGATATCTCTTGGTCAGCCGATGCTACCGAATCGGTATTGCAAGACGTGAACTTGACTATCAAATCAGGCTTCACGGCGGTTATCGGTCCTGTTGGTTCAGGTAAATCCACACTTCTCGAGACATTGGTAAGAGAAACGACACTCAGGCGAGGATCCGTCGTCACGAACTTTTCCCGTGCGGCTTACTGTCCACAAGCAGCATGGCTCATGAACGACACCATCCGACGCAACATCACCGGCGGCAGCGAGGACTTTGAGATCGACCAGAAATGGTACGATTCCTGTATCCTATCGTGCGGACTCCAACGCGATCTCGATGGTATGGCAGCGGGTGACCAAACAATCGCGGGAACGAATGGCTCGTCGTTGAGCGGAGGGTAGCGGCAGAGAGTGTCGCTCGCCAGAGCTGTGTACTCTCGTGCTCCTGTTATTATCCTCGACGATGTGATGAGCGGCCTGGATCCTGCGACTGCTAAGGAGATTACCACGAGGTTGTTTAGCAAGCAAGGTCATCTTCGTAAGGCGGGTGTCTCGGTTATACTTGCCACTCATAATAGTAAGACTACTTTCTCCCTTCAATCTCCAAACCCCCATTACTAACGGTCGTTTACCAGAGCGCCTTTTCCCCTACATGGACGAGATCGTCGTACTCGAAGGCGGAAAGATCGCAGATGTTGGCTCATACAGCGAAATCCAATCGCGAGGTGACCTCAAGCTTATGGTCATGACCGACGAAGATACGATTGAGTCCGAAGAACAGCAGTCTCCAACAGATGAAGCACCAAGGGAAAAAACCTACGCCACCACCACACCAAAGCCCTCAGACACAACCCAACAACAACAACCAACCAAGCCCAACCTCGAACGCCGTCAAGGAAGCTGGTCCGTCTACGCCTACTACGCCTGCAGCGCCGGCGCCCTCAGTCTCTCCCTCTGGGCCTTCTTCACCGTCCTGGGCGCCATAACATCCAACTACATGACCATCTGGATATCCACCTGGAGCTCCGCCAGCACGCCTTCACCGTCCAACCCCGATCCGCACCCAAATCTAGGCTACTACCTCGGCATCTACACGCTTCTCGTCGTGCTCGCCCAAAGCGGCGCCGTAGGCGAGTGCTTCGTCTTTTTGATCAACATCATCAGCCACACGGCCTTGTCTCTTCACACGGACCTTTTGAATTCCGTTTTGTCGGCGCCTCTTTCTTTCTTCTCCCAGTCACCCACAGACTCAACCAACAACGGCGACGACAACAACACCACCCCAAGCTCGGAAGACACCGGCACAATAACCAACCGCTTCTCCCAAGACATGGACCTAATCGACATGACCCTCCCCATCCAAGCCATCATGTTCACCAGCGCCGGTTCCTACGCCCTAGTCCAGTTAATCATCCTCTGCATCCTAGGCAAATACCTAGCCGCCACCGTTCCGTTACTCGCTGTCACTTTGTTTCTCGTGCAAAAGTACTACTTCCGCTCGTCACGACAACTACGACTGCTAGACATCGAAGCCAAGGCGCCCGTGTACAAGCACTTTTTGGAAACAGTAACGGCGGGGGGCGTGGCTACCATTCGCGCGTTTGGATGGGATAAGAGGTTCTGTGACAAATTGGCGGGCATGGTGGATGAGGCGCAGAAACCGTTTTATATGCTGGCTTGTATTCAGCAGTGGTTGGCGCTGGTGCTGGATTTGGTGGTGGGCGGGATGGCGGTTGTGTTGGTGGGTGTGGCGGTGGGCGTGGCGCCGGACCCGGACTCGGAGAAGGGTTCGTCGAAGACTTCAGTCAGTGCAGGAGCTTTGGGTGTGTCGTTGGTGCTGGTCATGACGTTTAACGAGTTGATTGTGCAGACGTTGCAGGCGTGGACGAGGTTGGAGACGTCGATTGGGGCGGTGGCGAGGGTGAGGGACTTTGTTAGGACGACGCCGAAGGAGGAGGACCCGGACCCGGCGAGCTATGGTGAAGACGGGGAAACAGATGAGGGCGGAGATGGACTGGCTGGATGGCCTTCCAGGGGGGAGATCAAGATCGAAAAGATCTGTGCCAGTTACGGGTATGTTGTCACCCATCCACCCACCCCCTACCATGTCTCCTCATATTACCCCTGAACAAGTAAACAAACTAACATTTCCCCTAGCCCCCACACCTCCTCCTCTAACACCAACTCCAACACCGGACCCCCAGCCCTCAAAAACCTCACCCTCACCATCCCTCGCTCGCGTCACATCTTCAACGTGATCCCACAAGACCCCTTCTTCATCCCCAACACCACCCTCGCTTTCAACCTCGACCCCTTCTCGCACCTCTCCCATCTACCCCCCGCCGAAGCAGCAGCCAAGATGGAATCCGCCCTCCGGCTCGTCACCCTCTGGCCGGGCCGCGTGACCGCCAACGGCCAGACGCTCGACAGCGAACTGATCACCTCGGAGTGGTCAGTCGGCGAGCTCCAGCTGCTGGCGCTCGCTAGGGCGTTGCTGATGAAGGATAAAACGAGGATTTTGGTGCTGGATGAGGCGACGAGTAGTGTGGATGAGAAGACGGAGGCGGTGATGCAGGAGGTTATTGAGACGGAGTTTGCGAGCCACACGGTTATTGCGGTGGTGCATCGGTTGACGTATATTGATCGGTTTGATTTGGTGGCGGTGTTGAAGGGGGGGGAGATGGTTGAGTTTGGGGAGCCGGGGGGGTTGATTGAGGGGGCTCATCGGGGTGAGGTAAAGGGGAGTGTTTTTGGGGAGTTGTATAGAGGGTTTTATCAGGGGAATGGAGCTGGGAGGGGATGAGACGGGTTTGAATGGGATGTATTAAGTCTAGGGAATAGTTACGAAATATATGTTTAACACGGCTTTCTACCAGAGGCTGGTGGTACCACTGAAGAAGAAGTCCGAGACCCATGACTGAAGGACACAGCATACCGCTCAGCTTCAGACTCTGGTGCCCGGCACTGAGAGAGGATGAAGGCACAGCCGCTGAGGAAGTAGCCGAAACACTGCTATCGCCATCCTCGTTGGTGCCTGTAGGGAGGACAGAGTTCGTCGGCACAGATCCTTCCGTAGCCGTGGCAGTGGTGGTGCCTGTCTGCGACGCCGGCATATCGGTAAGGGTATATCCATCCGAAAGATCGTAGTAGCCCCAGTAGGTTTTGGTATCAGTTCCCTCGCTGTAGACGTATTTAACGACTTGGTGCGGCTGCGCGACAAGAAGTCCATTTTCGTAGTCCCATGCCGCTGTGACCTCTTCAGCACTGGTCTCCTGGTATTTCTCACTCGCCAATGTCACTGTTACCGAGTGATCACTACCTGATCGGATTCCGGTGGTCATCCGTAGAACAACACTGAGTGAACCTTCGTTTTACATATTCGGGGAAATCCACGACACAGAAGCGGCAAATGGCAACTGATTCTGGCTCATGTACAACAAGGTAGCCTGGCCGGATGGGGGCAATCATCATCATCATCAACACGGTGGGTTATCGTACAACGAGCATTTCTCCGACCACTTCTTAGCATCTATGTCCTTTCTACTCCTTCTTCCATTGGACATTGTCAGTACCCTTGCTCCGCACGGCCATGCGGTCCAGGATGTCGGAAACGGCTTCCCGAACACCTTGCTTGCCACGCCTGGTTTCGACGAAGTGGTCGACGAGCTTTTCCCGGGTGAAGTTGCCTTTCTCTATCGCCTCCCTGACGTCGTAATCGTTGGGCAGGCCAAACTTGTTGTGGGGATACTGCGTGTAGGACCTGTCGTTAAGCAGCTCCAACACAGGGAGCTCCGGGTCGTTCCTGAAGTAGTCCTCAGTGATGTTGGCACCGGGCGGGATCTCGTCTAGCGAAGCCGGCTTCCACTTGGCGGGCCTCATGGGCTTGTCAATGAGCAATGCGGTAACACCCTCATTGAAGTCGTGGGACTTCATGAACTTGGCAGCCATCTGGTGTTCGCGCTTGAAGGTGTGAGCAATGCCCCAAGTCTTGCCGAGGCGCATCTGACGCAGCGTAACGTGGAGAGAAGTAGGGGAGCGCTGGGTGAGCTCCTCCAGGGTGTTCTTGGCCCAGCCCGAAACGCCTCCCTTAGCGCCTTCAGCGGCTTCCTCCTTAAGGGCGGCAATGATCTCATCGATCTTGTCGTGCTTGAAGCAACGGTCGATAGCGAGGCGAACCCTACCGCCAATCTGGATCTTCTCGTCGTAGGGAACACCGGTGGAGAACTCCTCGATGGTGTCATTGATGACGCTAAGGCGCTGTTCCATGGTCCAGTAGTCCGCGGGGGTAAGCTCGGCAAGACGGGATTCCAGGGCGGGAAGACTGCTCGAGTGAAGATAGTGGGTGGCAATGCCGGCGTAGTAGACCTGGACGCCCTTCAGCTGGGCGCTGGTGAGACCGAGGTAGGTGCCGACCTGGCCGGGCATCCTGGGGAGGAAGAAAGAAGCGCCGACGTCGGGGAAGAAACCAATCTTGGTCTCGGGCATGGCGAAAAGAGTGCGCTCGGTCGCGATTCTGAAGGGGGCGTGGATACTGAGACCAACACCACCTCCCATGGTGACGCCGTCGAGGAAAGCAACGTAGGGCCTGGTGTAGGTGGAAATCAGGTGGTTGAGCTTGTATTCGAGGCCGAAGTAGTCGACCGACTTCTTGATACCCTCGGGGCCCTCGGCGTTCTGCTTGGCCAGCGCGGCGACATCACCACCGGCGCAGAAGGCCTTCTCTCCGGAGCCCTTGATAACGATGACGTTGGCTATGTCGGAGCGTTCCCATTCGAGGAGACGGGGCGCGATCTTGCGGATCATGGAGCCGTTGAGGGCGTTGTACTTGGCTGGGCGGTTGAGCTCGATGGAGCGGAGATTGTATAGACTGTTGAAGAGGACATCCTCGGGCTCGTCACCCTCGACGGGCTTGAACAACTCGGCGGCGGCTTGGGTCGAGATCTGGGAGGAGGGGGCGGCGAGCGTGTTAGCTGTTGTGACCATGGTTGAATCTTGAAGAGAAAGGGAAGCGTCTTACTGGGGCCTGCTGGCCCAGGACTTTGGCTCTGAGCGGCATCGCGGCGAAGGTTGGTCGGCAGCTGCGAGAAGCAACAGCAGAAGCCAGGCCGGCGCGGCTGGCAATGGACTTGGAGAACAACATCGATGTACACGTGGGTGGCTTGTCTAGAATAGGAATGGAATGACAAGAGTTAAATGGAAGAAAAATAGTCCAAAATCCACCCCGAGGCTGTTTAGCACCGCTGTTGCATCATAGACCGGCCAAGGGACTGGTGGCACTTTTCGGGACTCGTTTTCCTGGGGAAGGGGAAGGGGAAACGGGAGACAATCGCCAATGAATGTCGCGTGGATGCAGGAACCGTGATAAGTGATAGCGAGAGTATCTGCAAACCAACCCACTTTTTGCTGCTCCGGAATTCGCGAAACTGGAGCTCCAAGCTTCAATTGATTTTCAAGGGCACCGCGCCTGGAAATCCCCGGGGCGGGGTTACGGGGGAGCTAAAAACTGTGGAATCTGCCGAATCCGCTATCGCTAGAAATTGGAATCTCCTCCGGCCGATGGTATCCATTCAGACCTACCATTTTCTAGAAGTGACGCTCGGACCCTCCGCTCACTGGAGACCCCGATGTCCTGGCAGTCCCGTCCCGGGGGATGCTCGGCGGGGCTGGTAGCACCTGTCACCGGAGCGGTCCTCAGCCTTCCGCATTGGGATCCACCATAAGCTTCTCATCCAATGGTTTCCCGGAAAAGCTTGGTGTGCCAAGGATTCTACTGGACCGTTGCCCGCCGGCGCGTGTACTGTAGCTCCACGCTCGCCGCCGCGCCTGGCCGCCTGCTGCTGCAACATTTCGTGGATTGTTTGATTGATTGTAGCATCCATTACAGCTACTATCGTCCAGGCGTCTACCATACACCATCAACCCACACCCAAGCAACAACTCAACGTCGACAACCAGCTTTGAATCAACACGAAACTACGACTTCTCTGTCCCACCCATATTTCAGTACCACCCAATCCAACTCCAGATCAAAACATCATCGTCATGGCTACGGCGGACGCAAAGATTCAGTCAGTACCCAGCTATACCATCTTCCAGCATCAACCCATGCGCCCGCGCAGTCGATATTAGAGACCAGCTTGACTAACAACCTTGTTGTTTTCAGGGAGCTTCTCACGAAGCCGCGCAATGAGCTTACGTACGTTACATCCTCTTGTCAACAATGCTGACCTCTGTTTCCATCGACACCTTGTCCTTCTTTCTGCGACCCAAGACCATAACGCCCGCCCAGCCAAACAACAAAGCTAACCTGCTCCTTTGATGCAGTGAATACGAAGTTTCTCTCCTCGAAGAGCACGAGTTCTCCGCCGGTCCTCTGGTACATATGCCCTTCAGCCATGATCCACCACACCTTCGACATGGAGCCGCGACTAACATCACACCCTTTTCCGCAGTCGATCCTCCAGACCGCCGTCCGCAGCCACTCCCAAGTTCTCATTTCCGTACGCAACGGGCGCAAGATCCTCGCGCGCGTCAAGGCCTTCGATCGCCACATGAACATGGTGCTGGAGAACGTCAAGGAGATGTGGACCGAGACGCCCCGACTCGCCAATGGCAAGAAGGGCAAGCCGGTAAACAAGGACAGGTTTATCAGCAAGATGTTTGTGCAATTTCTATTTATCTTGAGAGAGAAAGCGAAGACCAATGGCTGACATATTCCTCTTCCCTGGCAGGTTCCTGAGAGGCGACTCTGTTATCCTTGTCCTCCTAAGCTAGTTCGAATCGCACGGCAAAATGTTTAGGTTGGAGGTTTTGTTTCACTCGCACGGCAAACACACGCGCAACACAAACTTACGGGTTAATGGTTCAAATGGGGGGAACGGATGAGACCGGGCAGGTACCTCTATTGTTGGTCGACCGAATCGAGAGAGGCATGCGGACTTTACCACGTTACTACACTACTCAGCTGCTCGACCATGATGACGACACAACCACGAAAGCAGTTCTCCCCGTCAAAAAGCGCCGCGCAGGAAAAGAGGAAAGAAGAGAAACCCAAGCAGATTTTCAGGGGCTATCAGAAAGGTCATATAAAGGGAAAACTAGTGTGAGCTCGGCGTTTAAACGTGTATTTGGTTTTGTTTAACTCATTTTTATTTCTGGTAACTTGATCAAACAGAATACCCAGACCGTGTTTAGGTTGTCGCATACGTCTTCATGTTCTCGTGCCTCTTACTACGGCTGGAGCTTTGATCATGGTTTCATGGTACGTCATTGAAATGGTGGTGCAAACTAACTACTCAGGGGTATATCAAGATCATATACAGCAGATCTTAGGGCAACTCAGCCTCTCCTGTGACCTCTTCCCATCCATCATCCGATCCCTTCGCCTGCTTATTACTGGAGGAACCATCATCAGACTTCTCAATTCCAGCCAGTCCAAGGAAGAACTTTGCCAATCCCCAGGCGCCCGGATCCGGCACCTGCTCGAATCCAGACCCGCCAATGTACACGGTGCGGCCCAAGTTGGCTTTCATACCCTTGGTGCCCTCGGCCCCTTGCTTCGCAGCCTCAGCCGCCTTCTTCACATCACCGGTCTTCTCGAGCGCATCGACAAAGGGATAGAGGGCATCGATCAGAGTGCGGTCACCGGGACGAGCGGGCGTGTACTTGGAGAGGGCCTCGCAACTCAGTTTGAGTGCTGCGGCCCAGGCAGTGCCGTCGGCAGCTTTCTTGTCCGACTCCCCTCCACCAACAGTGTGGAGAGAGGCGACCAGGGCGTTGAGGAAGATGCCGTAGAGAGCACCGGAGGTGCCGTCCATGGTTTGCTCAACCACGGTGACGATCTTGGAGAGGTCGATGGCTGCGTCGCCTGTTAGGGGGTTGGAGTCGAGATGGGACAGGATTGCTAGGTTTGTGTTAGTAACGGTAAAAGAAAGGGGCGGTTACTTAGGAGAGGAGACATACCTTCAGCACCGCGCTTCAGACCGATACCGCAATCACCATCGCCCACCGTGGTGTCATACTTGGTCACCTCCGGCTCGGCGGCGATGACAGCCTTGAGACCAGCAACCAGCTGCTTCTGCGCCTCCTGGGGCTCAAACGTCAGACCACACGGCCTCACCTCCTCCTCCGATTTGGCATCATTCTCCCGGGTATTCTTGTTATCCCGCTGCTCCTCCCAAGTCAGCTTCGAGATAGGCGCCGTCCACCCCGTGGCCTCGCACTGGTAATCCAGCAAGTCAATCATGCCCGGCCCGCCAATATCCGTATTAACCACATTCAACAACGAGATACTGAAACCCAACCCATTCAAGCTCGTCATATACGTGCCGCTCAGGATCCTCACGGGCTTGATCCCATATGGCTTCTCGCCCAACTGCGTCACCACCTCGGTGACAATCCCGCCCATCTCCAACGGGCTGACCCCTCCCAGATTATTCACCAACACCACCACCTCATTCGAATTCACATTCAAAAACGCCCTGTCCCCATCGTTCCGATCAAGCAACTGCTTCAACATCTTCCCCACCAACTCCGGGAGTCCAATCCCCCTCTCCCTACTGCTCCCCTGCTCATTATGAATCCCCATACCAATCTCCACCTCGCCCTCCCTCAACACCTTAAACTCCGCGCCCTCCGCCTCCGCCCTTCTCCCCGGAACATGCACATGCTCCAGACTAGCACCAACACTAACAATATTCTCCGCCACCAGATTCGCAACCTTGGTCACCTCTTTGAGACTCCGTCCCTGCGCAGCCAACGCCCCCGCAATCTTCTGCACCAACACCGTCCCCGCGATCCCCCTCCTCCCCACTTTCCCGGCTTTCGTCCGGCCAACACCGACGTCGTCCCCGACGACAACCATTTCCACGTTCACGCCCGCGGCTTTGGCTTTTTCGACGGCGAGACCAAAGTTGAGCACGTCGCCCGTGTAGTTCATTACTACCACTAGCACTCCTCCTCCGCCCGCCCCATCTTCTTTGGAGGGATCGTTATTGTCCACCCGCCCCATAATCGCCGTACGGACTTGTTCCGCTGAGGGAGAGGCGAAGATGGTGCCGGCTACGCAGGCAGACAACAAACCGCGGCCGACCATGCTGGAGAAGGAGGGTTCGTGGCCGGAGCCGCCGCCGGAGATTAGCGACACTCTTTGTCTTTGGTTGGAAGAAGAAGAGGAGGAGGCATTGTGGTTGTGGCCGTAACCGGGGCGCAGGTAGACGATTTTGTTGTGGACGTCGAGGGCGACGCCCGGGTTGAGGAGGGTGGTGGATTGCAGGGATGTGAGGACGAGGTGTTGGGGGTCGTTGATGAAGTGTCGGTTGGACATTTTGGATCTTGGGTGAGGTTGTTGGAGGTTTGTATGTCTTTGTTGGGTGTAGTAGGTTGAGGTTATGTTTGTTGTATTGGATTAGATGCTTGGAGTGAGACAGAATAGATAGACTGTCAGAACTGTGTAGTATGAGGTTTGGTTGGTTTAGTGATGTGAAAGATGGAATAATAATCTATTGGAGTTTTGTAGGCGAAGAGATAGGTAATGGTGATTCTCAGTTATAGAAATGCAGTTAGAAGTTGATATGCAAATGTAGCAAAAACGATGACGAAGTGGAAAGTCCGGGATGTTTTAAGTTCTGCTGAGGCGCACTGCCCGAAGTCTAACAAAGCAAGTTTGGATAAAAGCGGTTGATGATCAGTGGATCAGGGGCAAAGTTGAAGTCAGGAACATATGTCAGTCGGGCAACTTGTGTGTTGGGATGGTGGTTTTAAGGAGAGAAGACGGACGGGTACGGTGGGACGACAAGTTAGGACGTGATGCTGAAAGCGGGGGCGGGGCTGACGCTTCGCCCGGCATGTCGCTCGGAGACGTCCCGGGACCTGTTATTCGGTCTTCATGCGGGCCGCCTCACTTGATGTTACTGTGGAAAAGGGATCGACGATGAGGTTATCTCTTGTCAAGATAGAGGATGCCATGGTGATTATAGTTGAAGAGCGGTTATAGATTAAACATGTGACAGTCATTTATCGAACTTATAAAACTCGACAGCTTTTGAACCGCATCCCACTTGCTAAGTACCGCCCCTAAACCTACAACACCTCAAATCCCCTTTGTATCCTCATCATCCCCCAAAATCTCCTTGCTCCGATGCTGATCCCTAATGAACTCCTGAATCTGTTCATCGTGATGAGGACGGTGCGGTGGTACAGCGCTGAGGTCTTCCTTTGGCTTCTCCTCAGGTACCTCTTGTTCTGGCTGCTGCTTCTTCTTTCCTAGTCCAATCTTTTCGCCAAGTGATGCTGGGACGTATTCCGATACTGTTTGTAACAAAGTAAGCTTGGATGTCACACACGACACACGTAAAAGAAGAATGTTGGAAGACGAAGACGAAGGCTATCAAAACATACTCTTGTCGACGATCCCGCTTCCTCCGCTTTGTTGGGGTTGCTGTTGCTCCTCGGGGCCTTTCCTCTTCTGCTCGGCAATCTCGTCAAGCTGGGGCTTGTAGTCTGAGGGATCTTGTCCCTCGGCGCCGCCGGGCTGGCTGATGTTGCTTGGGTTGGTTGACATGGTGGTGATGGTGAAGATAGTTTGTTGGTGATGAGAAAGGTAGGTAGGGTGGTATCAACTTTGGGAGATTATATGAAACGGAACCTGGTCCTGAGAGCTAGAGACGGAAAAGAAGCAGTCTAGAAGGCTTTAATCACACGAAAGACTCTTCAAACAGACGATAGGATGTCTTCTTCAATCAAGAGATCAAGCTGCCCGAAGACTGAGAACAGAAGGTGTAACTTGAAGTACACACGCGGGAGATGACGTCACGAAGCCCTTGTGCGACGAACATACAGTGTGCGCATTTGCTTTGGTCGTCTGAGCTTTCAAAACAACATGTCTTCTGTTCCTGCAGACAGGGTCCAGATGTTTAGATCCATTACAAGGGAAAATGTTATGCTCGATGAACGCCATGGCATGTCCATCGTCGACTCGAAGTCAACATCGAGGAAGATGTTCTTATCGCCCTTATCGATCTCATCGGTCCGGCCAGAAGCCCAGAACAGCCCACTGTGCCCACCTTGAGTCGTGCCCCTCCAAGCGGCGGCAAGACCCGACTTCAGGGCGGCCATGATGCTGGGAACTCCAGGAACCATATGACTTTCATATTTCTCTCTCCTTCGTCTTCTTGTAAAGTATTTATATTTCAATAGAGTTCAATTGCTTTCTAACCGTCGTTGACTATACGTACCGTTCGTTGTTTTCCTAGGACCCTCCTTGACCAAATCAGACGTCCCCGAATTTATACCGAGATCAGGGCAGCTTGGCGATCTTTCTCTCTTTTACAATCCTGCAATCCTGAATCGCCCGACCTTCCTCGCGACAGCTTGACATCCCACCACACTCACAGGTCGCCTATTCTCAAACCATCTCCTCGACAATCGATCGATCGAGCTCGAACATCGGTTGCGCAAACCCACAGAATCCCCCAAAACCAACACGCCGTCGAAGCTAAAGACCTACGATCGCACCATCACACCTAACCACCGAACCAAACCCAACAACCCCTCCAAACGCGACAACCCACACAAAAACCACCACAATGACCGGCCCGTCCCAATCCCCCATCCCCATAACCATCATAACCGGCTTCCTCGGCTCCGGCAAAACCACTCTTATCCTGAACCTCCTCCCCCAACTCCGCGCCGCCAACCCCTCGTACCGGCTCGCCCTCCTCAAGAACGAATTCGGCGACCTCGCCGTCGATTCTCAGTTAGCCTCCTCCTCGGCGATCGCCGGCGTCTCCGAGCTTCTCAACGGCTGCATCTGCTGCAACCTCGTCGGCCAACTATCCGTCGCCCTTTCCGAGCTGCAGTCCACCGTTTCGCCCGATCGAATCGTCATCGAGACTTCCGGGTCTGCGTTTCCCGCGACGCTGGCGCTCGAAGTAAACAGGCTTACCCGCGAAACGGGCGGGGCATATGTGCTTGATGGCGTGGTGAGTGTGATCGATGTGGAGAACTGGAAGGGGTATGAGGATACCAGCTATACGGCGCGGATCCAGGCGCGGTATACGGATTTGATTGTGTTTAATAAGTGGGAGGGGCAAGGGGAGAGGAGGTTTGATGAGGTTTTGGATCGGGTGGGCGATTTGGAGGTGGATACGGCGTGGGTGAAGAGTGATAGGGGGTGGGTGGATATGAATGTGGTGTTTGGGGTTGATGGCGGGTTGGCGAGGGGGTTGACTGACACTCTGGAAGAGGGGGATGGGCATGTTCATGATGATAAGTGTGGACATCATGATGACACAAAACACAAACATAAGCATGATCATCAGACGGAGGTGGAGGTGTTGAGTATTGAGCTTAAGAGTGGCAACAAAGAGGCGGCAACAACGGTGGATGCGAAAAAGTTGTTGGCTTTCTTGAGGAATACGAGCAAGGACGAGGTGTATAGGATCAAGGCCGTGCTGACGGTTTCTGCAAAGGCTGCGACGTGGGATGTGTTGAAGAACTCGGATGAGGATACAAAGGTGTCGAGACCAGCTATGCTCGGTGGAGGCGAAGGTCAGACGGCAAGGTATATCCTCAACTGGGCGTTCGGAAGGTGGACGTTCACACAGGTGGCGGACGCGGTCAAGGAGCATGAGTCCAGCAGTGAGGCGATTCTGAGGATGACCATGATTCTGGCCAGGTATGAGAGCACCAAGTGGAAGAAGAGGTTGGAGGCTGGTGGGCTGTTGGAGCTGGAAGAGGAGGACGGGAAGGGTGAGTTGAGTGTTACCAAGGTCAACTAGGGGACGTGTTATGAATAAACGATTAATGGGATCAGGAATAGAATAGAGGTCTCGTGATAGGAGCAATTAGAAGTAGACGGACGTCTCATAGACACATCGACAAACATTTAAAATGATCAACAACCAACTCTCACATGCTCTCACCGCCACAAGACACTTCAAGGAAAACCCATGGTCCCAATTCTTCTTCCCTAGCATTGAGCGAGCAAACGGAGAGAGATCTATGAAACCCCCCCTTTTTTTTTCCCCCATATACCATGTTTTATCGTAACGCCTGCAAGAGACTAAAAGCATAGTCCTCAAAGAAAATCCCTAAACGCCGGTTTAAATGACCGATCAACAACAGCAAATGTGATAAGCTAACCATGTACCCCCTTCCCAGGTCAGGCAGGTAGGTTCGACTGAACACATAAGAAAGATCCTTAGTAATGGCCACCATTAGCACCACCGCCGTTACCGCCTCCCTGCTCGCCCTGGTCAGCGTACTGGCGCAGGGCAAGCTCCTTCTGGAACTCGCGGCCCAGCTGGCCGTACATGGCCACCAGCTGCTTGCAGGCGCCGACGAGGGCCTCGCGCGGGGTGATGCTTCCGTCTGTCTGGATACGGATCATGAGCTCCGGCACGTTAGGATGGGCGACTGTTTTTTTTTTTTGAAGGGAAATTGTTAGTTTGCTGCTGCTGCTGTGTTCCTGTTGCTGCTGCTGTTGCTGTTTATTGTGTGTGTGGTTGGGGACGGTAAATGGAAGGTAAATGGAAGGTATAACATAAACATAAACATACTCTTGTAACCGGCCATCAAGACGTGAGGGGCCTGCTTCAGGTGTTCGGCAAGGAGGTTGCCGAGGGTGTGATCCTCCTTGAGAATCTTGAAGTCCGAGGTGTTCGACATGCCTGTGAATAAGTGAGGTCATTGTTAGTTTTCTTCTTCCCCCATCTCTCACCTCATCATCAAGATGGGGAAAGGGGGGGGGGGGGGGGGGGGGGGGGGGTCGACTCACCAGTGAACACCTTCTCCTCAATCTTCTTCTCTCCATCCTGGAGAAGGAAAAGCTCGAACCTGTTTTTTAGAGTCACAATGTCAGTGATGTTGCCCCTATCGCCTCACGAAAGTGAGAAAATGATGAGTTAGAGGTAAAAGGAAAGGCGGACCGGTTCGGCTCGCTGTTGTTCTTGGGATTTGATCCGTTCATCTTGTTGATCGTTGTTGTTGTTGTTGTTGTTGTTGTTGTTGTTGTTGTTGTTGTTGTTGTTGTTGTTGTTGTTGTTGTTGTTGTTGTTGTTGTTGTTGTTGTTGTTGTTGTTGTTGTTGTTGTTGTTGCCAGGTGATGAAGAGGACATGAAAATATCCGCTGGGATATTGTCGACTGGACTGGAGATAGCTTGAGAGAGAGAGAGCTTCGCAATAACAGCTTTGTTGTTTGCTGGCGCGTCAAATTCTTTGTCGTGATGGACTGACTGACTGCTGGTCCAAAGGTATGATGGATGGTATGAAGGGTTATTGTAGTGAGTGGTGTAAGAGGAGGAAGTCGTCCTCCTTTTATATCTTTGAGACAGCCAGCAACTCTCCAGGTTGAGCCCAGGTTGAATAAGTTGACAACTCTTGTCTTCCATTCTCCCAGTCGCCTCGCCTGCCTATTGTCTTCCATTTGTGTCCACGGTCCATGATCAGATGAAAGCCACCCCGTTTGTTTTCACTGGTGCTTTCGCGGCCAAAACAATAGGCACCTGACACCAGCAACCAAACGAACGCCGCCTGCCGGAGGGGAAGAGTGAACCGAGCTTGTAGATCGTCAAGGGTAGACACACAAGATGAACAATTGCGGCGGACTGTCTGAGTGTCTGTCTCAACCCGGGTCGATGTGTCCCATTGCCGAATGAGTCGAATTCCTATTCCAGGCAAGTCCGGCTTGATGTGATAGATATGATGAACGTTGTCGTTATGGCTCCTTGTCGAACGCCCCTACGGGATTCAGAGAAATCCAGGTCGAAGGTTTCCAGCATTTGCGTGAGGCGCGTCGTCCAGGGCAGAAGGAGGAAGGGGGCCATTCATTGATGTGAAAAGAAAGCAACAAAAAGAATAATCAACTAACCTATCAGGGGCGTTCATCTTGGCGATTGGCTAACGATACGACGAAGAGTTTGGTGGTTACTCGGCAGTGGTGTATAGACTATTGTCGTTGTCGTCGTCGTATATCGTAAATCCGTGATGTGGTGGTGCAGCACCTGGGGCAATTGGTGAGGAAGCCGGGAGGTTCTGGCTGTTGACGGAGACCGGGAAGGACGTGGAATTTCGATACCCAAAATTGGAGCGTGAATGGGACAGACTACCGGAGGTTCAAGCCGTTCAGGTTCTGATGATTAGTCGTCCGCAGGTGAAGGTTTTCGGTGTGAGTGAAGGGTGTGGAATGTTGACACAACTGAACGAACGCACTTTCCAGATGTCTTCAAGGTCGTCCAGGTTGCGCATCCACAGTGAGATGGAGGCAACGCAATGAACTCCGGATCGAGGTACATGTGGTCTGTGCGTTCAGGTCATTTTGCGCCATCCCGCTTTTGGATGACTCGGTCCGTAGGGAAGCGCAGGGAGGGTTAGGGTTCACCCCGAGGGATCACCACACTTAAGGAAACAGACAACAACAACAACAACAACAACAACATGTCAAGAGATACTAATGGCATAAAAATGCCAAAGATACCAGACTAAGCAAGTATATTCCCAAATCCACAATTCCCGTTCCATCACTATGGCTCAAGCTTTATCAAACAAACACCGAAACGCTCCCACCACCATGCAATACAGACTCTAGACACGCTTCTCGCCAACAGATTGCTCACTCCCGACAGGTCTACGGTGTAGTCCATACCTCAATCCTCCTTTTATAATCGATATCTCTGCCTTTCATCAAGTCGATCCGTAACCCATCGTTTCCCTGCTCCATCTCATATAACCCATAATCGTATCATCAGATCCTTTCTCGTGATAAACCGACAGGTCAAAAGCACAAGTATTGCCTGCTTCCTTGACTGTCCTTCAGCATCTCCATCTGAGCCCCAACGCTTGCTTCTGATGATCAATAGGAGAAACGCGCCTCCATTCACCATACGTTTGCGTACCCCTTACAGGCTCAATCCCTTAGCATCGCAGTAGCTGGGTGACCCTCCGCCCTCTCCGGCGCTGGCCCAGCTCATGACCGTCAAGGTAGTCGTATATGCCATGGCGATGAAACCAAAGATGCAGAGGGCGACATCTGAGAACTTCCAGAGAGCGCTTCTAGCGACGCCCTTGTAGTGCAACATCGGCTGTAACTGGGTTAGCATAGATTATTTGAATAGCAAAAAGATATAAAACTTACCGGGTAAATGTACACCAACGGGATGCAAGCAAAGTTACCAACCAGCGCGACGAACTTGTCCAAGTTATCGGCACCCGCCCACGCAACCAGGGCGCAGAAAGCGACGATGAAGAAGCGGAACACGTTCTTCTGCCACTTGATATAAGGGTTGTACTTGCCACTCTTTGTGAAGAGCGCGTTCTCCGTGATCCTGATGGCGGGGAAGATCTGCAGCGGGGTGGAGAGCAGGATGGCGAGCGAGTAAAGAAACTGCACGCCGTTGACCATCTTGTCGTCCTGGGGCAGGTTGAGGAGCACGACCGTCTCGGTCTTGGAGCCGTAGGCGGCGTAGGAGACGGCGCCCATGACGGTGAAGAGGGTGGTGATGATGATCATGACGATGGCCATCACCTTGGGGAATTTCTCGGGGTTCCTCATGGACTCCTGGATCGGGATGATCAGGCCGATGCCCTCAAAGGTGAAGATGGCGGTGCCGATGAAGAGGGTCCAGTCCTTCTGGTTGAACATGATGATGTCTGCCAGGCCGGAGGTGTTGAGCGTCAGGACGTCGTAGTAGAAGAGGTAGGCCAGACCGATGACGATGAAGGCATCGGCGATAAGTGCAGTGAATCCCAACTTGCCGATATCACGCAGCAGCGAGAAGGGCAGGAAGACGATCATTTGCATGACAATCAGCCATGATATGGAGATGTATGTCTTGCAATTGGTGACCGCGAGGATGAAGGCCTGCAAATTTTCCGACGTGAAGACGATGTAGGCTGCCACGAAGCCGAGCTGACTGATGACGATGGAGAAGAGAATCAGGTTTCTCATCCACTTGCCATAGAGAATGCCACCAATGTCACCAAAGGATCCTTCCACCTTTAGGCGAGTGGTGACGAGGAGGACGAAGCAGTAGTAGCTCAGAGCTGCCACAAATAGGAGCACGGCGTTACTAAAGATCATGCCGCCGTTGAGGTAGGCTCTGGGGAGGAAGAGAACACCTGTACCGACGAAGGACTTAAGGAGAAGCATTGCCGCGCTCATGGGGCTATTTCGGCCGCTTCCACCACGCTCTTTCCTTCTCCTCTTACGTCGAGACGGCGTTAACAGCGTGCTGTCCTCCATGGGCTCGTGATCCTCGTCAGAGCCCTCGTCGCTCCACCACTCGCCCTCCTCGCTTCCGGAGGTGAAGTATTCGCCAGGCTTGAGCACTTCGTCGTCTTCCTCGAGTTCCTCACCGGCGAAATGCCCATACAGAGAAAGGAATTCGAGGAAGCTGGTAGTCAGTAACCTGGGTGGGGGCGCACTCTGGCCCGCACCGTGTTCGTAGTCGTCAGGATGAGCCGAATGTTCTCTCACGTGTGTCCGGAGGTAATTGCGCCGGAAGCCACCGGGGACTTTGATCGAGTTGATATCCAAAACCTCATTTTCTGGTTCAGGCCTGGGGTAGCTGAAGCTTTTGCTTCGCTTGGCCTTGTTGCGCTGTTCTATCTCCTCCGCCCACCTGTATATGGGGCGCGTAATGTCACCACCCTGCAACTGCAGACTCGAGAACTCATCGTCGTCTTCGGCGGGCTGCTTGCCCTTGGATCCCTCGCTTGTGTCCTCCCCGGCACCATCCCCAGGCTGGACCAAGTGTCTCTTGATGATCTCGGGGTCTTCGTATGCCGCAAGGCCGTTGATACCAGTGGACGGTAGCCGCGGTCTCGTATCGAAGGAGCCATAGTTCGTAGTGGGCGTCGCGGATCTTTGGAGCTGGGCAGCCGAAGGGGCAGGAGAAAGGGCGCGCGCAGGAGGAGTGCCAAAGCGAGGTGGTGAGGCTCCGTATGTGTTGGACAAGGCAGCGGCTAGAGCAGAAACACCGGGGCCAGCAGAATGTGACCCAGCACCGGGAAGCGGTGATAAGGCGCCAGTCCCAGCGTCAGCATCTCCTCCCTCTATCGGAATAGGTGTTGGAGTGCCAGACGGTTGTTGTGGTGGTACGGGCGTGGCGAGGCGGGCGATGCTATCAGCGCGCGGTATCGAGGTGCCGAACGAGCGGGCGCGAAAGGAGCTGGGACGAAAGGAGCCGGGGCGAAAAGAACCGCCGGGCGAGGAAGGCCGGCGGCCGGGGACATTAGCCGGGGCCGGTGAGTTCCTCCCCGAGTCTCTGCCCGAGGTTGACATGATGGATAAACGGTTTCGGTGGTGTCTGTGATGATGATGTAATGGTAGCCCAGACCTCTATCTAGAGCATATCGGAGTGGAGATACTGGAGAGGAGTTCAGTCCGTGGTGTCCGAGGTAAGGTCAAGGTTAGAGACTGGAGAGAGATAAAGATGGGAACTTCTGTTTGGCGGTGGGAGGATGCCTGGTTGAAGGATGATGGCACGTAACGAAGACTTGTACAGTTCTTATTACCGTAGACTAAAGTGGGAGACTAGTTCTAGGTAGGCCGATCTTGGGGTTGTCGCGCGTGTCCGAAACACTACCGCAGCACTTAGGCACGGAGCAGACCAACTTCCTATCTTGGACTTTTCGGGCGAGATTGATAAGAGGTGAGTCAACTGAACGAAAGTAAGCACGGCAGCGTTGGGTGATAATACTCCCGTCCGAGATATGTATCGGGATATTGTGACAACTCTAGTACAAAGCCTGACAATGTCCGTATAATTGAGGCAGGAGATGCTCCTTCTTTTGACGTCAAGTCAAGCGACTTTTACCAAGACGAGATGTGGAATCAAGAGACGGGTCCGTGTGACCTGTGCTGGCCGACAGCACAAGTGGATTGGAGTCTTTGATTGGTGTACATCATCGGCAGAGTGGGCACTTGGGCCAACTGAGATAACGAACGCTGTACGAATGAGAACGTGTCCTGGCGGGCACGCACAGAGAAAGCACGGGCATGACCACCATGACCCCCAATCATCAACTGAAGAGATCGTGGCTGCCTCGTTGCGCTGCAAACGCCGGTCGGGTGGGCCTTTCCGGCTGTTCTGCTGACACTGGGCCAGGCACTACTGTGTACGACGGGCAGGCGCCTGGGCGATCCTGTTTGCTGGGGAGATCCACTCTTTGAGACCCTGATCCAGATGCTCCCGCTGTTAAGGAAGTGCCCCGGGCTTTGTTACCGTCCACCAAAGAGATCACGACTTCAACTTTTAACCTCTCACCAAAAGTTTGGATAACGATACACACATGTGTAATGGCGATCACGCTTCACAAATCAGGGCTGACTGCTTCACGCTTTGGATACGTATCGGAACCCGGCGGGAATAAACACGGAGCACCGGACAGCATGACGGAGAATCAGTTAGCATTTGGCTCATCTTCTCCGCTAACATGACAAAACCCCGCCGATATCCCCGTTGAATTATGCGCCGATACATGTGGTGATGCGAAACCATGAGATTCCGCACGATACCCTCGGCCTTTCCTAGCTGGAATCTAGGTAGAGATGACAAGTTTCTCTCACCAAAACTTGAGAGGTCTGTCTTGAGATCGCGGTACAACTCAATATATCTTATATAAACAACACAAGGGATACACAGAGGGCATCACCATCACGATGACCCTCGGCCTCCAGGCTCTGGGCTGATGTAAACAACACCTGTAGGCCCTTGCTGGCGATCCTGGCTCCCTGCCCGGTATCATTGGAGCGGGCCGGTAAAGGCGGGGGAGAGGGTCGGCAACAGCACTAAACAGTTGACTGTTCAGTTGTTCACCGATCCCGATCCCCTCCGCTTCCGCAGCCGTGACAGTTTTTAACAAGAACCGTGGAGGCCGATGAAGGAGACGGCTTCTCCAATTTTGCCTGGAATGGTGGGGTTGATCCGTCAAGTCGTTTGGCTTCCTTAGTTGTACTTGTACGCTTCTGTTTTTGACTTGTATCGCTTATTCGAGGTTGCTCCTTCTCATCCCGCTTGCTCATCGTTACCCATCGAGTCCATCCTTCCCGATCTTGATTCCTTGGAGCACCCATCAAAGTTACCTCTACCTCTCTAGGTACCTACCTCTCCATTACTCAAGGCGTCCCCGCAATAGCGATTAACACTTGAACAAGAGCTACAAAAAGAAAGACTTGAGTCAAGCTTTATGCTAGTGTTGAGAGACTATCCAGGGACGGAATAGCTTCTGATTCGCCAACACATCCCCAAAAAGTCGCCTATCAAGCTTGGCCTCTAGTTTGGAAATCCCTTCACCACTACTCAAAAACTCAAAAACATCATGCTCGAGCACAGTACATAAAGCTTAAACACTTCTCTGTTTCTGTCCCCCGTCGACAGCCTCCTCGAGTTACGCCGGAGCTACGTCCCCCACACCACCGGCCGCCGATCCCTTCCCAACATCACAGCATCCAAGGGATATATAGACACCGCAAGGTCTGAGACTGGGTAGAGCTGGCCTCTTTCACTATTTCCTCCAGCTTCCTGTTGCTAGAGCCGGTCTCACAGGGCAACTTTGGTCTTCCCGTCAACAAGCTACCGGCCTGTTCCCCAAGACAGCCACTTCTGCTGTGCAACACCAACACCGGAACATGATAGTCAAACAATGACAACCATGGATCACGAACACCAGAACAAGAGGCATAAACTGGGCGTCGTCTCCGGCGTCTACATCCCAGTATGCCTCAATATCCTCAGTATCCTCATGTTCTTGAGGTTCGGCTCCATCTTGGGTCAGATTGGTCTACTTGGCATGCTCGGTATGTCCTTCCCGCAGCTTACTTTGTACCACATCTCATGGAACTGACTATTTTCAGGACTTCTCTTCACTGCCTACTCGGTTGATTTTGTCACTACTCTGTCCCTATCAGCCATCGCCTCCAATGGTGAAGTCAAGGGAGGTGGTGCCTACTACCTCATCTCCAGGTCCCTTGGCCCCGAGTTTGGGGGCTCTATCGGTATCCTGTTTTACCTGGCACAGGTCTTGAACACTGCGCTCAACGTTGTCGGTCTCATCGACTGCCTGAGGCTGAATCTGGGACCTGTCATGCCCCAGGGGTATTGGTGGACCTATCTGTTCGAGACAGGAGCCTTGTTGGTATGTACTCTACTATGCCTGGCTGGCAGCGCCATGTTTGCAAAGGCGAGTAATGCCTTGTTGGCCATCATGGTCATCTCCATCCTGAGTATTCCCGTCTCGGCCATCTTCCTGCCTTCATTCAACGACCCGGTCAGCGGCATCGAGTTTACAGGTGTCAGTCTCACCACTTTGCGATCCAATCTGTGGCCGCATTTTGCAGGCGATGAGTTCAATGGAGCTGGCACCTTCAGAGACCTCTTCGGTATCTTGTTCCCGGCAACTTCGGGTATCTTTGCTGGAGCGTCCATGTCGGGTGATTTGCGAAACCCAAGCAAGGACATTCCCCGCGGAACTCTCTGGGCCATGTTGTCAACTCTCATCTCGTACGTCCTGGTCATCATTTCCCTGGCCTCGAGTACGACACACGGCACGTTTCTGCGGAATACCAACGTTATCCAGGAGACAAATGTCTGGCCTCCCATCATCTTTGCCGGAGAGTTTGCAACATGCTTCTTCTCGGCTTTGATGGGAGTAATAGGCTCTGCCAAACTCATGCAGGCACTGGCCCGAGACAAACTGGTTCCTGGTATTTCTGTTTTCGGAAAAGGCACCAAGAAGACTGACGAGCCCTTGCTCGCTATTTTCTTGACGTACATCGTTGCTCAGTTTGCCATGTTCGCGAACCTGAACCAAATTGCCACCTTCATCTCCATGGGATATCAAATGACCTTCTTCGTCATGAACCTCGCCTGCTTCTTGCTCAAGATTGGATCTGCTCCCAACTTCCGCCCAGGATTCAAGTTCTTCAGCTGGCAGACTGCCTTCGCCGGTAGTGTGCTTTCAGCGGCTGCCATGTTCTTCATCGACGAGACATATGCCACCACTGCCGTCTCACTGCTCGTCACCCTGTTCCTGCTGATTCACTATCTGAGTCCGCCCAAGCGTTGGGGTGATGTGTCACAAAACCTGATCTACCACCAAGTTCGGAAATACCTCTTGAGGCTGAAACCAGAACACATCAAATTCTGGCGACCGCAGATCATCCTGCTCATCAATAACCCCAGAAAACAAACCCGTCTCATCCAGTTCTGCAACTCGATGAAGAAGGGCGGGCTGTACATCCTCGGCCATGTCATCGTCACCGATGACTTTTCCGCGGGAGTTGCCGAGGCGAAGCTCCAGCAAGCGGCGTGGACAAAGTACATCTCGGAGTTCTCGAGGATCAAGGCTTTTGTCCAACTCACAATGTCGCCAACCATCACCTGGGGCATGAGGAACCTGATGCTCTCGGCGGGGCTGGGTGGTATGCGGCCCAACATTGCCGTCATTGGCTTCTACAACATGGACGACCTGCGTCGTTCTCGGCCTACACTGCGTATATTCCGCAAGGCGCCAACGTCGCCCGTTAAGGGTCCGCAGTCTACTGAAACAAAACAACCCGTGAGGCAGCGGAAGAGAGGCGATACTTCGGCGCGACTGATGGAGGGATTCTTGCCCACTGACGTGATCAGGACCGAGGAGATGATGTCGGTTACGGATTATCTTACTATCCTTGAGGATTTGGCTTTGAGGTATCGTCTGAATGTGGCTGTTGGTAAGGGGTTTGAGACCCTGGAGACACCAAGAAAGGATGGGAGTAACACGAAAAAGTACATCGATCTTTGGCCTATCCAGATGTCGGCAGAGTTATCCGCGGACGGCAGAAATGTTCTTACTACCAACTTTGATACATGTGAGTATCTGTCACTTGGCCATATTTATTACTACAATTGCTGACATGTAGCAGACACTCTCATCTTACAGCTGGGCTATATCCTCGATCATGTCCCCGCTTGGAAGAAGGTTTACCGAGTCCGTGTTTTAGTTTTCGTTGAATACGAAAGCGAGGTTGAAGAGGAAAGAGGACGAGTCAAGGCTCTTCTCGAGAAGCTGAGAATCGAAGCCGAGGTACTAGTCTTCTGGTTGGCCTCTGGAGATCTCGGCACGTACGAGGCCATCATCCACGGACGATTCCGAGATCAAGAAACAGAGAAGCTGGTCAATGAATGCCTAGTGGACCAAGAATGGTGGGAAGATCTGCAAAAGATCCGGGGAACACATGAAGAGACCTCGCAGCCAGACATGAGTTCCGTATTGACCACAATCGTCGAGTCAACTTCGGGACGACCGGGGTTGTACAATCCACACAGCGAGGCCCCTGATCCGCGCGATAGGAGGCGCGCCAGCTGGGCGCCACTGGCTGATTTACCCAAGAAGCCCACAGTCTCACAGTTGGTTCGGCTGGGTGTCAGCATGGGGATACACACTCAGAATCTTGCGGCGAATGTGTTGGACAGCTCAGACACGGACGTTGACGGTGAGAGCGACAGCGACAGCAGCTCATCTAGCGGGATATTGGACGGAGACTTTAATGATACAGCAAATGTAGCGAGTAACGGCGGCCTTGAAGCTCTTGAGCCGTCACGAGTTCCTCTGTTGGGAGCCGTGAGACGAATGAGCCACGGAGACCTCTTTGATCGCTTGAAGAAGCCCTGGAAGGATAGGAGATCGCGGAAGGCAGGAGGACCGTCTGCGCAACAATCTTATGGTGCAGTGTCTCAGGATACAGGGCCTAGTCGTAGCAATGGTTCAGAAAGCAGATCAAACAATAGGGACGATTTCCTGAGCGTGGGCATGGAGGAGCGACCATCTCACACGACAAGGCCAACACTGTCACGACAAAACTCATCCATCTTGAAAAGTTCCACGGCCAGAAAGTTCACCAGCTCACTGGTTCCGGAAACAAGAATAACCAGCGATGACACGGGACCACAGATTATGTTTGCAGAAGATCAGGTTAGCCCCGGGATATCACGTCGGTCCACCCCAGGAGTCACCGCACTTCTTTCAAGCAAACAACCCGCCAGAAATAACATTGACGACAATGGAGGAGGAGGTCCTAGAACGGTCTCCTTTGTTGAGCCTCGATATAACGATGGTGCTTCTTCATCCCCAGACAAGTCCAGAGCGAACTCCCCGCCAAGGACTGGGACTGGCAGCGGTGGTAGTGGTGATGGTGGTGGTGATGTCCTGCTCAACATACCCGAGCTCCTCTCTTCATACAAGTTTCAGCAGCAGCAGGACAACGATGATGCCGCCGAAGCTGGCTCGAGCTATTCTACCCAGGGACTTCCGCTCTCGTTCAATGACCTCCCAAGCCGGGCGCAGCATCTGATTTTGAACGAGCTTATGCGGCAGAACAGCGCTGATACGGCGGTCCTCTTCACCACGCTTCCGGTGCCCGAGGAGAACACTTGTCGAAGTGAGGAGGCAAGTTTGACGTACCTGTCCGATGTTGAGGTGCTTTGCAATGGGTTGCCACCCATGCTGCTGGTCTTGAGTAACAACATGACGGTTACCGTGAGCCTTTGAGACTGGCGCTGGTTGTTTCTCGTCGCCCTGCACAGTTTAAGGGCAAATGCGTCATCGGGACAAGATTGATAGGAAATATAAATCAGAATCACACAGTCGCACACCATCCATCCATCCATCCATCGCACCCACCCAACGGAACAGAGTTTGTGTTTCACTATGGGCATTGTTTTGTGACACTCGAAATACTCCCGTGCCCGGAACAAAGATTAATAACTGGAGACCTGGGTTAATTGGCGAGCGGGATTCACACAGCCGAGACACACAACGAGACAAAGCCAAATTTGGCAGTGCACTGGTTTTTTTTTTTTTTCTTTGTTTGTTCAGTATGTTGAAGGGAAGGGAAGGAAGAAACACGCCGTCAGCGGAAAACTCAATTCGAGTCGGAGTCGTATCTGCTCATACAAAGAATTACTATGCTGCCTTGCTCTTGGTCGTGTGAGGAGAGTCCTTTGTCTCGCTTCGTGGTGTGGTGTGGTGATTCATTCGTTCTAAAGAAACAACAACCAGAGAGATGGAGAGAACAGGTTCTGCTTCTGACTCTTCTCTTTTTTTGCCCAACAACGTTTGTTAGTTGGTTCCTGTATCCGCCCTCTTTTACTTATTGCATCCATTCCCGAAGATTCCCTGTTCTTGGCTTACCTTGCTCATGATGTCTTCACAATCAAAGGACAACAACAACAACAACAACAACAACAACAACAACAACAACAACCGTGATCGAAAGTCGAAGAGTATTAGACTTTCCCAGAAACTGCGTGGTCTAAGAGATCTAAGATTACGAGTATCCATCGAGGGCAAACCTCACCTGCTACAGCGTCGAGAGTCAATCCAGGAATCACCCCACCAAGAAGAAGAGGAATACCGAATCGTCCATACACCCGACAGACCTCAGCGATTCATCTCACCGGTCGAAGCCCCTACCGAAGACGATTGTTACGACGCTCTCCGGACGTGGCATCACGCTGCAGAACAACAAAGGAGCGGGATCTATCGTGACGGGATTCAACAACAGAGGAGTGGCGGTGCAGGAGAACCAAGATCAACTGGCGTGGGCGGAGGAACCAACGACGACGACGACGACGGAAGCGTGAGTTTACCAACCAACCGTTTGCTTGCTTGCTTGCTTGCTTGCTTGCTTCTTCCATCTTCTCATGTAAAAGTCCGCCTGTTAAGATAAGATGTCTTCTGGAAGGACAGAATATTCGCCGCCTGAAGGCATGACTACATATCCATCATCCAAACCGCAGAGATTTCCCGTAAATCATGTTGCCCACCACGTTGAATACGTTGAATACCTCAACAGCCAAGTATCCCCGCTGACTCGGATCGAACAACAGAGAGGCAGCCCTTTCGTTCCTGACCCAAACGATGACGCGAAAACTCCAAAGGATCAGAAGTGGTGGGAACTTGCACATAGGGAGTCTAAGGAGATTGGGGGGATGAATCCTTTTCGTGAGTGGGGAGGAGATCAACAACAGCAGGAGGCGCAAAAGCGGTCGGATGACATCGGGCAGATTGTCAGACATGATACGGCCAAAGGAGGACCCTCTCAGAGGGGAATTGCTCCTCCTCATCTTTTGACTGGTACGTACAACTGCTGGACTACCAACCGGCAAAGGTACCTAGTCGTCAAACGGGTAAGGAGAGTTGAGTGCTGACAGTCTTTTAGATTTTACAGGACTGCTACCCAAGACATACGACACGAGCGAGGCTGGCAAAAATGATATGTTCAACGGAGCCAGCTACAGCAAGGAGGGGGAGTATACTCCATCCGTTTACACGCCGTACACGCCATCTCAGAAGAGCCCTGCTACTCCTACCCCCGAGATGTTTCCCAAGGCTCCTACAGGGACAACTTCCGAAAGTCCACCAGCCAAATCGACAACTGCAGCTCCAGAGACATTGCTCACTCGGGATATTCAACCTGTCCGTGTTATTGACAGCGATAACGAGTCCCCTTCTGCTCCCCCAGGAGGCCGCTACTTTGACGTCGACGAGGAGTACACCCCCAGCGGCACAGGCACCAGCAAGAGTTCCGTCTCCGGCAAGCCGACGACGACATATGTCGCAGACCAGCAGCAGCGTCCCAAACAACCACAACCACCACCACCACCACCACCACCAAAACCGTTGGGTAATACAGGTAGGGGGTTCTTGATCCCCTCGCTGGATTTCTCGAACCAGACGCAAACACTACACTCTGAACTTTTGAAGCTTGCGCACAAGCAACAGCAACAGCAAGAACAGCAACGGGGAAGGGGAAGCGGGCAGAGCGGAGAAAGTGGACAAAGCGGAAGTACCTCTAGTGCTTTCTACAGCGCTTTTACTTCTTCTCCAAGGCCAGATACGCCTGATTTGAGACCGCCGTCGCGACGGGGACAGGGACAGCAGCAGCAGCAACAACAAGCAAGTCCCAATCTAGTACCTCCAGGAGGGACGGGAACAGGAACATCAACCCCAGCAACACCTCGCCCAAAAAAACAGCAGCAGCAAAAAAGACCACCAAGGACACCACCCCGCGGTTTTCTGAAAGAAAGAGGACCGTATATCTCTCCTTCCAAGGGGTCTAGGCCTTCCTCGTCCGGTATGTCCTCTATGAGACCACCACCAAAGACTACGGAGCAACAAACAAGAAGTCCAAAACCGAGCTTCTTACTTAATGGACTCGATTTCAGCCCTTCACGACCGGTTCCTCCTACTCCTTTTGCTACCCCCACCAAGTCAGAGATGCCCTTGGAAAAAACATTGGGAACAGGAACATTGGGAGAACATATGGGAGGACATATTGCCGGGGCAATCAGTACCTCATCACTCTCGTTGCTTGCCTCACTTACGGGGAGTAATGGGTCAGTGATAACGCCGCCTCGGCTTTCTCCTACGAAGCCGAAGCCTCTTCCGCCGCCTCCAGCACCCCCGTCTCCGCCTGAACTGTTGACGCTACCGGCGACCGTGTATAGTGGCAATAGCAAGGCTAAAATGCCGGTTATTGCACCGGTTCCAGTGCCAGTACCGGTTCCCTCACCGTTGTCGAAGTTTAATACCACCTATGCGTTGTCATCAGATCCGTCAACCTCTAATCGGTTACCACAGAGCCAGGAACAGAGCCAGGGGCGTGAACAGGAACAAACTCAGCAGAGCTCCCCTGGATTCTCTGAATACATCCAGCAGCCACGAATAAGTGATCCCTTTGTTGATTCCCCGACGAGCGACGTGGATGATAGGTTATCTGTGGCGATGGTTAATGGATTATATAACAAGGAACAGGCTCAAGCTTGGAAAGAGACGATGGCGATGATGGTTCAGGCACAGAAGCAGGAGAGGCAGAAACCGGTTCAGGTCACGGTACAACCTCAAAAAAAACAAGCGGGGGGTCGGGAACAAGAACAAGGAAATACACGGAAGCAGCAGGTCTCTGGACAGGCAAGAACTCATCAGGTACAAACTGAGAACCTGGGAAAGAAACCTCTACAGACGCAGACGCAGATATTACAACCAAAGGTCCAGGAGACGGTCAACGCGGCTTCTTCGAAGAACCCTCCAAGGACTCCTCCTCCTCCTCCTCAAACTCCTCCTCGGTCGCCAGCACACCCACCAGAAACAAAACCCCAGACTCCCTCTCCTCAATTCCAGGCCTACCAACCCCAACCAACTCCCAGGACTCCCTCCCCTCGATATCTAGTATTCCCACCCCATTCTCAATCTCAATCTCAGTCCCAGCCCCAACAACAGTTACTGCAACCAGCACCAGCACCATCTCCCTCACCACAACCCCATCCCTCACCAGCCCTCTCCCTCCTCAGACCCATTTACCCAGGGTCCGGGTCTCCTTTTCCCGGGCAGACTCATCATATCATCACCCCTCCTCCTCCACTGCCCCAGTCTCTTCGAACTCGAACTCGAACTGTCAATCCTCCCTACAGGCACCACCAACCTGCGCCTTCATTCCGCAAACAAAGCCAGGGAAAGAAGGAAATGACCGATGCCAAGGAGAAAGAGCAGAAGAATACAAGTAGGGAGCACCAACACCAACGACGACCGGTATCTGGAAGTAGTGATGGTTGTGACTCGGATTCTAGTTATGAGAGTCTCCAGTTTTGGAAGACACCGACACCGACACCGACACCAGGTCCGGGTCCGGGTATGACTGCCCCTGTGCAGAGTACCTCTGGTACCTCTAGGGGTAATCAACAGTCTGGACAGCCGGGACACGGAGGATTTGGGGGGCGTTACGATTTTAAGGAGGAAGGTGATGAAGATGAGAAAGAAAAGAAGCAAAGGGACGATGGTGGGGGTGATGAGTTTGAGACCGAGACTGAGTGTGAGACTGAGACTGAGACTGAGGGTGGAACCACTGGAACTGGGAAGGATGTCGTCGTCAGTGGTGTGGTGGATGATTACGCGGATATTATTGATGAGTATGCTGGTGGGTGGAGGGAGACAATGTTCTTTGGGGAGCCGGAGGAGTAAGTAAGACTGAGTTTGGGAAGTTGTGTGGTAATGTTTGGTTGTATGTATGGGATTTTTTTTCAGCGTAATGGGAGAGAGATGTTTTGGCGAGAATGAGGTTGAGGAAATAACACTAACCATTGCTACTGGCTCTTGGAATCATAATAATTTACCATGAGGATCGAGAAACAGTCAGTCACAGATGGCATTTAGACGATTTCCAGTACCACTGTCTAATATCATGCCAGCCAATTTCTCAGTCCTCACGTACCCATCCTTCTTTTAGTCAACGTACCCAGCAACCAACCCCAAGTGAAGTCATTCAGAATAAAAAGAAAAAAAGAATTTCGAAGATATATTAACAATCGAAGCCAGCCTAGCCTTGTCCTAACGAAAAGCGTTTCTTTTTTGGTTGGTGGTCGGGCCAACTAAGAAGCAAACTGGAATGGAATCATGACGCCGTTAAAAACTCTCTAAAAGTGGTGGTTAAGTCCCTGAGACCTATGTGCCAAAGTTGTGTGCTGCTGTCTGTTGTGCTGCCGTCCTTCTGCCGCCTGCTTGCTGCCCCATTCCAGTCATGTCCTTGTCCGTCCTCTTGTCTCTGATTTCGACGTATATAAGACCGGCCGGCAAACAAGCCCTGGTTCAGCCCTTTTCCCCCTTGCTACCTTCCACTTCCCTCTTCCTCCAATCGCGTGATGGCGGTTTTCCAGCTTCGTACATGACTTTGACACCGAACAATGTCCGTGGCCTTGAGCTCCAAAATAAAATGAACAACACGCCCGAAAAGACAGCCCTCCTTGTGAAGGTGTATTACCGACTTCTGGATGACCCTACTGAGCTTTGCCTCTCGTGCATCCCGGGTCGTCGCTCCCTTCTATCACCATCCTGCAACTTCAAAGAATCCAGCCTCTTTTGATTATCCTCCGTGCCATCTACTTCTTCTAGGCGAGGCAGCGGGTTTACAGTGGTGCGAGCTGGGAGAGAGCTGGTGCCATTGGTTGCTCCACTTTCTGCTTTCCTCTGCTTCGCGAGTTCTTCGAGTCGAGCCCATTTGCTCTGACGATGAGCTTCCCTCGCAGGGGCGTTGCTTTGGTTTTCCGTGTACTCGTGGGAGCAATCGTCGAATAGCTGCGGGTTGATCTCCATAAATAGCTTCATGGCGTTATATACCATGCCGTGGATGGTTCTATACACGGTTAGTCGTGATACATCAAACACTTGATGTTGCTCAAGCACATACCTATTCCAGTGTCCCTTCGAGTTTTCATATAGAGGAGCGAACATGATGGGGAGAATGATCTCGACATTGTCGCTCACTAGGTTGCAGAAGTACTCGTTGTTCCAGAAGTACAGGGCTCTCTCGGCGACCTGGAAGTGCGGGCTGGCAACCGATTTGGCAAGCTGATGGAACAGAGGCTCTTGGACCTTGGCGAACTCAGCCGGGTCCATGACCTCGAAGATGTCTTCAACCTCGTTGAGGAACATGACCTCCTTGGTGCTGTTGACCTTGGGCCAATAACGGAGAAGTCCGAGAACAACCTGAAGCAGGGGTTAGCTAGGAAAGATCGCAAAGACATAGTATGTCACGTACCTCTTCTGTCAAGGAAGCGTCCTTCTCCAGGAACTGCACGATGCAGTACGCCAATTGAGGATGATACATGCTCAGACTCTTGACCTTGTGAAGAGGAAGCAGTACTCTGGTAAGGAAGAGCTTGTGCTCCTCCTTGAGAGGGAGCGCAAAACCGTTGATGATGGACCCCAGAATCTCGAGCAGTTCGGCGATGCCATTGAATCTCTCAGTTTCGTACGTGAACTGGAAGAAGACATTGTTGATAGAGCGGCGGATGAAAGACCTCAGGTTGAGGAACTTGCCGTAGATTCGATGCAGAGTCGTCTTTAGGAAATCCCGTTCTCTAGGGTCCTCGGAGTCGAAGAGCTCGAGGAGTTGAAGGACGAAGCTATGATCGATATATGCCTTGGCGATGTTGGTGTTGAAATCTTGACTTTCAATGAACCGGAGGAAGAACTCATAGACAACTTGGATATGCGGCCATGCAACCTCCAAGACCGGCTCATCCTCTTCCGGATCGAAAGCTTCACCCTGTGGGTTCATGGGAGGAGGAATTGGGCGGAACAGGTTCTTCGCAAACATCTCAACCACACGCGGATACATTGGCTCGGTGATGACTTGCCGGTTATTAGCGACATAATCCAGCAGCTCGTGGAGGGCCAAACGCTTGATCTCCTTGGACTTCATGTCGGCACTAGCATCATTGAAGTCAAAGATGACGTTGCACTGCTCAATCTTCTTCATGAACAGATCCTGGCGGTGGTTGGGCGCCACCTCATGGAAGCCCGGGAGCTTCTCGAGCTCGCGATGGGCCGAGATGTCGAACCGCGACGAGTTCTGCCTCTTTGGCGTCCTGAGTCCTTCTAGGACATCCTTGGGAGTCTGGTGTAAACGGTCGAACATAAGCGATTTCTGTCCGGCTTTTGGAGGAGCGAGATCGTGCGGCATCGTTTCCGCGGCGCCGGGAGGTGGGACATGCTACGACAACCAATCGTTAGTATTTCCTTGGCCAAGTTACAGGGTGAAACTTCTTACCGGCGCGCTGGGGCTGATTATGACGGTAGGAGGAAGGGTGCCGTGACGGGAAGGAGTGCTGCCGCCGTTGGCGCCCTGTTGCTGCCCCCCGATACTGCTGAATCTATCCGGTACGCCAGGGTTCGAGCTGCCGCCTTGAGGGCCAAGCATGGAATTGCCGTGGTCGCCATGGGCCGCGTTGTTAGGCGGCAATGGCTTGTTACGGTTGTCATTGACAAGTGTCGAGGAGGACGATGAAGGGGTGAGAACGGGCGACTGGGTGGCCTCGCGGGAGCCTTGGGAGTTGGGGGAAGCTGTTCCGTCCTTCGCATCCTTATTCTTCTTGGACTTGGAATCCTTGTCCTTGGTCCTCGAGAGCTAGCACGACGGGGTAGCATTAGCGATCCGTTCCAACGGGACAGCCTAGTGAAAAGACCTAGACTTACGACTCTCTGGCTGAACCGCTTCATCTTTGAGGACAACAGTTTCTCTGCCTGTGGGGCGAGTGAAGGCTGCCCGACCTGGTGGTGGAGGGGTAATGAGGGCGCGGCGATAGAATGATAGCTGGATGCGAAAAGGGGGTGGCTAGCCGAAGGCTAGGATGTGTGCCGAACAGCTCGCGGGTTGTGCCAACGGGCCGGTCGTGGACTTGCTTAACTGGAAGCTCTACGTCCCGCCTGGAAGTCCAAGAGGAGGGGTGCAATGCGTCCGTCAGAAGCCCGACTGTGCCTGGCAGTATTATTGGGGACGACGCCGCGTTGGATGATGGCGAGGCCACGGCGTGTCAATCGACTTGTGTGGATGCCCGACGCTCGGCCGATTGAATGGTAGCCTTGGTAGGATGGTTAACGCTAGGGGGGTCGGCGAGTCTGGGAGGCGCGCTCTCGATGGTGGCAGCAGCAACGGCTACAGCAGCAGTAGCAGGGTGAAATGAGGGCGCACGGCGAACTGGCGGAGTAAAGGAATGATTGCCGCGCGAACGGGTCGGATGAAAACAAGGTGACGACAACAGCGCAGGGTGTCTCGTCGACGACGGGCGTGCTGGCGAGGTGGGCGTGCTGGCGTGGTAGGTGTTGCTGTAGGGACGTTGCCGGATGGATGGAGTGGGAATTGGTGCTTCCAAGTCCAGTGTGTGTGTGTTTTGGGACTTTGGGCCTTGGGGGAGAGGGACGAACTTGCTGGTTCGAGGCGCGAGACTCCGAGAGTAAGGTAGGGTGCTGTTAGAGAAACAGGTAGCGCCAGCACCAATCCGCTAAACAAGCCAGAACTGTCTACCTTACTGGTCTACTGCCAGGATGTTGCTGCGGGGCTGGATGCAATCGCGGGACCTAGATCCGACTCCGAGTGTGAGGGTGCCAGGTGCCAGGTGATGTGGCTGTTTCTCCAATGTCCCTTGTCGCTTCCACTTTTTGGGTGAGTGTACAACGCGGAGTCGAAGAGTTGTGAGAGAGACTCCGGACGGGCAGTCTGGAGAACTTTGTTAGGTTCACTGACAACTTCTTGCTGGGGGCCCGAGCGGTGTGTCCTGTGGCTGTAGGCGTAAAAGTAAATGGGAGGGTGATGATCGCCTAAAAAGACCCCGGAACCTCCAAACCGGTTACTAAGGGCCTTATTAGCTTGAAAATGATGGTACATGCAATAACATGCAGAGTGAAGAAGGGCTCGAGGCCGAAACGGCAGAGGAAGGTAGAACACGGCACTTCCTCTCCTCCGTTGTAGCTTTTCAAAAAGTTGACAAGTTGACAAAAGTACCGTCCAAGGGGAAGCTGATCTAGACACAGCGGCGCGCTTATGTTGGGCGGGAGATGATCACTTGAACAGGGCAAAAGGACGTCCAGGGAATGGAAATATGATGGCGAGGCTGAAATGTTAAGGATGGAGGTGTGTAAGATGCACTATCATCCCACTATCACTTTTTCCTGAGTTCCTGCGGGCATAAAGTTAGGACAACGATAGCTATCAAGCAAATCAGTCTTGTCTGAACCGATGTGTCCATGCTCAGAGATGGCCCCAGTCTTGGTAATTACAGGTGTCATGGTCTCCACTTTAACGAACTGCAGGCGTTCATTTAGCGCCATGCAGGGTGTCTGGCCGGCCCATTTCAAGTGCTCCCCTCAGGTCCTTCCCTTTCACGCCTCATTTGTTTGGATCAGAATTTCTGTGGTTTGGATATAAATCATCGAGCGTCTTTAAGCAATGCATATAATAGGGTTCGGTTGGTAATGAATACTTTACGCTCGTTTGATGATTGAATGAAAGGAGCGAATCATCGCGTTACGGCATAAACCTTGAATGTTTCAAACACAAACTGGAAAGAGCAAGCCTCAATAACAAAGTACCAATGTACCATGTATTTTCTCACTACCTATGCGCACTGTCCTCCCGAAACAATTTCACCGCGAAAACCCATGCAATTTCAACTCTGGTGCATAATCCTCACTGTGCATCTCCATTTATGGACATCGCCAAAACAATTTAAACTTCAACATCACGGCCAAGCCTTTTCTCTCGGTGGTGATGATATGAAGCAACAACGACACTAAAACTTGATCCTTGCAACGTCTTACGGGCAATTATCAGCTGTAATACTCAAGTTCAATCATCAATCCATATCTTATGCGCAATCACCGACTTCTCCGAATGACATGATGGACGGGCTCAACCATCAAACAGAACATGCGCCCAGCTACCCAGTCCCTGCTCGGAGATTGGGGGCGCTTGAGCATCCCATGATCATCAAAAATGTGGACAAGGCTATGAACACATTCCCTTCACACTACTCACTCGAGGCTGTAAGATAGAGTTCCCTTCTTTACTACTAAGAGTTTGGTACTGACAATATCCTCAGATCGTGGACTCATCCAGCCCTCAAGTATCGATCCCACTTTATCTACGGCACAGTGACCCGACAGTGAGGCCGATTGTCTCGCACAATGCACTCACTCACAATGTTGTCGTGAAAGTCACGGTCCCTAAGCGTACAGGAAGGAAGCGCAAGCGTGGAACTGATGGGCCCTTCGAGGGACCCATTGTCGACAACACGTCCACGACAACAAACTCCAATGAAGAAGTCTTCTCTCGAGACCGGCTCGACGCCCCCCGTATCCTCCGTCGAAAGCTCAGCGACAATGTAGGGAAATACACCGTCGAGCCCATCGGCGTCGTCACCAACACGCACCGCTACCGCGGCCTCGCCGACTTCCAGTACGCCATGGGCAACTCCCCCTTCATGTCCCGGTTCGTCGACCAGGTGCTGCCAGGCGACGTCGCCAAGCTCAAGGAGTTCGCCATCCAACCGGGCATCGAATCCGGGAAGAATATCGACCTGATCCCTCCACCCAACTTCACGCCCATGAGCCTGCCCTTCCAATACGGCTACGCCCAGAACCCGTACACCAAAGAAATCAGCCCCGGCACCGCCGGCCAAGCGGACGACGACGGCGGCAACTCCGACACCGACTCCGAGGCCGAGTTCCGGCGCGTGGTCAACGTGACCTCCCGTGTGCCCGCAGCCGGCTACTTCATCGCGCACGACGAGTACCCCGTCCCGTCCGCGCCGCGGCGCCAGCCCAACCTAGCCGACCCACAAGTCGCTCTTATCATGAAGGAAATGTGGGCGGCGATGGAAGAGCGGCCGATCTGGACGCGACGGAGCATGTGGAACCGGCTAGGCTCCAAGTTCGCCTCTTTACCAAAGAGCGGTTCGCTGGTGCGCCACTGCCTGCAATACGCGGGCTACCAGTTCAAGGGCGGACCGTGGCGCGACGCCCTGGTCAAGTACGGCCTCGACCCCCGCTCGGATCCCAAATACCGCATCTACCAGACCCTGATCTTCAAGCTGCACAAGACCCGCATCGGCACCGTCGGGCGCGAGTGGAAGGCCGTCCGCCGCTCCGAGCTGGGCGTCACCAACTTTGGCAAGTACTGGAACAGCTACGGCGAGAGCGCCAACCTGGGCCGGGGGCCGGCTTCCGAGCGCCGCTCGCGCGAGACGCACGTGTTCACGGGCGAGTCGTTCAGCACCGACGGCAAAGTCTGGCAGGTCTGCGACATCACGGACCCGCTTTTACGCCGGCTGTTCGAGAACGCCGAGGTCCGGCCCGAGTGCGACACGGAGATTTCGGGTTTCTACCACCGCGTGCTGTGGTCGGTGGCGAAAGCCATCATGAAGTGCAAGATGCTCGCCATCCGATTCGGGCGCACGCTGTCGGACGACGATTTCGGTGCCACGCTGGAGGCCGTCAAGGGTCCCAATGACGGAGGGGATGGGGGTTCGGGAACCAGCATTGGCATCACCTTGCCTGATCTGCAGCTTACGGCCAAGGAGTGCGAGCAGTTGAGGGGGAGAAATAAAATCAAACCGGGCCTGAAACAAGGGCGTGATCGGTGGGAGGAGAGGAAGAAGAAGACGCATTATAGGGTTAGGATCCCGCTGAAGGAGGTGGAGGAGCGCGAGGCGGAGAAGATGGCCTTGTTGTTGGGGATAGGTCTCAAGCCGCGCGAGAGAAGGCGGGCTCCGGCTGATGGGAGCGCTGCTGGTCTGGGGCCTTCTGCTGTTTCTGCTGCTGCTGCTGCTGCTGCTCCAGGTGCAGAAGTGGATGAAGAAGTACCACTTGACCCGGCACTGGCGAGTATCGGGGGAGGAGAGTCGGTTCAGGCTGATGCCACCACCACCACCACTGACACAACCGACAAGAGACCATCACCTGCCGCCGCTGATGGCAAGGATCAACCCGCTACCACCAAGACACAACAACCTCGCCAAGACCGCGAGGACGAGGAAGAAGGCGAAGAAGAAGAAGAAGAAGTCCAAGCCCCCAAAATCCTCCAAGACATCTTCGAAGACAACGAAGACGAAGAAGAATACGAAGGTCTTTCCGAAGAAGAAGAAGAAGAAGGCGACTTTAGTGACGGCGACCTTCTCGGGGACGAAGATGACGAAGATGATGAGCGTAACGTCTACGACGACGAAGAAGATGACGAAGAGGATGGCTACGGCGGTTATAGGACTGATGCCGGCTACCGCACTGACGGGGGCTACCAAACCGATGGGGGTTATCGGACCGATGTTGGCTATCGGACAGATGCTGGCTATCAGACCGAGGGAGGTTACGGTTACCGGACGGATAAGGAGGAACTTGGGGGCGAGGACGAGGACGAGGATGAGAGTGAGGAGGAGGATGAGGACGAAGAAGGTGGCGAGGGTGGAGGCGAGGGAGAGGAATTGGAGGAGAGGGGAAGACCTCGTCATAGGCAGCAGCAGCAGCAGCAGGCCCAGTGGGATGAAGAGGATGTGGACATTGACGAAGAGGATGAGGAGGAGTATAGCGACTATTAATCGCTTCTTATGGCTCTGGCTTTTGTCTATCTTGGTTTATCACTTGGAACTTCTTCACCCATAGGTAGCTTTACAAGTAGAGGGTATCTATCTATCTGTCTAGCGTGTCTTCTTGCGTAAGCTCATTCGCATCTTGAAAGAGGCTGGATATTGAGAGCCTTTGTGCAATAATGGCTTATTGAATTGAATGCTTCAAGCATGCTTTCAATCACAAAGAACGTAAAAAAAGAAAAAGAAACAATTTGTCTTCGCGGGAATTGATGTGACAAGCAGGAAAAATTACTACGTAAACAGAGTTAGGTATGAAAAAGAAAAGAAAAACATACAACACCAGGGATTCGCTGGTCGTCACCGACCCAACTACTAGTCTGGCCCTCACTGGCTTATCTATGGGAGAGCGGACGGGATCCCGAGTTTTCCAGTGGGTATGGTCGTATATGCTTGTTTGTTTCTGTTGTGGAGCTTATATTGTTCGCATCTCCGGTTGGTATCCTTGACATCTGACTTTCCACTCACTCACCATCAGGACATTCCAAACAGTAAGATCATGAGAAATTGGTATTTCTGTTCTATAGTACATAGCTGCTTTATCTCTGTTCACCGCTAATAACCATACCCTTCCACCTCACTCCACTAACTGAACCCAGCAGAAGATACCTGCTTACTCCCGTAACTCATCACGCCCAACCACCACTCCACGGGGCACCACTACGCTGCCCTCCATACCCCCCTCGACCATAATCTCCTCGTCCACCTCCTCCACCGCCACGTCCACCTCTGTAACCCGATCCGTTTCCTCCTCCGTAGTCTCCTTCGCGTCCCTGTTGCTGCTGGTGCTGCTGATAGTCACGCTGCTGGTTGTGCTGAGGATAGCCTTGATAGTCATGACCTTGGTGCTGCCGAGGCTGATGATACTGGGGTTGATGCTGCTGATGCTGAGCATGGTGATGAGGAGGTTGGTTCGAGTGCTGCGGCGGCGGGGGCGGCGGCGGCCAGGCACCGCCGGGAGGAGTAGCAAATGGGGGAGGGTGGGGAGATACACCCATCGGACCACCAGGCGGGTAGAAGTTCGGAGGCGGCGGCGACGGGGTAGTGATATGCGGCGGAGGGGTTGGATGTTGAGGATGCTGAGGATATTGGTGAGGCGGACCGGGCGGCGGCGGCCATTGGCCTTGGTAGTTTTGCGGAGGGGGCGGAGGGGGTGGAACTGGGAAGCCGGGGAATTGGTGAGGTTGTCCTGGGAGAGGAGGGACGGGAACAGGAAAGCCGATAGGAGGCGGGACCGGGTGGAAGTTACCGGCTGGTTGTTGGTTGGGCGGCGGCGGCGGCGGGACGAAGACACCCGGGTGCTGCGGTGGGCGAGGCGGCATTCCCGTGGGAAAGCTGGTAAGCGGTGGAGGAGCATGATAAGGTGGTTGTTGATGTTGTCCTCTAAGTCTAGCAGGGGACCTAGAGCGACTTCGACCCCGGGAACCGTACCTTGGACTCCTCTGTCGGAAGCCTGGACGACTTGTTGACCTTGATCTGGATCTGGACCTGTATCTGCCCCTTGAGCGAGACCTGGAATGACTGCGCGAAGCGTAACCACGACCGCGTGGGCTCCTGTCTCGACTTCGGCTCCGGCTCAAGCTGCGACCCTGACTTCTGGACCTGCTCCGGTTGCGATAACTTCTTTCTGGCGACTCTGACAGCCGCTGACGTTTGAAAGCAGGTCTATCAGACCCCCGGCTCGAGTCTCTGCTCCGACTGGGGCTGTATGAGCGCGATTTTGATCTCGATGACCGTGTCCTTTCTCGAGTTCGCGATCGGCTATCATTACCCGAAGCTCCGCGCTGATTCCGCTTCTTCATTTTCTCGCAGAAGTTTCGAGACCAGCCGTAGTAGGTTTCACCTCCGATGACCTCGCCAGTAATTTCGTCGGTCTCTATGACCTCTCCCATCTGACCAATTTCTGGTGTGGGCCCATCAAGGTTCGCGGCATCCTTGGAGAAGATGTTGTCAACATCGACGAGCAGTTTCTTAACCGCCTCCACGAGTGTCTTTTCTGCCGGGCCTGCGGACAAGACAAGGGGCTTGATCATGTCGGGGTTCATGGGCCTCGTAGAGTTCGGTTCTAGGACGGGCATCCAGTTGCCTGCCGGTAAGTCGTACCATGCTATGGAGGGATCGCCGTGCATGGCTGGCATGATAAAAGGAGCTGCTTTTACGGGCTTGGGTACTGAGCTGGTAGTTATGGCAGTCGGCTGCGCTGTGTTCGGGACAGAAGCATTTGATGCCGGCGCTTCTTCTACGGCCACCCGTAGCTGTTTGATTACAGCCTCTGAGAAGTAACCTTTATCCTCCCATAGGGAAATCAAGTCCTGGATTTTGCGAATGTGCTTCGGACAGTTCGTGAACGAAGAGGCGCTCCTGACCAAAACGGGAAGCGCCTGTTCAAGCTTCGGAGCGAAGCTGTCATCGTGGTTGCGGAACTTGACATGATAGAGGATGTCATTGAGAAGGTAGAGGGCATGGAGACGTTTGCGCTTGGCCGACGTCTCACGACCTCTCTTCTTCTCGCTCTCCGTGAGATCCTTGGCCGGGGCCTGGCCATACGACTTGACAAGTGCGACCAGGTACTTGCAAAAGGGAGCGATCCGCATAGAGGACGGAACCAGGTTGGTGAGAGCCCATTGCTTGCATTTCTGAGCATACGGCGCGGAGCAAAGAGATATGCCGCACAACTTAGCAATTGGTCTTATAGACAAGAGGTGTATTTTTCATTGAGCATGTGTGTTCAAACCTGGACATTGGAGGGCGAGCACTCGGCGGTGGCCGTGTTCAGCAACGCGAGCGTTGACTCGATCTCGTCGCGAGAACAGGACTGCGGGTCCGCTCGAAAGAGGGCGCCTGTGAGGGCAGCTTTGGCGACGATCAGCTCTGCCGACGTCGACGCCATCGCGAGAGAGTCGGGATAGAGAAGAGTATTATCTGATGTAGTGTCGTATGTGTGTTGCGATACTGAGTCTTGGAGAGAAAGTCGTTATATAAAGTTGTGAGGGGTCCGAGCGCGCGGCGTAGAGGCAGCGATGTTGAAAGTGAGATGGAGTTGATGAATAGGAAACCGTAAAACGCAAAGGGTGGAATGAACTTGCAGTCGATTGGGCAAGAGGCTCGTTGCTCTGATTGACGACGCTGATTGGACATAAGTAGCCACATGGCGCTTATGCATCTGAGCCTGTTACGGTAAGTACATTGTAAGTAATTATGCACTACTCACAAAGTGGTCAAAGCTCTGCTTGTGCTCTTTAAACAGCGGACGATTTCGGCTTCGCGCCGGGGCGGTTATACTTTTTTTTGCATCTAGTACAGAGCTTCTTCCGACAACCTGATCATCCCATGGAACTCTTCGATTGGAAAATGAAAATATGAGACGAGTCCCAGTTGTAGCCAGCCAGATAAGCAGCATCGAAACCGCGAGTTCGATCTACGTCGAATCAAAACCAACCAGCCGCATTCCCGTCCCTAACTTTTGGGTAGAACATAGTCCCCTGCGGTCGTATTGTACATGTTTATATCTTCTGCTCCTTTTTTCTGTTCCTTGTCGAGATCTAACTTAAGAGAATCGATCCCCCTTCGGACTGGAATATGGCACGCTAGCCTCGTACTTGCTTTTCTCGAACACCCTTTCGCGCTCGGTCGAAGGCGCATGTCTCGTCGGCGCCGGATCGCTGCTCGATTCCATGCTGGGTGAGCCGGCCGTGTCCGTCCGTGCCGGAGAGCCGTTGTTGGTGGCGGATCCGCCCATGGCTGACGAAGAGAAGGGCTGGGATGAAACGTTCTCCGAGTACTCGAGAGAGCTGGCCATGCTCTTCTTGCGGCGCATTTCCTCGATCTGGTTACGGCGTGTGGCATCGATCTCCTTCTTGGCGAAATAGTATGCGGCGGCGCCACCTGTGCAATTGCGGGAGAGCGTTAGTTTCTGCTCCCTTCCCTTCGTTGTCGTGTTATTGTCCGAGAGGAACGGTTTGCGACATACCAACGCACAAAGAGCCCCAACCGAACCTGTCAAGTTCGCGGTCCAAGTTAGTCAACCGGCCATGAGGATTTATTGACTTCGGCGACGGCGTGGTTGTGTCACGGCGGACGGCGCGCTCACCAGAAAGACTTGACCTAGATGGAGGGAAAAAGGTATGACGTTAGCTTGGCGTCTTACTTGCTATGCCTGTTTGGATGTTGCGCCCGCGAAACCTACGGTGTTCATGTTTGCGATATTCGTCACAATCGGTCTTGAATGGAATGACTTTTTTTCGGCAAGTTCAGGAAAGAATTAGAGGTACAACCGAATTCAAGGACGTTTCTTTGGTCTGGACCCTGGGAGTTGTCGATTGGTCTGAGACCCTGGGAGTTGTTGATAGTATCCAGTCTCAATGGGGTGATGTGATGGATAAGAAGCGCAGGCTGCACAGACCATGTCGAACGATGCAAGATCCCTGCAGGCAGCATGCTTCCGGCAGGCAAGTGCTTGTTGCATAATGGTCCAAGTGCACAAGAACACTCCTTCTCTCATCACCGTTGTCCCTTCCGCTCAGTTGGCTGATACCTTCAACACGCCGATGATTTGTATCGTGCCATTCGGATATTCTCAACGCTACTTCCCAGAAGTCCCATATCAAGGGAACAATGCCAGAGTGATCACTTCGTTCGGCCCAGTGTGCCCCGTCCCGTCTCGCTCAGTTGACCCACAGTTCCACCTCCATTCATGGGTTTGTTTACATTCTGTACGCTAAAAGAGCGTCTATACCTAGAGAGATTCCCCGTCGATTTCACTGTCCCAGCACACTACGATACGCAAGGCCGAAATGAAAAGGGCGCTAGAACATACCTGCCTACGTATGAGTATCTCAGAGACCTAACGGGATGGGACCTTGACGCCCGTGTCTCTTACCTACTGCTACTGCCATCTGCTTGACGGATTTCGCTCCCTTTTCGCTCAGCTAGGCTTTCAAACAACCCCTATTTTGCTCTTGAAAGCCACCGTTCTGATATATCACTCCAGATGTTCATCTCCACCGCCATCGTGAGGTTGAATTTGACCATGGACAGGATCATTTGACTTGATTGACATTTGCACGGTTACCGCTGTGTCTGCCTTGCCTGACAAGTGGCTGACAAGAGTAGCGAGGTGAAGGGCTTTCATGTGTGTGGCGATATGGTCCTTGTCGGACATGGTCGAAGCCGGTGAATTAGTTACCGAAGAGATTGATGAATCCAGCGACGAAGCAAGAGCCCTGACACTTACATGGAAGCTGGCAACCGATCTACCGCTGAAAATGCTGGGGATACAAGTTGCAAACGCTTAGAAAGAGTTATGCTCGAGGCAGATGGAGTACCGTACCCGCTTATGAGAACGAAGAGCTTGTTGATATACGACTGTTGAATGGTGAAGACCAGAGCCCTGGAAGGCATCTACGTTGGGCTCCTGTTGCAATATTGACTTTGCTGGTTGGCGCCAGTCTGCTGAGGACTCTAGAGCCCAGCTTCAACGTACATGACCGTTGAAGAGGAAAGGCTTCGAGGCGAAAGATTGGCCGTGTTAGCACACGTATGTGTCTGTTCACATGTAGTCGTATCCTTGCATACCTGTGGACTACCGAGAAGGTGATTGTATCATACAGCCTTTCTGGAAAAGACTTGTGATGTTTTGAGGAGTCTAAAACCAATGAGGGTGTGTGTAGACCATTCACATGGCATTGATTTTAATTGTTGATAGGTACACGTCAATGAATGCCCTACAAGGCTAACTTGGACAAAACCACACACTCTCAACGAACGTCTACACTAGGCAACTATTTCACCCAAGCCATCTCAAGACTCTATTGTAACCATACGCACACTCGTACCTATGTTTTTCTGATATAAATCAGACGTCCGTCTGAGTTCTAGCAAGTAGATCTCCAAGTAAGTATTTCAAATCCTCGACAGCTTCGAAGCTCCCACAAGCACGCATTCGTTGTCTACGTTGCATTAATCGCATCATCACAATGACTCTATCACCTCCGCCGACATCATCTTCAAAGAAACGCAATCCTCGCGCAAGGAGCACTGCATCCGTCCACTCCAAAGAAGCTGCATCGACTAGCCTGCCAGCAAACCCACCTCTTCGCTCCTCATTACGCCTTAGAGAGAAGAGACAACAAGCTGCCACCAAAGCTGAAGCAAAAAGCGTCGAAGCTATGCCGACGAACGACATGAAGACAAAAACAGAGTCGACCGATGCTCCTAAGAAGAAGTCCGCGCCTCCCAAGACCAAAACGAAGGTGTCCGCCAAGCCTGCTCCTCGCAAGGCGGCCTCCGAGTCCGAGCCTTCCACGAAGAAAACAGCGTCCAAGATTAGGAAGACGAAACCTCGGAAGAAGAAAGCCATAAAAGAACGAGAACGTTGGCCTGGAAAGAGGAAGTTGGATTATTTTAATACAGACCCCGTATACTGGTAACTCGTTACTTGCACATATTGGCGTTGGAAGGAACTTGAGACAAGATGGTGGTTAGGAAGCGGACATGATGCTCCTGAAGGGAATTAAATGTTGTTGTTACTGAACACCATATGCTACAAAAGAAAGTCAAATCGTTCAGTAAGTTTTCTAGAACTCTTGCCAGGAAACTTGTCTGGGCCACTGACGGTTTCACCTGTATGATCAACTCGGGGGGGCTTAATGCATTGAGAAGACGGATCAGCAATTCTTTAATTCAAATACTCTCTCCGCTATGTTGTTACATCGTTCTTGAACAGAAAAGGGGAAAAGAGGAAACATTGAACCTGCGACTCCCCCGTCATGTTTTGGATACCAAGGGGAACGCTGCTCGAAAACCACCTAAACTCGCGGTACCTGCATCTGTTAAAGTCTTGTGTCGCAGTGAAAACCGACCGTTCGTTGCTTTTGGATCCCGCCATCAAGGTGCGATGCTTTTCATCCCAATCTTTCGATAAAAGAAAGCTGAAACAAGGAATTGTAAACTTGATGACCAACAACCAGACTCTTCACAACAGGATATGGAGACACTGGAATGTCTTTGTTTCTGACAGTGGACACTTGCCATTAGCGCAAGGGACACAAATGGGTCCGTACGGTACGGTAAGGGAGGTACGTACCTTTCGACTGGTACCTGCCCCTGTTGCGATTGCAGTACCCCTTGGGCCCCGCTGATCTTCAGCGTCCAGTCTCGACCTTCAAACACTTCGACCAACACGGTTCGCAGCCGGCCCAGCCCCCAAAAAGGGCGAGTCCACAGCGCATCGTCATCTCCAAACAGCCTGCAAACACGAGCCGGACACAGCCCCAAAACCTGGAAGGGAAGTGCCCCCCAGATCCCCCACCGTCCGTTTTTGAGAAAGACGACCCTTGGAGGGGGAGGCGTGTCTTTCAACATCTTAAATAGGGGTTGCTGTAACGGAACAGCCTGTTGAACCTTGTTGAGTAGGCCAATTGCCTGTTAATAGGGTGTTAGAGTTAGACATATGAAAAGTAGCAGCATTCCTACAATGCAAAATCTTGTTAGTAATCCTTTACTTGTTGGAGCAAATTTCTGTTGTTAAATTTTGAAATATTGGATAAATTTCAATGTTGAAAGGGAATGTTAAATAAATTTCAATATTGAAAAATCTTCGTTCCTTCCTCGGCGGCCTTCCACGCTCCTTCCTTTTTACTATATAAGAGCGTGTTCGGCAAGCCTTTTTTTAGCGTATTATTGTATAAGAGGCTAGCGGTCAGAATCGTATACTAGCTCGCTTCTGACTGACTAGCGTGCTAATCACATGCTAAAATAGGCTTCTGAATGAAGGCATCCCTATAATCGATTTTTGGCTAATCAGGTCTCTGGAATCCTATTGAACGAGATTTTGAACGAATCAATAGCCAAATACTAATAAACCCCCTTCTAAACTATTATTTTGAGGGTACACGTAACTAAAAAATTACATAATCCGAATAAGGTCGTAAGGAGTGCCCTATATATATACTATAATTTCAATGCATTACCCTAGTATAATACCCCTCATTATTATCGCTAGAGGTATCACATCGCTAATTATTAATATTATAATTTTAACCAATATAATTGCAATAGATAACTATATTCAAAAGAGGGAGGCTATTAAAAAGCTTACAATATTAGTTGTTATTGCTAATTTATTACTCAAAGATCCCTCGATCCCTATAAATTTAAACGCGAAGAAGAGCGCGCTAGTAATAAACAAATTTTTTAATAGCTACCGCGGTCGCTTAGAATACTTTCTATGTATATAATTTTCAATTATTCAGAAATTAATTAATTAATTTAAATTAAATACTAGCTATATATTAAAGTGGTCGAAATATATATATTACGGGGTAAGAGGGCACCGTTGGGGGTAGAGTAAGATATGCGTTATTATACGAGGGAGAGAAAGGGAAGTGTGTGTGGAGGACTGGCTATATGGGCGGGAGCCTAGCAGGCCAGTCCGTGCGCGCTTACGTGAGGCTATATGTAATTAGGATATATAATTAGTATATAAATATATATTTCTAAACTATAGTATTAACTCTAGTATAATATATGTATAGATAGTATAGTACGACTATATTATAGGCTAGCCCTATGATACTATCCCCTCTTAAAAGAAGTTCGTAGAGTTGAAAAAATCTATATACATATGAAATAATATTTTTATTACTTTAATAATTCTAATTCAGCCTTCTCTTCTATCGTTAATTCTTTTAGTAGTGCGCCCGGGTCGATTTTAAGACCCTCCTCGTCGTAGTTTACGAAGTAAGTTTTTAGTATACGTTTAGATTAAATATTTATTAGTTTTTTCAAAATCCTTATAAAGGCTACTTTTAAGTTTTTAATTTTGTATTTACTTAGGGTACTATTGAGTAGGCGTAATATTGGTATAGTTACGGCGGCGGTAATTTCTCGTTAAGTAAGGTGGGCGGAACGCTACCATAGGGGCCTTAGAGCGGCCGGTGCTGGTATTAGCGCCGGGTTATTTTAAATAACAGCTATAATTTAAAATACTAATATATCTTAGATATTTAGGAGTATAGGTAAGTTGGGGGATTCGTTATAAAAGCGTTAGAATATTTCTTTATAATTGATAATATAGTCTTTAGGTTTTTAGGTTAATTAATTATTATTTTTCTATTTAATTCGATAGTATTAATAAGAATTACCGCCGAGTTAGGTATAATTAATAATTTTTTCGAAGTTTTATTCCTCCTATTCTTTATAATTATTAGTTTTAATTATAACCCGGCCGTTATTCGCCTTTATATTTAACGATATATTTTAGCCGGGAAGACTTTTACCGATTTATAATTATATTATAAATATATAGAATATTAATAAATATTTTATATTCGTTAGGAGCGCGAAATATATTATATAATTTTTAATCTACGTAATACGGAAAGGGCCCTCTTATTGAGGGTAGAATTTTAAGTATAGGCGCCCGTTAGCGAAGTTTATTATATTTAGTAAAATTAAATCGTTAGAATAATACTTAAAGGAATTGATACGTTTCTTATTAGTATTATCCTCATATTGCTCCTATATACGTCGGGTTTATTAAATTATAAAGTCCTAAATTTTCTAGAAACAGTCCGCTAATTTTAATATTTTATAATATTCTTTTAGTTAGGCCGGTAATAAATTTAGGAGAGGTAGTATATAGGGTTAGGGACTTATTTTTGCGTAGTAGTTATAATTAATAAAAAAGGGTAAGATATTTATTAATAAAGATATAGCGTTATTATTAATAAATTCTGTAATTAGTAACTATTTAGCTTAATCCGTTTACGCCTAATTAATATAAAGTCGTAAGAATTATTTGATTTTTATATTAATCCGTTCGGTTTAAGTATTAGTTTAGGAGTAGAAAGCGGACGTTAATTTATAAATAATTCATAATTTCTTATAAAGGGTAGATTAAAAACGTAATACGAATTAAATACCCCTATTTAATAGTATGCTATTTAGTAGGCCGTAAATCGAATAAATATAATCGATAAAATAGTTTACGAATTTCTCCGCTTTTAAAATTACTATTGGGATATAGTATTATATTTTAATTAAGCGGTCGATAACAATAATAATATATTTAAAAGTTTAGCCGAAGTAGGTACTATTTAATAATAGGGTAATATAATCGACCGTAACGTTCTTTTATAGCGTTAAAAATACGGCTACGGGTTTAAAATAATTAATAGAACTTTGTTTTATTAATTTAAATTTTATATAAAGAAAATATCCTTTATAAAAAATCTTTACGTCGTTATATATACCCTCTTAATAAAATTTGTATTATAAGAGTTCGTAAGTAGCGTTGCGGCTAGGGTAGCTTGCGTCCGGGGAATTTTATTAGCGATTAATTAATTAGAATTGGAATTCCTTATTGTAAGAGTTGATAATAATTTTATTCTGCTATTTTATAATATTATTAATAACGTAATATTTAAAGAAAGTCCGATAGAAAACCTTTTTAATAATTAATAATTATTAGTATTTTACTTCGTTTATTAAATAAGAGATTAACTCTTATAAAAAAATAAAAGTTTTGTAGGTTACCCGAATTAAATTATTAATTAATTTATTATAAAAATTATTTATATTTAGTAAGTAAAGGGAGAAATTGGCTGCAGGGTCTTCGAAATAATTGTATTCGAATTATAAAGGGTCTAATAAAGCCCGCTTATATATTACGAATTTATTATTTTCTATATTATCAGGGCGGTTGTTTGGTTTGCGGCTTAGTACGTTTAGGCGGAGGTTTTTAGAGCCCGGTATATATTTAATTAAAAAATTAAAATAGGATAAGAATTAGGATTACTATATATAGCGTTAGGTAAATTATTTATTAGTTATAAAAGTCTATAGGTTCTTATAATGTATTAAAATATTAAAAGGTTATTAAGCCCCTTCGAATTCTACCCTCTATTCCTCTAATACTTTGATAATAGCGAGCAATTTCTTATTATAAATATTATAATTATATTTTTAAAATATATGTTTTATTAAAAAGTAAATTATTAGGTAAAGGACTCTATCGTTTCTATATTAGGAGAAAGTACCTCTTGTAGCTTAGTTAGAAATATTTATTTCCATAATCGTTTTGATAATTTAATTATAAATTTTAAATACGAGTCCTTTTGTAAAAGCTTTCTTTAATGCTTTAAAAGATTGTTAATAAGTATTGTTCTAAGTCTATGTAGTATTTTTCTTAGTAAGTTTGTAAAATATAGTCGCTATAATCGGAAAATCTTTTATAAAATGCTTATAGAAGTTCGCGAAGCCTAAAAAGGATTATGAAGATTTTTTAAATTTTAGAACTGCTTATTTAGTAATAGTTTTTACCTTTTCTAAATTTATTTTAATACCCCCCAGGGTAATAATTAATCCTGAATATTTCGTACGTATTATATAGAATTCGTATTTATCGATATTAATACTAAGGCCCGCT